CTCGTCAAATCAAAGGGTTGACTAACGGTTCCGTGAAAATCCCAGTAGCTGCACTTCCTACATGGCGTCAAAAACCGGCGCCTTATGACGGGTCTTCGTCTCATCCGATTCTTGTGGCCGACGGTTCAGATAGAGGCCTTGATGACGAGCCGGACGATTTTGATCTGATGGGACCCCGGGAGAGCCAAGACGTAGAAGATCGTAACATGTTTGTCAAAGGTTCCGACCCCGACAAGATGGACTTCGTTCCGGGTAGTGTTGAGTATGGTTCACTGCCTCAACTCCCTCTTCCTGACTGGGCCTCGGACCAAGGAAGGAAATTCCTTGGTAAGGAGCTGAGCAAGTTGCAGAGGTTGCAGGCCAGTACGCCTCTGCACCAGCTCGGCTGGTACATCGATTTCGACAACATCACAAACATGTTTCAGTGGATCGTTGAGCTGCACAGCTTCGAGAAGTCGCTTCCTCTTGCACAGGACATGAAACGCCACGGTGTGTCCAGCGTTGTTCTCGAGATCCGCTTTGGCCGTCAATTTCCACTATCCCCGCCGTTTGTCCGTGTCGTTCGTCCTCGCTTCCTTCCCTTCTCACAGAGAGGCGGCGGACATGTCACGGCTGGCGGTGCCATGTGCATGGAGCTCCTGACCAACAGCGGCTGGAGCCCCGCCAGCAGCATGGAAAGCGTTCTCCTACAGGTGCACATGGCGATGTGCAACCTCGAGCCTTTTCCGGCACGACTGATGACTAAAACCACTGGTAGATCATGCGACTACGGTGTTAACGAGGCCATCGACGCGTACAAGCGCGCGGCTGCCGCCCACGGCTGGCAGATTCCTCCTGATCTTGACATGACGGCGAATGCGCAGTGAGTAGGGGTTCATGGATGCGGATGAGGGTGTTTTCCCGGTTCAATACTCAACGACTTACGGCGCCCATTCGTTGACGAGGGAAGCGTCACAGTTGGTACCGTTGTCGCCGGCGTCGGAAGCCGCGTGAATCCTCCATGAGAGAAGCTTGAACGAGACAGAGACAGGAGGAGAAAATAGCGAGATAGCTCGGATGCCCTGATAGTAGAGTTAGCAGATATTCAAGTTTATCCAACACACCTCATGGATCTAGTATGCTTGATGCTACATTGACTAATCTTACGCGATGGTGTTGGCAACAAGACTCCTCTAAGACTGTTGGGATTGGCTCCCGAGATAGACGGCCGTCCAGGAGCCCCGAACTATGCATATTGTAGATGCCAATGTGCTACAGCGAGTTTTATTTGTCGTTTAGTGTCCGCCTCCTTACTGAGTAGGAGGCCATGGACCTTAGGATCTGCAAGTCAAGTCAAACCAACAACTTTCAGTGGGCAGGATCCGGGGTTCGGTTGGGTCGTCGGGATGGTGGGAACAATGGGTTGGGGACCAATCAGCAAGATATGATCAACTTTGCCTTCGCAACCTGTGGGTACATACATACTTGCCTAGGTGCCTAGGTACCTACCGATACCTAGTAAATTAGGACCTCCAGCTCCAATGCTGGGACTCGGAGCCGATACCAAGAGCTGCCTGACGAGAAGGTGGGCGAGCTCTTAAACCCTCTCGGCCTCCCTTTTATGTCACAGCTACACTAATATCACGTCTTTGATCCCGAAACATAGTTGACCGTCACCACGAGTTAGGGACGCGACAGTATCCATTCCGACTGACACGCGATCACAGCACTGCAATCAACTAACTGCGCCCAGCCCTTTCCCCAGACTAGGCCCCACGCCCCCGTCCAAGGCCTGAGGCACGACCATTGGTCTCGGCGCAACCCACCCTACCTACCTTCCACTCCACCGACCCTGGACCAACGCTGCAGCTTTCCACTCCTAAACCCTCTCTCCCTCTTCCTCTCTCTCACGACGACGCTCTCTGCACCCCTCATTGGACTCGGGCCGCCTTCCAGTCCAAACGGCATTCTCTTTCCCTCATCTCGCTGCCCCCAATGCATCGCGCAGCAGTGAGGGCCTTGCGGACTAACTACCGATGTACGGCTCGTAGCTTCGCACGCAACACCCGACGGGGCCTCTTCGAACATAGCCTCTCCACCACCTCTGCCTTCGCGACCCGCCACAGCCTACGATACTCATCCTCCTCCCCGAACCAGCCTCGCAACAACCCTGAGCATGCTGTCCAGCCGCTAAAGTCCTCCATGTACATCCGCCGCTTCTCCGTCGCTCTCGTGTCCACCCTCGTCGGCTACGGCGCGTGGTACTCGTACAACGGTACCGGTCTCGACAAGTCCCCAAGCTTGTCAAGAAGCTTCACCACGGGCGCCACCGCTGGCGGTGATGCTGCCCCGACCCGCGCTGTCCTCGTCGTAGGCGCCGATCAGCTACACACCGGAACCTTCGTCGGAGAGGGTCCTATCTCCAAGACCACCAGTGACGACGGCCGCAAGGTCATCGAGATGTTGACCCCCGAGCAGGTCACCCAGAAGCTCCGCAAGACGGAGCAGTCCTTCCTCGTCAACAGAGGCCAGGGCGTTCTGCGTTACGACCTGGTCCAGCTCCCCAGTAACGACCCCATCGAGGACGACCACGCCGAGAAGATTGTCGAGGTGCCCAACAAGGCCGCCGGCGTCACGGGCAACAGCAGCGACTGGATGTTCTGGGGCGTTTTTGATGGTCATGCGTGAGTTGTTATTGGAACGTCAACCTGCTTGAAACCCCGAACTAACACGTAATAGCGGCTGGACAACCTCGGCAAAGCTGCGCCAGGCTCTGATCACCTCCGTTGCCAAGGAGCTCAACAACACGTACCAGTCCTCTGCCGATCTGTCACCGCCGGCTGAGGCCATCGATACTGCTATCAAGTCCGGCTTCACTCGCCTGGACGATGAGATTGTTAACCAGAGCGTCGAGAGGGTCCTTAAGGCCGGCTCTAAGACTATGGCCGCGGAGCTTCTTGCCCCCGCCCTGTCTGGCTCCTGTGCCCTACTGTCTTTCTACGACAGCAGATCCAAGCTTCTGCGCGTTGCCTGTACCGGCGACTCGCGCGCTGTCCTCGGCCGCCGATCGGCATCGGGCAAGTGGACTGCTACCGCTCTATCGGTCGACCAGACGGGTGGCAACCCTGACGAGGCCGCCCGCCTGCGCAAGCTCCACCCTGGCGAGGACAGAGTCGTGCACAACGGCCGAGTGCTCGGCGGGTTGGAACCGACCCGTGCCTTCGGCGACGCGAGCTACAAGTGGAGCCGTGAGATCACTAACAGACTCCGGGAATCTTTCTTTGCCCGCTCCGCATCCCCTCTGCTCAAGACACCCCCCTACGTGACGGCCGAGCCGGTCGTCACGACAACCAAGATTGAGCCTGAGAATGGAGATTTTGTGGTCATGGCCACCGACGGCCTGTGGGAGATGCTGACCAACGAAGAGGTCGTTGGTCTCGTCGGCAAATGGATTGAGAGCCAGACCAGCAGCTCTTCGCAGTTCGACTCGACCTGGTCCAAGCTCTTTGGATCCAAGCAATCCACCCTGCCCGTCGAGCAGGCGAGTGACAAGAGCGCTGACGGCCAAAAGACGCCCATCCGTCTGCAGCAGTGGGGCATATCCCCCGACGCCCCCGAGCGGTTCGTCGTCAAGGACAAGAACGTGGCCACGCACCTGGTCCGTAACGCCCTCGGTGGCAAGAATGAAGAGCAGGTCTCGGCTCTGCTGACTCTGCCGTCTCCGTTCTCGAGACGATACAGGTGAGTCAGGCCACAGACGGAAACCACTGACATGAATCGCGAAGCTGAAACGAAACGAAACAGGGACGACTTGACGGTGCAGGTAATCTTCTTCGGCAACGGTGAGAGGACGGGCCAGGTCAATTTGAACGAGGAGGCCACGGCCCCGTCGAAGCAGCAGCCCGCGAAGGCGAAGCTTTAGGATATCATTGTCGCTTTTCGTATTGGGGGGACTATCACTGGCCAATTGCTCTCTGGAGCGACAGCGTTAGCCCCCGTGTGTTTATTGGCGTGTACTAAACTGTTGACCGCGTCAAAGTGGTCCGGAAGGGGGGTGAAGGAACCCCGCATATCCTCCTGAGATGAAAGTGCTGGCTGGATCTGGAAAGCGAATAACAGAAAATATGCCTCGGACTGGGGCAACTGCTCAGATAAACTCATGTTTATGCTACAAGCTGCTTAGCGATCAAGAAACGAACGAAACCCAAACACCCTTGCTTTGACGAGACCCCCCAACCCCCTTCACTTTGGCCTGACTACGTCTTGAGAGAAAGATGCGGGTGAGGCAACAGTGAGAAGAAGCATGCATTCCAACTTCGACCGTACCTCATAACCAGAGAAAAAGAGCGAGAAAAAAAAAAAGGATTCACAAGCTTCCGTAGCGACTAGCGCGCGTACAACGCGCATTGTATCTCTTATCTTCTCTTCTCAAGCTTTTTTTATATTTCATTGATTGTTGAGGACGGCAATGGGGTAGTTTGACAGAGACCAAAATGTTTCGACACCGTAAACCTCGGCCCAACGCCAAGAGGTTTTCTGTTATTTTCTCAGTCACCCAACGGTCCACCAAAAAGCGCTTGCACACAGGGTCCAATCCTAATGATTCCCCCCTCTGCCCGCCCGCCCAGCCCTCACTCACTTCCTCTGAGCTTGTCTCCCCCCTCTCCCCCCTCCTTTCTGTTCGTCTTTGTAAAACTAGAATCGAGAAGAACGAACATAAACCAGTTCCCCAAACTCAAAAAAACGCCTGGGGTTTCCCTTGAAAAGAAAAAAAGAAGAAGAAGAAAAGGCAAAAGAAAACAAAGGCAACAAGTCCGAGATAAGACAACAGTAAACAACAAAAAACTCCCAATGATGAAGGCACAGATACCATATGCTGCTGGCTGATCTTTTTTTCGTGAGAATCCCAACTCAGTAGGGAACCGTTAGTTACGGGTTGGGTAACAAAGTTTTTGTAAGCCAAATGGTTCATCGAGTCAAAGACGCTCGTGGATTTCGATCGTTCGCTTTCATCTTCTTCTTCTTCTTCTTCTCCTTCTTCTTTGCCTGCCTCTCGTAAAGTCTCGTGTCCCTTTCAATTTCGTCGCTTGTAAATAATAGTCCATGACTGTAGGCAACGTCGGTCCACATCCCTAGTTCTTACACTCTGTCGATAACCGTCATCTCTTTGCAAATAGCCCTCTTGGTAAACTGAATTGGCCACTAGCCACGGACTTCGGATCACCAATCATCCGCCGCCAAGGGTCACGAATGTTGGCCATTCTGGTGTGAATTGTGGTCATCGTCATCCCCGTCGTGGTGCAGGGTGACGCTGTTGAATTCCTCAAAAGGATCCACCGCAACATCGCCGCCAGGAGTCGCCAGGCCGCTATCTAGGGGAACCCCCTTCAGGTTGCCTTGCATCGGATGAGAGCCACTGAGGTCTATACTCTCGCTTTCTTTGACATTGCGGAAGTTGACGGTATCGATGCCGCGTCCCGTGACAGGGACAATCGGCGGCTTCATGTGGCGGATCAAGGCCCACTGGGTTGTCTTGAAGAAGGGGTGTGCTTTGATATCTGAAGCGCCAGCCTTGGCGCCTAACCTCCGGTTCTCGTCCTTGATGAGGAGCTTGCGAATCAAGGATTTGCAAAGACTGGAATTCTTTAGTTTAATTGCTCAACTGGTTGGAATGCAGACCTTACTTGGATAATTGCGGCGCCCCGGCATGATCGGGGAAAGGAATGTCTTCTCTCAGGATATTCGCAAAGGTGGCGTTCCGGTTCTTGCCCTTGAAAGGAGTAGTTCCGTAGAGCATCTCGTAGATCAAGATACCCAGGGTCCACCAGTCCACCGCACTAGTGTGGCCGCTACCCTTAATGACCTCGGGTGCGATGTACTCTTCTGTTCCGACGAACGAATTGGTGCGGAAATTTGCGATACATGATCGGGTGTCGATGTGCAACGACGTGGTGCTGGTACCCGTCTTGCCGACGACCATGGTGGGCTTTCCACCGAGATCGGACTGCTTAGACAAGTCAAAGTCCGAAAGCATGATGTGGCCCGATTGGTGGAGCAGGATGTCTGCACAATACGTCAGCATGCAATCAATTTGTAAGCAGGTAATAATGGTCTGGCGAACTCACTCTCCGGCTTCAAGTCGCGGTAGATGAAGCCCATCAAATGGAGATATTCCAAGGCCGCAGTGACCTCGGCGGCGTAGAACCGCGCGTCATCCTCGGGGATGCACTTGCCGGGGCGAGTCTGCAGCGCTCGGAAGAACTCTCCACCAATGCAGTATTCCATGCACAAGTACAGATAGTCCTCGGACTGGAATGAGTGGTATAGCGTGACGATGAAGGGATGGTTACTCGTAGCCAGGATTTCCTGCTCGGCGAGGGCACGCTTAATTTTATTCCGCTTGATCATCTCCTTCTTGCTCAGCACTATATGTCAAGTCAGTGCCAGGTCGGAGACATCAGTAGCTGAAAAAGGCGGGAATCGGCCGTACCTTTCATGGCGTAGAGCCGGCTGCTCTTCTTCTCGCGGACCAGATAGACCTTGCCAACATCTCCCTTGCCGATCAACTTGATCTTGTCGAAGCTTTGGGGGCCAACCTCGACGTCGCGAACCTTGATCGAATTGGAACTGTACGTCCTCCGGAAGGCTGGATTACGGTTCGGGGGCGGCAGGTTACCGAGGACGTCCTGGTCGGGGACGCCCAGGCTAGAGGAGGAAGAATCGTTGACCTTGGAAGCGTCGACCATCTCGAGGGTGCCCGAGTTATTGTCGAGGACCAGAGGATCCTTGCTCAACTCTGCGGTGGCCGGGCGCTCAGCGCTGCCCTTTCCCTTGGAGAACAAGCCCTGGGCATTGGGTGCGCTGGCGACTCTCCTAAGTTTCCGCGCCAATTCCTCCCTGCCGGCACTGGTCGTCTGCTGCTCGGGGCCACCGTCGGGGCCCTGGATCTTGAAGTTGGGGGTATCTGGAGGACTTGGGGGGACCGACTCGTTGTTGTGGTGACGGAGGCCTGGCTGGCCCTGGTGAATAAAGTAGGGGTTCGCGTGTGCGGTCGGACTCAGAGCCTCGTCGAGAGGGTTGCCTTCGCTAGCGGTGGTATTCGTCCTCAATCGGCCGACGGTGCCTTTGAAGAAGCTGCTACCGAACTTGCTCCGGATCTCTGGGCGGGCGGGAGATGATGCATCTGCGGAAGTTTGAATATGGGCGGTGGAGGACTTCTCTCGGTCTCGGTCGGCGCCGCTGTTAAGGTTGATACGGAAGAGGTTCTTCAGCTTCTGATTAAACTGGGCGGCGCCATTCTGGTGGGTTCGGCTGGCAGGCATGTCGGAATCTCGGGGGTGCGCGATCAAGCGACCGATGCCATGGCTGACTGGACAATTGCGGGAGAAGCGAAGGGGGGGGGGGGCCGGTCGATGGGATCGGAAGGGCGGAGAGCAATTTGAGAGTTGAGTGGCAGCAGACTAGACGCGAGGTGAAGGTGAAGGTTGAAACGAGAGGAACGTGGGCCTGGATGCGTAGTGTAAGTAGCGTCACAAAAAAAGGACAAAAAAACCCAAGAGGTAGGTCAGGAGAGATGCAGGTAGGCAGGTGGGTAGGTAGGTAGGTAGGTGACAGAGGCATGGAACGGGACGGTAAGGTAGGTGAGGTGAGGCGAGGGTCGAAGCCGAGTTAGTAATGTGGGCGGGCGGGCATAGGCGGCTTCTCGGATGGCCTTGACACCTTCCCATACTCCCCGCTCGTTGGTTCGATGGCGGCGGGCATGGGTATGGGCATGGGCGTGGTGGGTTCGCTCACTGCACTGGTGGTGGCGGCCACCCGTGGTGGTCTCGTCTAGACCCCATTGGGGGTCGCTGGGTTTCGCTCTTTCTCTCGCCTCCGGCCCACCTTTCCCTTCCATCATCCGCCCATCCAGTAAGTAGTAGTCAGTGGCTCTCGGGCAGTGCAAGAGAGGAGGAACCCAGTCTAGGACCGTAGTGTAAACACGCGCATCCTCCCGGGGAATGGGACGACCACTTGTGTGTGCGACGTGCCACTGGGAAAGGAAGGGGAAGGGGGCGGCGGGCAGACACAGACACCCAGAATGGGACGCGTCGGTTTCTTTGGATAGGGATTGTCCGGTTCAGGTTCTGGCGGCCTATAGGTACAGTACCGGTAGTAGGTTCCAGTACCTAGGTAGGTAGGTACCTATGGTGGTTTCTGTCTACTAGGTACCTACCTACAGCAAGGTCTGGCAGCGCGGGCTTGGCTGGCTGGCTGACTGACCGGTTCTTGCCATTGGTGCTATTTTTGCCGGACTTTTCCCTCGTCTCCCTCCCTCCCATCGGAAAGTCCCTTGGAGGACGGATGAATGGGTGGATGGATGCTCGACTGCGATCCCCAATTGCGTTTTTGCTCTGAAGGGTTCTATGCGTAATGTAGACAGCATAGCTACATACTACCCAGCCGGTAGCTTTGTATCCCTACCTCGCATCTATCTGCAATGCATTTCACTGGTCTGATCCGACCCCTCAATTCCCCAACTCTATCTCTAGCGCAAGCTGAAATCATTGATGCCTACCTATTGCCTCACTCACAATCTTGTTCCTGGAAATGTTCGTGTTCTGGTACATGCTCATGCAACCACATCTTCCCTCGACGTCCACAGCACAAGAGAGGAGCGACGGGAATACTAGAACAAGTTACCTACCGGTAGTTACAAGACGACCCCCAACCCAGAGCCTTGGTTAGTACTTAGTACTGAGCTCAGGCCCCCTGCCCCGCGGCCGAATATACACAAGACGGCCACCGGGCTGGTAATACGAGCCTCACCTGGCCAACTGCGTGCCAAAGCACAGCGCCTACCTAGATATCATAAAATAAAACAAAAATGAAGGTAACGACCCTTGCTGCTGGCTGGTCATCATATACCTATGCTGGGGTGTGTTTTCGCCCCCTGCCCTTGAAGAGAGAGAGAGAGAGAGAGAGAGAGAGAGGCTTGCTCCCGTAAAACACCCAACGAAAAGCAGCAAATCATCGGATGGATATGCAAAATAAAGCACAGATACCGAGGCCAAAACCCTTTGCTAGTTGGTAGCCCATTCCACGCCGATCGGTTGGAAAACTTTGGGCTTGACTCTCTCAAACATGCAGACGAGACTCTGCCAATACTTGCAAGACACTCACTCACTCACGCGCCTACCTTTACTCGGTGCGCGACGCGATTACAAATGGTGTACGGATACTCTCGTACCTAATACCTACATGGTTGCCTACCTACCTACCTACATACCTACCTAGGTATCCGTACATACGCCGTGTAATCCCAGCACTAGCACCGCCAAACTACTGCGATGCTGGCGGCGGGCGCTTCCCTCCCCTTCAATCGGTCCATTTCAGCCATCCGCACCATTGAGGACAAGCCGATGTGCCAACATGCCAGTACGCTGTAATTCCTAGGCAAGACAAGTCCGTCCGCGTCCTGACCAACAAAGAGACGGATCGAAAAGGTCAGAAGGGAGGGGGGAGGGGAACAAAACCCGTGCACGCGGCCCCTTCCATTGCCAGGTAGTTTAGCTGTCGTCAGCTGTCGTCCGCTTTCCCACGAATGATTCGCCTCCATCTCCCACATCTAGGCCCCGTCGGCCGCCAGTGATGGACAGTAGTTTACCTATGTACGCCGCATTGGAAGTATTCTAGAACTCGGTCTTCGCGCCCTTTTGCCTTGCTACTTTACTTTCTAAAAGCCTGTTCCGGTTGGCCCGATTGCCTGATAACACCTTCCATGTCATGAAACTCCATGCCATCCGTTGGATCGGCCTGTTCCCGCAACCCTGCGGACGCGAGAGAGAGAGAGAGAGAGAGAGAGAGAGAAAGAGAGACAGAGAGGGCTGCTGGGACATGTTTCTTCCTGAGCACCGGCCCTCCCTGGATACTGAGGTGTCACCCCACTCGCCCTTCTCATGCAACTCCCCCACAAAACAACGCACATCCCCGCTTATGATGTAAGACGGGAATGCTGTCAAACTCGTCCCGGGCCCTTTTCTCCCTTCCAGTCAGACCAGCCAATCCAGTGAAGCGAGAGTCGCAACGCCAAGCCCGTCCCCTTTGTAACGACCGTGCTCGAATACAACCAGATACTCCGGCTTTTCCGCTACCCTTCATACTGAGATCCCGACAGCCCATCTGTGGTTGTCTGGGGAAGTGGGAAGCCGCTCACCGGCATCCCCCAGCGGCCGAGCCCGTGAGCAACAGTCCCGGGGGCTTTTCACAGCGGGATCCCTTCACCCTCTTTTATCCCTAGGGAGGCGCAGTCCAGTTGCGTCATCTCTCTTCCGTCGTCTCCTCCGTCCCGTTGTCTTCTCCATCACTTGGCATATTCTGATCTCGTAGGAGCAAAAGGTTCTTGAGCCTCCGTCTGTTGTTGCGCCACGTGTAAAAGTCTTCTTCCTTCTGATCTCGTATAGACGGTGTGACCTGATGGCCCGCCTTGTCAAAAAGGTAGCCTGGGAGCTCGGTCCCGTTATCGGGCACGTATCGCTTGAATGACACCTGTGGCCCGTCCCCTACCTGCCAGGCGATTGGAGGCATGTGTAAACCCTCCAAGTGAGACTTGAGGTGCGCGGATGTGGAGAATATGTGAGCCGGCTGCTGCTCGGCACATTGGGCCCATCGACACGCAAACGGTTCGGCTCTCGCATGGACCACGAGGACATGCTTTCGCAGTGTTGCAAAGTTGTGCAGCTCGGCTCTGCACCCCTCCCACTCGCAGATGAAGACGATGAAGTGTGGGTTCAGTCCCTCGTAGATAGTTCTTGGCTGCGGCGATGGTGCTTTTGGGGGACGCCCTCGTCTTTTGCCTGCGTACAGAGCACCAGTCTTGGGCCTATCCGGCCGCAACTTTCTCGGCCCCGTTGTCGGAGGCTCATCCTGCAAAGTCTTCGTACCCGGCCGGTTTGGTCGGAAGCCTTTTGGCCGGCCACGTTTCCGAGGCTGCGGCAGAAGAGGACTTGTCCCAGGCGAGGCTACATCTGGCTCGTCTGTAGTGGAGGTTGGTAAGGCCGGCTTGGCAAGGCTCACATCTAACGCGGCTTGAGCTGCCAATTTTCTGAACTGGGGAGAGAAGCCCGAGGTCATCAAGTCATCCGCATCATCCTCCACCGTCCTCCTAAGAGCTGCTTCTGATTGCTTGCTCGGGCTTGAATTGATAACGACCGCAAATGACGATCGCGGGGCCGGCTGGGCAGTCGATGTCCTCTTCGGTGGAACTAACGGCGGCAAAGCTGATGGCAGGCTTCTGCCGCCAGACTGGCTGAGGAACATATCGAGGGTACGTTGACGTGGTAGTGGCGGGTTTCCCAGGCCCGTTGGAGTCGAGCCCGCCTGCGGTTCTGTTGGTAATGGCGGGGGCATAGTGGAAGCTCTGGTAAGAAGCACCGTAGAGGGAAATGCAAGATTCGTTCACTGAGTCTTGTCCCGGGTTGATTTAAGTTGAGGTTAAAGAACCTACTTTAGTACCTAGGTAGCTAAGGACGCGTTGATACGCCAGAGACGCGGTTGACAGAATCGGCAATAAGCGGGGCAGGCCACCTTGGGGTGGTTTCCGGCTCTCGCTCTCTGTCCATCAAACCTCCTGCGGCGACGCGTTCAGCAGTACACAACCTAGGTGAGGTAGCCAACCGTTGTCCCAGAGCGCTCTAAGTGATGTGGAATTTAATGGGACAGAAGGTGTTGCACCTAACCGTCATGTGCATCTTCAACATGACTTTAGTACACTGCACAGCCGTATTCCGCATCTCAGTGTAATACTGTGGTAACCACTTCCGAGACGCAATCGTGACTTAATATAGCGCCATGTCACCTATGGACGCTCCTCACCCCTTCTATCGGATCACGTCGGAGGCCATCAATAGAGCAGCTAGGGAGCGATTATTAATCGAGCAGCCGGGGAGACATTATTAATCAAGCATCCCGTTCGGCCCTCCGTAAATGCCGTCATTGATCCGACCGATGGTCTAATATCACGGACCGTGCCGACTACATGCAAGCATCCCATAAATACAAAGCTTCCTTTTCCCCCCTCTCGCACAGAGATACTTATCCACCGCTTCTACGATTCTTGACCACCATCTCTTACATTGCGCCGTGCCTTCTTTTCAATTGCAATTACCAATCATGGCTTCCAAGTCCTTCTACGCTATCATATCCGGAGTCGGTCCCGGAACAGGTCAGAGCAGCGCCTGACTACAGCATATGTGTATCGGTGCGCAACCGGAGCTAATCAATAACAGGCCGCGCGACAGCGCTCCGCTTCGCCCAAGCCTACCCAGTTGTCTTGCTTGCTCGCAAGCCGGAGAGCTACAGCTCCATCGTCACCGAGATCAAGGAAGCTGGGGGGCAGGCTTTCGGCCTCACCGCCGACGCTACGGATGAGGCTGCCGTCAATGCCGCATTCGAATCCATCAAGAAGATCCTTCCTGGAAGCAAGCTCGCCGTCGCAGTATACAACGTCGCCGGCGGCTTCGCTAGGAAGCCATTCCTTGAGCTCAAGAGGGAGGAACTGGATGCCAGTCTCGATGCAGCACCGTACGTAGAATAGACTGCGTACCGAACTGACGGCAACTACTGACACGCAGCCGCAGAAAGGGATTCTTCACATTTGCGCAAAAGACACTACCCCTTCTACTCGAGTCGGTGCCGGAGTCGCCTCACCCGCCGTCTCTGATCATCACAGGAGCCACGGCGTCCATCAAGGGTTCTGCCTTGTTCGGTTCATTCGCTGCGGGCAAATTTGCTCTCCGTGCTTTGGGCCAGAGTCTGGCCCGCGAGTTCGGTCCCAAGGGTGTTCATGTATCGCATGCAATCATTGACGGAGTGATTGAAATACCTAGGACCAAGGGATTTACCGTTAACAACGGTGCCGAAGACGGCAAAATCTCACCGGACGCCGTAAGTCCGTAGCATTCACTATACAGAAGACCCCTGCTGACTAGTTCGTCGAGATTGCGGAGACGTACTGGCATCTGCATACGCAACACCGATCCGCCTTCACTCAGGAGATTGACATCAGGCCCTATGTGGAGAAATACTGAGCGAGAAGGTCTGTTCATGGCTCCAAGAGCCGAGTCCGGGGGTCCACGTCATGGATATGGAACAATCGCCAACTTAAGGTATGGCATGTCTAGATAGTCAGAGACCCTCAATGATATCCTAGTGGTAGCCTCACATATACCCATCTTCGGATCGTAGTGTGCACGTCGCGAACGTAGTCATACTTCATTGATCTTAGGGTGAGGGTAGACGAATCCGCCATCGTGGCTTGGCGTAGCATCCACACGGCCGCCGTATGAACCTGGTCATGCAGGTGCTCGGAATCGGCCTATTTCGTGGTGGCGCTCGCGGCCTCGGGCGTGTACAGGAAGGTTGCTTGACCGTTAGCAAATTCAAGATCCTGACGCCCCGGCAGCTGCCGTGTCCGGTACCACCGGCGGAAGCGTGCCACCGTTGAGAGCCAGTAGACGTTCCTCTTCCCTCTTGTCGCGGAGAGCCTGAGTCTCGGCCCGTAGCTTCTCCAAGTTCCAAACTCCGTCGTCGTCGTCTTCGTCTTCTTCTTCGTCTTCGTCCTCTGCTGTCCGCCAGTTGCCACTTTCGAACAGGGCACGACCAGTTGCTTCCTTGGCTTTCTTGGCCTGTTCCTCGGCGGCCTTTTTGTCCAAACGATCCTTCTTCCACTTGGCGAATGTCTCTGGCGTGACCGGTGTGAGGGTTCCAGTGAGTTTGTGTCGTTCAGACTCGAGGAAGTCTTCGAGGGTGAGAGTCTTGAGGGGAGACTTGTCCATCAAGGCCTTCTCGGCAGCCCGCTGCTCCTTGGTCTTCAGGATGAATCTACAACTGTGTTAGTCTCCAAGTTTGTCCCCGGGCCGTAATCGACTTACCCAGGGGGCAGGGCGTGCTTGTATTTGCACTTGTCACCTCCGTTTGGACAGATCCAGAACCATCCGTATTTGCCATCCTCGATGGCCTCGACAAAGAACTTGCAGACTTTGTCTGTGGTAGTCTGTTGGTTGCCCTTCTTGGAAAGGACGACGGAACGGAGCTTCTCCTCGTCCCAGTCTGCAGATGTCTCGGCCTTCTTCTTCTCTTCCTCTTCCTTGCGGGTGTCCGTGTACAAGTTCTTCTTTACCGTCTTTCGTTCGTCCTCGAGGTTGTGGGAGAACTTGCACTTCTTGCCTTTCTCACAGTTGCCCTTCTTGAAGAAAATACAGACAACAGTCTTGGGATCCACGCCGAAAGGTACCTTTTGGATCTGGGCGGGCTTGTTCAAGAGCATCTCAGTTTCCCTCTTGGCGTCTTCTGCCGCCTTCTTCTCTCTCTCCCTTTGTGCCTTCTCTGCCTCTTTGCGCTTCTGCTCAGCGCTGCCGCCGTTCTTCATCGATGAGTGCAACTGAGCAATCTGCTTCTGAGCTGCACCGCCCTTCTTGTTCTTCATACCAAAGGTCTTGTCCTCGAGGACCTTGCCGGCAGCCGGCTTCTTGGCGCCCTTGTCATTCTTCTTGGGAGGCATCTTGGCGGGGTAATCGGTGTACGACGAAGGAAAAGACGATGTGTTGAAGCTATTGACTTCCAAAACGAGAAGATGGCCGCTTCGACTGGGTTCTGTCTAGGCTGTGTTGTTCTGGGGGTTGACAGCGGTCGGGGGTAACGAGGTTCCACGGAGATCGACGCAATGTAAAAAGTCGGCACTGGGTGCAAGAAGAGTGGGAGGCGTGGATGAAGTCAGAAGTTCAAGGCACGGTGGGCGGGTCACGTGAAGGGCTGGCATTGGTGGGGGCGGAGCGTCAGCGCAGGCAGAGTTGACCAGGGGGTCACGGCAACTGAAATGGAGGACAGCAAGTCACTCCAGCGGCCGAAAGCTCCAGTGTGGTCTAGTTGTCCGTTTGGCTCAACACCATCGTCCTCATCCCAAGCTCCATGTGCGCCGCCCAGACAAATACAAGTGCACTAAAGTATCGTTCCACTTCTTGTTCCTGACTTGTGGATTCAATATTGGGAGAACGTAAGTCGCCATTCTTACGGATTGTTCTCAGGTCTAGTTTGCAAAGTAAAGAAAGCTTACACTACGAACCGCAGACAATCCCGCAAACTTTCTACCTACCACGACGCCCACTCCAATTGCTATTGCACAGACAGTCCTAAGCCCATCATGATATCCGACAACGATCTCTACCGCCTTGCGATTTTTCTTGGCTCCGCCGCCATGGTTTTGATCATTCTTTACCACTACGTCGAAGTCAATAGGGAAGAGGAGCAGCCCGCGAAGCCTGTCCAGCCTGCCAAGTCCGCAAAGGCTGTGCCGTAGAGGCGCGCGCCTGGGATTAAGGCTACCATGGTCAAGATGGACCACTTGTACTATCACTGGCGAGGAAGAAAAAAGTGAACGTTTGCGATAACAATGACGGCGATGCCTCGGCGCGGGCGACGCAAGACTCCGATCGACAGCGGAAGAGACAGGATGCGAGGGACACAACGATGGGCACTTGCCGCAGCTCAGCACCGCGCGTAAATAAGAACAAGGACAACAACATAACGCTGTTCTGACCTGCGACGAAAGCAGCAGATACTCGGAAGGGGCCACCAGGCTCCCCTTCAAGATACACAATTGAAACACTCAAGCACTGCATAATGAACATGGTTCTTTTTGAGAAGTCGTGCGCCAGGCAACAACACTCAGGTTTGCATTATATATGCGTTTCAGATACCAAGTGCTGCAAAGGCATGCGAAGATAACCTCTCTCCGCAGGGTCAGGCTAACTAGGTCGGATTGCCAGCTCTAGAACAGAAGGAAGCCCTACGGTAATGCTAACGCCTGTGGAGCCACTGGCTTTGCTGAATTGCAGGCAGCTTCATGTATATTCTCACATAGTATTTCAGGATTGCTGAGCCTTTCCTTGTGATGATTCCCCTTGCTGACATGATGGTCGACGGTCCACGGCTTTGCCAAAGCATAATACGCCCTGTAACACCTGCGTCTGTCCGGCTCGTTGATACTCGCATCTCTAAGATTCGCCGTCCTGTGTGCGATGCGTCTTCGCCTCTAGTTCTGCTACCATCCTGCCCGTTTGTTTTGCACTTGCTACCAGGTAGCTAGATATCTTCGGGAAGGAAGCTGACGGATGCAGAAGTCAAAAGTGAAGCGAACGTCCCTGAATCGGGAACCGAACAACAGGATGGCAGACAGGGGATGATGTGTGGCTGAGAAGGCAGCAGCAGCTCAAGTGGACCCCTGTCATATGTCCAGAAACGGACTAGCTTCCCTTGTTCGCCGCCCAAGGACCGGAGTCCTCACCTTTTAGGCCCCTCTTGTTTTGGTCAGGCGGGCCCGCAGCCTGCCGCTTCCCCCAGGGCCAGACGCTTCCACTGGCAAAACTGGCCTTCTCCTTTCCCTTTTCGCGTCTCCCCTTCCTTTCGCAACCTTTCTCCTCCCACCCCCAGGCAATCCTCAAAAACCTAGCTTTACAAGACCCCTCGACCTCAAGACCGCGCTCTCTTTCTCTTGCTGCATTATCTGTGCAGCCGCTGTATTCTCTCTTACTTTTTCTTCAAACCGACCACTTCGCATACGACCTCCGTCGTCGCGCAGATCATCAACGCGTCGACCTTTGATTATTCGCCTTATCACATCTTCATCTCGGATCGCGCTCTTGGCCCGAACCATAGTAGGAAGGAGCCATCGACCTCGCTGTTACTCCATCGCAGCATCTTATTTGTTTTACCATAAATATCACCAAAACAACCCAGTCGACCACCCCGAAATCCACATTCATCATGTCTGCCAAGCTCAACCAGTCTCTTGACGAGATCCTCTCCACCCAGCGTCGCTCTGCCGGCGGTCGCCGCTCTCAGCGACGATCCACTGGCGGTCGCCCAGCTGCCGCAGCCCCAGTCGGCGGTGTTCAGAAGACATCAAAGCCTGCGCGTGCCGCCGCAAACAAGCCCAATACCGCCAAGCCCGCGCAAGGCACCGGTGACAGCAAGGTCATCGTGAGCAACCTGGTAAGATCCTCTCCTTGCGTCTTGAATCCAGACATGACTAACGCGTTCAAAGCCCAAGGATGTCAACGAGCAACAGATCAAGGTATGTTGCCGATAAGGCTCTTCAGCCCTCGGACTTTGTTCGACATGTTATTTCTCGCCCGTCCTCCTTCCCAACCGGCGTCGTAGCGAGAGCAAGCCCTGCGTGGCCATTGCCACCTGCCAACTGGAATTTGCCAAGACGCCGCAAGACTCCTTCCTCAAACCTGCGATCCTGAAATACGGTGCAGAAACCATTGGAAGTTGAGCACGCCCCTGTCGCGCAACCACAGTATCCTCTCGAGTAGCCTGGTCAGCACACGAGCAGAGTGGTACCGCCGACTGAGAAACGGGGCGTTGGCTGTTTATGACGCATATTCACATAAGCTTGGTCTGATGCTGCTCGTTAAACATGGCAATGCGATATGAAGCCCTTTCCAGCGAGCACAGCAGTGAGCATCGGCGCAGCACAGGCTAGGACGGCTTCGATATTCGGCTTCATTGCTTTCGATATGCCAACCTACCAACATTTGGATTGCGCACCGCTGGGATCTGAGGTGCCCACACAGACGGTCTCGAGGCCTGAAAACGGTCTTTGCCGCGGTTCTACGGCCATCTGGTTCGAGATTTGCCTTCAGCAGCTGTTACGACTTGGGGTGATACCCTCCGAAGTGATAGCGACTGAGCATGTGACAACCCAATACGCGGTTTCCCGGGGGATAGACGCTGACACGCGTACTAACGCTCACTGCTCTGCTCGCTGCTTCGTTCATCGTGCTCTCGACCATACTTGGATTCCTCGAATTCTTGCCCCAGTGCGGCGCGGTTTCGGATGACGATTGTGACTAAACATCAGCGCTTGCGGATAACTAACATCGGTTCCCCTCAGGAGTACTTCGTCACGTCAGTTGGACCCATCAAGAGAGTAGAAATCTCCTACGGACCCAACTCTGTCAGTCGCGGAATCGCCAACATTACTTTCCGCGAGCCGGACGGCGCTAGCAAGGCCTTCCAAAAGCTGAACGGTCTTCTCGTCGACAACCGCCCTATCAAGGTAGGACACCACCAATGTTGTGTTTCCGGATTGAATCTAACTCGTCGCAGATTGAGATTGTCGTCGGTGCTTCTCAAGCGGCCAATGTCATCCCGCCCACGAAGTCGCTTGCTGAGCGCACCACGTAAGTGACACCCTGGCGGACGATCAGGCGCAATCTAACTCGTCAGCAGTCAGCCCAAGGCTCAACCCAAGTCCGCTGCCAACAACAAGCGCAACACTGCCAACGCAGGCAACAAGGGTGCTGCTGCCCCTGGCGCTCGTGGCAAAAAGCCGGAACGCCGTGCACGCACCGGCCGCCCCGCGAAGAAGACCGCGGAGGAGTTGGACTCGGAGATGGCCGACTACTTCGAGTCCGGCACCAACGCCGCCGGTGAGAACGCTGCTCCCGCTGCTGCGGCTCCCGCAGCTGCCAATGGCGATGCCCCTATGGAAGACGAAATCATGTAAAGACAAGGCTGGTTAAGCTTGATCTTGGATTCACCAGTGGGAGGCCATGATTGAAGGAGGTCGAAGAGGTACATCGCGCAGGGGGGCGCCCGTCATCTTTCCCTTTTCGTGTTTCATGGAGCACTCGTACAGATTGCCGGAAGGAGAGTGAACACATGCAGGTTCAGGGATTCCCGGCTTGGTTTCTACACAGCTTGCTTATTTCGAGCTTGCAAATTGCCCCTCTCCCAGCGTTTCGGCGCGACCCCAAAACACAACAAAACGGCGCTTCGGCTTCGATGAGCCGGAACACACATAAACCTTTCATCTGTTTCGCCCAGGTTACAACAGGGCTTGTATCATAGCGAACCCATCGTAGGACAGACTTTAATGTACAAAGCGCCGGGCACCCAACTACTGATCATTCCATGGAATTGCGGGTGAATAGGACTTGGATTCTCTCCGATTTGAGCTACGGTTAATAAACTCCCGTGTCTTGAACATCTGAGATCAACCCACCAATGCTGGGTCGATTCTTGATGACGATGTACAGAAGCCTTCATTCCACCTTGGGCAGCGTCTCTCGTCGCTCATTTAACAGAGCACTTGGGCAGTCGGCATTTAGACGCGCTGGACGTATGGTATGGCAGGAATCAAGATTGCACAAGATCACAAGGGGAATAAAGCTGGGTATGGTTTGCTGGATTGATTCGTCTTCGTCGTAATCAGGCGCGCTTCCTCGAGGATCGGGTGCCAACGGAAAGAGGCTATCGCCACGAGATGGGAGAAACATGACCTTGGTATCCATTCGTCAAATGCCTCCGCCGTCGTCGCCTCTCTTTGCCCCCGCGCTCTCGCTCTCTCGCCAATAGACATGATAACCAGTCCCAAATTTCACGAATCGTCTTTCTTTCTGTCTTTTGATTTCAAGAGGGAATACATTCAGGTCGTTAGTCTAGAGCGTAATCCGCGGTCTCCGCGTAGCCGTTGTCGCTGGCTCAGCACAGCCGGGAAGCCGTCTCGGATATGGGTGATGGTTCAGAGGATAATATGATTTATTTCTCCGCAGCCTTGGCGTCGGCGCCGCCGGCGGCGGCGGCGGGGGCCTTGCCGTCATCCTCACCCTCCAGAGGCGGCATGTCATCGTCGTCATCGCCCTCCTCGTCGTCTTCCATGTCTCCCATATCGGGAAGACCGCCGCCGCCGCCAAGCTTGGAGAAGTCGATGCCGCCAAAGTCGCCGCCAGCACCTCCCATGCCGGGCATGCCGCCTATCAAGTTGTTATGTTAGCCTCCGAGGTTGTGAACGGAAGAGTCGTCTGTGCTACAATCCGCCAATGGCGGGACATCGCAACAGGGATGGATTGAGTTACATACCCATGCCACCGAACTGAGAGAAGTCTTCCTCAGCAGCCTCGTCCTGCTCGTCCTCGTCGACCCACTTGTCAAAGTCGGTCTTGAGGAAGTGAGCCTTCTTGGCCTCCTTGAGCAGGCGGGGCCAGTACTCCTCCTTGAGCTCCTTCTTCTGGAGCTTGAGCTCTACATTCTTAGCAGTGTGGTTGATTTTGCTCTCTGCGGGGTCGATCTCGGCGTAGAACTCGAGGTCTACTGCGTATGAGCGCTTCAGGGTGTCGGAGTGGCCGCTGAACGACAAGCCGGTAGGCTTAAGGTCAAGCTTGAGGTTTGAGGCGGGAACATCGGGGACGGAGATGGTCAGGTAGACGAAGTTCTTGGAGGGTTCAGACGAGCTGGAGCGCTGGGCCCAGAGAACTGTTGCGGTTGGTTAGCTTCTGGTTTGGTCGAGAATGCGACGGAAAATAAAGTTGTTGGAGACTATGAAGCGACGATTGATATCATGGAATGCTCCATTGGGGAGAGGGAGGAGGCTGCACTTACCTTCGGGGGTTGACGTGGCGGCAGACATTTTGCTGGTTCGCAATGTGTCGTGTAAGGAGCTATGACGGGGGATGAGGGGTAGTTTTCTTTTTTACGCGGAGCGCAAATGGGTTGCTGTGAGGCAAATGGCAAGTAGCAAGATGACCAAGTAAAGAGAGTATCAGAAGGTCTCTCGTCCGGAAAGAAAATTGACAACTTGTTTCGAGTTGCAAGAGGTGGGAGTTGGTGGTTGAAGTGTGGGAGGGAGGAGAAGCTGGAAGGTGGCTGTGAGGCTACGGGTTTGAAAAGGCAGGGCCATTGGTTGGGGGCGGTCGTGAGGTTGGGTGGGTTCTAGTGGCCGCCTGCAGAGATCACGGGCAATTGTGGAAGGCGCTCGAATCCAAAAGATGTGGCGGCAACCCACACTGACTACCTACCTAGGTATCTAGGCACTAACTAAGCAGGCAGACAGAACTACACACTGTTTGTGGTCCGCTGCCGACCTAACCCTGGCAGGGCTGAACGGCACTGTTCACTTGGAAATCCCCTCTCTGTTCTGGGCTGGCTGAGCTTCTTCCTGCCATTCTAGTGATTACCAGGTACTTCCATTTGCGTGGGACTTTGGCTCCAGTACCAAGTACCGTCCCCTGTCTTCCCCTCTTTGCTGACGTTCGGTAAAACGGCCAGAGAGTTCTTTCCAGCCTCCCCTCCCCCTTGCAACCCCACAAAATAGGTAGGTACGAACAGTGATCTGAGTGGATGCTGGCTTTTTCCTGCAGCTCTGAAGTTAGGCGCATCATGGCAGAAACTGTGAACCGCGTTCGGGTCGCTTTTGTATTGTGTTGTGTTTCTTTAAGTTGTATCAGCTGCTGTGAGGCAATCTGAAAGTTTGGATCGCGTTCGAAACGACTGTCTGTTCTCCGTAGCGTTTCCCAGTCCCTCAGCGCTAACATCGTCATCAAACCGGACCTGGAGATCAATGTGCTTGTGCTTATCATGATACACGTATGTGTCTAGCCAACTTCGTCTTGTCTTTTGCGACTCCAACAAACGGCGCACTGAGATCTTCATGCCCCTCTCCCCCAAGCCCTTATCCACCTGGGGTCTCATTTGCTGCGACAGGGCTCGCCCGGAATACGCGATTTGTCTATCGTGGTATCTGTACTAATGCACCTAGATGTCATCAATTCCTGTTGACGCCGGGTGAGCCTGTCCGGACTGCACGGATTTAATGTAGTCGTCATGCCGCCATGAGATAGAAATCGAACTGCTTGGCAACACGGCGACACAACTTTCAGCACGAGGTTAGACTTATGGGTTCGTCTTGAAGTCAGTTCAGCGTCAGTCAGTACCTAGGTACGGATACCTAACCGACGTTTTGCTTGGGTTGTGCAATTGGGGGCTAGTGTGATTAGTCAGCTACCCAGTAGATGCATACTTATCCCAGTTGGCTAATTACTTACATGCCTTCGAGTGGCACTTTCTCCACGTGACGACAATCCCCCACTAACAGGTCGTATCAGTCAAAACAGCAAGTAGGGAATGACGACAAATCGCTATCCAACCCAAGGCAGCGCTCATTGATCCTGTCAAACAGACAAGGCTGGTGATAGCCCGGCACGCATCCACCATTTTTCCAAACGATTCTGCGACCGAACCCCGAATTCCACCCTGTCTTGACGGATTGACGGCCTGCGGTCGTTCGCCTGCCGATTAACCCACCATGGAGACGCTCAAAGCGTTATTCGTCAAGCCTGATCCGCAGCAGCAGGTAAACCGAGTCCGTCACGACAATCCAACTACAAGTTGCTAACCTTGATTTTCTCACTAGCTGCGAAAATGCAACGCCCTCCTCCGTGCCAACGTCCGCAAGCTAGACCGCGACATCAACCAGGTTAGGCAGGTAGAGGCCAAGACGAAGAACCTCATCCTTCAGGCCGACAGGCGAGCGCAACGAGACCCCACGAGACAGAAACAAGCACAAAAGGAGGCCCGCGATTTCGCTCGGGAGCTCATCCGGGCACGAAAGACCAGCAACCGGCTCGTCACCTCCAAGGCGCAGCTCAACAGCGTGCAGATGCAGGTCAATGAAGCGTTTGCTGTGCGCAAGATCGAGGGCAGTATCCGCGCGAGCGTCGGCGTGATGAAGGACGTCAACCGCCTGATCCGTCTGCCCGAGCTGGCAGGCACGATGCAGGAGCTGAGCGTCGAGTTGATGAAGGCTGGCATCATCGAGGAAATGGTTGGCGAAAGTCTGCCCGAGGACATGGACGAATTTGAGGAGGAGGAGGCAGAGGGCGAGGTCGACAAGGTGCTCGGCGAGATTCTCAAAGACCGCATGCCCAAGGAGCAGATGCCCGCGGCGCCGGTCCACCAGGAGCCGAAACCGGTCGAAGCCGAGGAAGAAGAGGAGGACGCCGAGGCTATGATGGACCAAATGCGCAACAGGCTCGAGGCCCTGCGAAGTTAAGGACTTGCATATTCGATAAAGACGGCGTATGGCGTTTTTCGTTCACGTTTACGGGTGTCGGTCGGTTGATCAGTTCGAGTTTTCAGAGAAGGAGCATCCCCGTAGAATCGGATCCAGCGTCTCACAGACGCTTGACACCGAACACGGCATCCGCCAACAATGGTTTGTCGATGCCTTTCTGTTACTCACGAGGTTGCTCCTCTTCTCGCAGGCCATGTTTATTGTTTCGTCCGGCGTCAGGAGTAGCCGTGTTTCAGCAGTATACAGTCTCTTGACACCTCGAGAGGACGAACGCATTGTCCCTGGCCGTAAGGTGCGGCAAGGGTTCTTCATTTGGCCATCCGCATGGAATTGGAGACCTAGAGAGATACATTTTGAATGATGACATGTCACGACGATGAATCAGCTTCCTTGACTTGATGTTGCCGTGCTGTTCTGGTCTCATTGCGTATTCCAACCCACAAACGAGCGCGGTCTTGCTTTCGGGAGCATGCTTGGTACACACTTTGTCGGCCGTTGCACTGAAATGACACATTTTCAGTCTGGAGCTTCGTTGAGGATGATTAGAAAGCCCCTCCCGACCGACCTATCCCGTCAGTGGGTAAGGATATTATTGCTCATATAACCTATACCCCCAGCGCCGCTAGTGCCGCCTCCAATACGACGACGACGACGACGACGACGACGACGACGGGCATCACCACGAACCTCTTGACAGAGCATCAATATCCGCCAACGGCCCCTTGGGCCATGCCCGCCCGTGCCCCTTCCATCAGCGCCACCCCCAGTGCTGCCACCGCCGTTGGCGTCTCTGCAGCCTACACGTCTAAATAAGAATGGAACAAATGATGAAAACGGGGGAGAAGATGGGGATTGGAATGAGGATGGAAACAAGAACGGAAAGAAGGGGGAATAAATAGAAAAGAAAAGGGTTTGGGAATGAGCTGGACTTACACGTTATTTGTCGTGATCATAATGCACAGACACTTTGGCTGTTGGAATCAGTACACAATAGCAAGATGGATAACGCGGGCAACACCCTTCGACACGCCCCTTCAATATGTTTGTTCGAGGACCGTGCGTGCTCTCAACTCTCTGTTTTTCAATTCTGTCTTGACTCACTTCCTATCTCAGGCGTCAATATTGAGCCCTAGGGAGCATCCAGTCTCTGTACAAGCTCTCAGGCGCCCTTACACTGACTTGATAAGGTCATTCTCCTCTTCAGAGACCGGACCGATCTTTCTGATGACTAGGTGAGCTGTCTACAACCAACCGTCATAATCACTGGCCCGTCGGACGGGGCGAGGACCCCAATGGTGCACATCTCAAGCAGCGCTTCCTCTTGGCCAATGGCTCTGATTTTGCCGCTATGGAGAATGTGATTCGACGAAAGGTATCCGGACTCCCGCCAGAGTCCATTTTCTGCTTCGTCCAGATATCTCCTTCCATGGCCTTTCCCATTCGTTCTTCTAAGAGACCTCCGCTGCCGTCCGCCGAGTGTAGTAGGACCGATTGATTTCAGCACGTGGGAAGGCAAGCAGTATTGAATTTCGCCAAGCCATGCTTTCCGGCCTGAAATCTCCTTACTCAAGTCGGAGAGGACAACGCGCTCCAACTGGGTGCTGACACATGCACAGGTGTATCGACGCCACATGTCTCCACAGCGGAGCGGGACGCAATCCTCACAAAGCATAGCCAAAGCCTTATCCAATACCGACAGGGTCCTTAGCTAAGCCAGCAGCAACGAGCTCCATATTCCCATCACTAACTAGGCGGGTGGGCAGAGCCTGGACTTCTGGCATGCCTATGTTAGCGGAACCAACGGAAATGAAGTCATGCGGGCATGGCACGCGCACTTCCCTCTAGGCTGGCCGACCCGCCTGCCTGTCTGCCAAGCCTCTGCCGCCGGTGGTGACGGCGTTGCCGTCAAGCTTAGTCAAGCCCACGCATCGGCTTCGAAATCCCAGGGCCGGGATCTGGGGAAGATCGCTACCATGAGAAATGCGAGATTGAGGCTCTCCGCATCTCATCCACGGGTGCGGGTGAACCAGGCGGAGTTCCGCCGCCGTACACGGCTCCAGACCCCCTTCGGTAGGCCCAGGCCACCAATGAAAAAGCCCGGAGCTAGCGAGAGACCTGCCCGGGTTCCCGGTCTATGTCGAGCCAACAGGGGGGAGCTTACTAACGGACAGGACAGCATCTGTACACTTCATGCTTCGTCAAGCTGACATTCACGATAGTCGAATGCACCCTTTTTCCGAACCGGGAAATTTATTCCCAGGGGCCAGAGGAATCAATACTTCGCCTTGGCGAACCGCTTGGGAACTCTAACCCCAACGCAGAACCGCCGTCCATCTCGAAAGACATGGGCTATTGGAAATCCCGCATCGTGGGAAAGGGGTCGGCTTGGTCATTGAAGTGCCAAGGGCCGATACCGACGTCGTCGACATTGTGGGGCATCCCCAGGGACGAAAATCCTTGGCCTGATGGTGATGGTATCTCTGGCTGGCGTGATATATCGTCAGAACCTCATGTATAAAGAGCATCAAGTCTCGCCCTCAGTCAACGTCTTTCTTTTTGCATCCTCATCCAGCAGACAAGTCAATCACAGCCTTAACAGTCTTCTTTCAATCCCCAAAGACTTAACCAGCTCCCCGAAGAACCAGCTTCCAACAACTCTCGCCAAGATGAAGTTCTCTCTGACTCTCGCCGTCTCGGCGCTCTTCGCCGCTGTCAACGCTGATGGTGAGCATCCTCACCCCCCTCACCCTGCCTCAAGGAGCAGCCTCGCTAACATGAGCACGCAGCCGTCCCCTGGGAGAGGCTCAACAAGAACGACTCGATGCTCCTCGTCGTCGACATGCAGGAGGGTCTCTACACCCTCGCGCGCGACTTCGATGCCACGCTCTACCGCAACGCCATGCTCGCGCACTCCTCCATGGCCAAGATTTTTAACCTCCCCGTCGTCATGACCACCTCTGCCGAGACTGGTATGTCTTAGCCCTTTCCCCTTGTCCACGTACCCGAGGCACACAGAAGGCTGACACGTGCTCCAAGGCCCCAACGGTCCTCTCCCCCAGGAGATCCTGGACATGCACCCCACCGCGCCACTGATCAAGCGCAACGGCGAGGTCGATGCCTGGGACAACTCGGACTTCCGCGACGCCGTCCGCGCCGCCAAAAAGTCGCAGATCATCCTCGCCGGCATCACCACAGATGTCTGCACCACCTTCCTCGCCCTCTCCCTCCGCGCCGAGGGCTACTCCGTCTGGGCCAACGTCGAGGCCTCCGGCACCACCACCGAGCTCATCCGCGGCGTCTCCAACGACCGCATGGCCGCCGCCGGCGTCCAGGTCGTCTCCCTCTTCTCCATCGCCATGGACCTCATGCGCGACTGGCGCAACACCCCCGGCGCCCTCGAGCTCTACTCCTGGCTCGACCAGTACTACCCCGTCTACGGCTACCTCGCCCGCGGCCACCGCGCCGCCGTTGCCAACGGCAGCATCAGCGACGCTGAGGCGACGCTTCCCTTGTAAGCCTCGCGGAGAGCGGACCAGGGGGGGAAAAGGCCCATGGGAAAAACGATGGGATGATAACGCGGTTCCTTCAGGAAAATTAAATGAAAAAGGGGACGGTGGAGAGCGAGTTTTCTTTTCGGAAACCGCTCAACATGCATGACTTTGCGTGCTTCTTCGTCTTCTAGTCTCTCCTTCACGAGCCTCTGCGGCTATTGTTAGAATTTTGGCATTCTCCGGATGGCTTTGTTTTGTCTCGCAAGACTCTAGAGCAAACATAATAGACAGTCCAGCACCTGCACTTTGCTTGCCGATGCGGCGAACCAGTAGTGACAATGAGAGTTGCATCCTCAATCCACAGGTGCGGGTAAAAAAGCGAAGCCTCTGGATGGGCAAGCACGTTACTGCGAGCACCCCGACCATTGCCCAGGTGCGTCCGGCCAGCTCGGAGTGCCCCGAGCATGGTATCTCTCGGCCGTTTGCGGATCGTCGCGGCTAGCCAGTCTTCCTAGCACGTATATCCCGAATAGGCAAGTCGCGGTTCCCGACGCCGGTCACACGGACCAGCGCGGCGCCGGCCACTAGAGACCCACCTGTCCGGACCGGATGCGGATGCAACGTCGGGGGTCCGAACACGCAGCGACTGACGTCTGTCCCCCGATGACCTCGCCGTCCCCGGCACGTGGATTGGAGGCGATCACAGCAACTGTAGGGTTGACAGCGGCCGTGCTTGCCGTAGATGGTTCCGGGACGGCCAGGGGGGTCATTGTCCGTATGCGGGCTGATGCACCGTCAGGTTCCGTATCGTGGTGCCGAAACAGCGGGGGAAGGGGGGAGGCAGCGTGCTCGATCCGGATTGCCCTGCATACGCACCAGCCTCCCTCGAATTACCTAATTGCGCGGATGGGAGGCATGCGAATTCCAGATTCCGATAGTACCAGGGCGTTTGCATGCAACCAACCCACCACCACACATGTCCCGGGGGCGCCATCCGCGTTGAAACCCACCGCACGCTCACGCCCGCCCATCGTCGCCGTCGTCGACGACTGCGAGGGAGACTGAGGGCGCCGGGCGGTCGATCGCCACCAAGCCGGTCATTTCTGGATGCCGCCTTCGGAAAAGGGGGCAAAAGGAGAAACCCTGCATCTCACTCGCTGCCCCCTCCCCTCCCCCCGGCATTCCTCTCGTGAGACCCCAAGCGCGAGGTCGACGACTTTGGGTGTGGTCAGGGCGCTCCTCTCCTCCACCAAACGGCGCAGGACGTCACTTGGTTGTACAAAAACAGAGGGTCGCGGAACAGGTCGTTTGCTTTTTTCCCCCCCCCCTTCCCCTGGCGATCCTTGGGGGGCGCGATCAGAGACATTGCGGTGGTGCGTCAACCAGTTGCCCGTCCGCGACCGGGGTCAATTGTCGCAGAACAGCCAGAGGTTATGGAGGAAAGGTTGCTGGAACGGAGCTGTCTAGGCCCCTTTTTGTGTCTTTGCCTTTCCAAACCACGCTTATATGTCTTGCTTTTCCTCTTCCTCTCACGCCCTTTCACCCCCTTCCCCCCGGATTGATGTACCTACGCAATAAGACACGATGAGAGACAGTCCATTCTCACCCTGTTGATCGCCAAGGGTGGGGAGGAAAGAAACATAAGACGAGACAACCCAATCTCGGGGAAAGGGTCTATCATTCCTCCTCATTCCTCTCCGCACCGCTATGTGACGTCCGTGAGCGTCGAAGGGGAGGGAGGGGGGTGGCCGCGGATGCGGATGCCGTCGGCGCGAGGTGTCAATGGGCGATGGCAGAAACCTGATAAATGCGATTGGCATGGGGCAGCGGCTTCGACTGCAAAAAAAGGCGGACGGTTTCAGCTCCCGCCTGCCGGCATCTGCGTACTTCTCGTCCCTTTCGGCACTGGTCGGGATGCAAGCTGCACGATCGCCGGGCGAATCGGGGCGAGACAGCTCTCCCCGCCGCCCCTGGCTTCAGCCCGGGCTGGCAACTCTCTCTCTTACACGCAGGCGCGCACCCACCGCCCTGTTCCGGAGCGCGCCCTTTTCCTTGCGTACCGCACGTAAGGGTAGTCATAGCTGCCTCCTGCACCCTGCGCGAAAGGGCGGAGTGGAGGCAGAGGAAGAGGAGGGGGGGTGTGCATGCTCGGACACCATGGAGGGGGGGGTATGGCGCGCTGGAGGCGGCCCGCTATCGGATTTCGTATGCAGCACTGCAGCAACGGGATGATATGGGTGGATGACACGGCGCATACCGTACAGGAATAGGGACGAGTGAAAACAGAAATGTCGGCGGTGTGCTAGGCAGGCTTCCTGCCTGCCTCTGTTCCATCAGCAGCGGGTGAGTCACAAAGTGACGGGGCCATGACCACCACGACCACCAGGAAACACGACGGCCACCCGACGGGGAGTGACGAGAATCGGCGCAAACCCAAGCAGATGAGGGAGGGGGGGGGCAGAGCGAGGCCAATTCGTGATGCGCCGGGCGGCGATTGGAGCGCAGCCACGTCTCTCCTTGTTTCGCACGCGCCCGCCCTCCGACGACCGCCCAGTCAGGGCCCCCCGAGCGCCCTCCGGCCATAGGGGGCCCCCAAGCACCGCCGTTTCCTCCCATCCAAAGGAAAGACGAGAATCGTGGTATTGGCAATCACCGACTGTGACGAGCGTGTGACGGGGAGCCGCCGCGCGATTGGATTACTCGATGGGGGTCGCGACTGGCGCGGGGTGTATAAGTCATCCGCGCTTCGGACGTAGTGGGGGGATTAGTCAACAGGGTGGGTGGGATGGGAAGAGGATTGCAAATCGCGGGCGAGGCCCCGTCTGACGGACTGCTCACTACACACACTACTTGCTGATTACGAAAGACGGAAATACGGCTGTGGCTGCGAGGGTCGGCCGTCCTGGCTGTTGGGGATACGGCGTCTCAACGGAACGCCGAGGGTGTGTGTGTGTGTGTGTGTGTGTGTGTGTGCGCGCGTGGGGTCTTTACGGCGGCCCATCTCGACGACGGCGTACATTGGGCTTCGAGGTGATTTGGCATGGCCGGTGTCGAGGCTGCTGACAAAATAGCATGCCGTGTAAGACGAGACGGCGGTAGCGAAAATGGGGAGGGGAGGGGCGTGGGAGGACGGACGTGTGCTTGTGCGTGTAAGTGTCTCTCCCTCATTTCTACGCACGCAGGGCCGGAATGCACGATTCCATCGTGGGATCGCGCGCGCATCTCCCGACAAGGTCTCGACACCGCCTCTGTAGCCAGCCTGGCGCGTGGCGTCGCTGTTGATGGTGCTGGAGATGCGAGATGCGGTCGCGGCAGACCCAGGCAGGCCGTGGGGGGGGGGGGGAGGGGATCGACCGCCAAATTCATAGTACATGCCGCCGCAAGTTCCCCGAGCCCGCTCGGACGGGGTCCAGAACCGTCCGGTCTCCCCTCGGTCATTTGTCACTTGTCACTTATTTGCTAGTGTGTATGTGTGTGTGTGTGTGTGCGTGTTTCTTTTCCTTCATGCCCGACCAATTCGTGCGCCACACCCTCCCCCTGCGCTGCAAGGCCCCGGCCGGGCTAGACCTGCAATGTTCGACCCTGACGGGTGCCATGTGTGTCCATCGTATGCGGGTGTGCGTTTGGGCATAAGGCGGTGACGGAGGGGGCGGCGGGGTGGGAACAGAAAGAAGAAATGCTCGAAAAAAAGAAACAAGCCAAAAAGCAATCTGACAACGCCTCGCAAACAGTACAGAGCACGCAGTACTCCGTATACAGCAAGCAAGCAGTGCCAGCATGGCAACGTTGCGGGACATAAAGCGGCTTCGCAGACCGCCTTATCAGGAGGCGCCAACGGGGCAGACTCCGGCACAACCAATATAGACATCACTCAACGACGGGCAACCCCCACGTTCCTCGTTCGAGGTCTTCCCATGCAGAGAGAGAGATAGAGAGAGATAGAGAGAGAGAGAGAGAAAGAGGTCCCCGGAAAACAGCCTCCCAAAATGGTTCCCGGCGCGAGTGGCGCGGGGTCGGAGCGCAACTAGCGTGAGCGCTCGACGGGTGGCTTCTGCTTTGGCCTCCGGGGCCCTCCGGGGGAACAGACGCCCGTCCGGATATCCAAAATAGAACGCGGCGGCGTCTCGCGAGCGCGGCCGGGTCCGCACGGATCTCATCCCACGAGCATGGAGGCGCACGATCCGAGCGCAGCAGCAACAGCAGCCCGCGCCCTCTCTCTCTCTCTCAGGCCACGCGATATCAAGCGGGAAGAGGGAGGTGGCCGTCCCGACGTTTGAGAAGTAGGGCGTGGTTGCCGGCCGTCGGGCGCCGCGACGAGGGGTTCGAAAAGTAAAAATGAAATTGAAAATAGGCAACGCCAGCGGGAGATGGCGACATGGACGAAAGCTCCGTCGTGATTAAGTGAGTCAGCCGTACGTGGGTATGTAGCGCATCGTATACAGATACGAAGAACACAAAGGGGGGGAACGGGAGAGATAAGCCCGGTCCGGGTCGAGGCCGGTGAACCCCACGCCACGCATTCTATTCGCATCTCGGGAGGGACTGAGAGCAGCGGTGGTAGCGGTATCGGTAGCAGTTGTGGTGGTGGTGGCGGCCTTATCTCTGGCGGTAACGGCGCGGGTTGAAGGCGGCTCGACCACACACGCCCAAGTCCGTTTTGGAGACAGACTCTCTGGCCGTTTCGGGCAACTGGAGCGCCGACTGACTTGCCACGTTTTCTTACCTCAACAGGATCTAATACGGTCTGGGTGTGGGGAGATGGTTGGCTCCGTCTGTCCGCCCGTCGAGCGAGTCAATCTCGCATCCACGCACACGTGGCCCCCGGGCTTGTTGAGTGGAGAAACGACGCTCCGTTACGTTGGGCACGCCGCACCACGCACGCACACGACGACGGATGAACCGTGCCGTCCAATCGTCCATCCGCGGCTTCTGGTAGGCAATTGTTACAGTCGCATCCCCTTTCCCTCCGGTTCCCAGTCTCCGGGATTTATTTCCCAATCGAAATGGCGTGCAACCCGTTTCCAGCGAACCCCCTCCTCCCGAAACTCGAGGGACGGGCCTCCGATACGACGAATGCGACGCGACCATCGTCGTCGGGTCGGGGGTGAGGAAACACCAAATGTTTGTCTCGTCCGGGTTGTCTTGCCCTTTTTTTTTTTTTTTTTTTCTTTCTCTTTCTTTTCGTTTTCGTTCCCACTCTGCTTGGTCTAGGCAGGCCGAGACGAGATCTGTGGTTGAGAAGCAAGAGGTGAACCAGATCCGTTTGGCTGGTGGGGCGTTGGTTGCACAGCAGGTCGCAGAGGAGATGAGATGCGGTACATACACTGTATCCGTACGACCGTATGTAGTAGCAGTTCGCCGCGCATGGTTTCACGGTTCCTGGCGCGCGCCGGCCGACAGGAATAGATCAGCGCGGGTGACCGTACGTACGTACCTATTGTAGTGCACGCTAGGTGCTGAACGTGGCTTGAACGACCTCCAGTTTCGACCCGGCAACGGCCCAGCCGGTGCCGTTTTACCCCGGGTTTTCTTTTCTTCTTCTTCCTTGTTTCTTTTTGTTTTTCTCTTCTTTCCAGGCCTAATCCGGCATACAGTAAAAAAAGAGAGAGAAAAAAAAGTCTCGGCAGGTTTGACCTCAGTCAGTACGACGACGTACACGAGAAAAGAAAACGTCATACCCAGCCCGGCCGAGAGCCGCTCGTCGGGGGTCAGTCAGTGCCCCAGAATGACGGCAGACTGGAGAAGGAAAACGGGGTTTGGGGTCCCCAGTCTTGGCCTTGGGGTCCCCCCCCCCCCCCTCTTTCTGATGTTGATCTTGGTCTGATCTGATTCAAGAAGCTGCGAACTTGCTTCCATCCGCCGTGGAGAAGAAAAGCAACCAGGGGAAAGAAAAAAAAAAAGAGAGAAACCTTCATTAGAGATGCAAAAAGAAGGTTGTTCAGAGGGGCGTGTCTTTCCAGTAAGGGCCACTTGCAGGTCCATGTCGCTCTCGCCATGCGGTTCCGCAGGCATTCCGTTCCGGTTTTTCCTTGGAGCGGATCCGATGTTCGGCGGACGCTGGAGATACCGACTGAAGTCATCGCTGACGTCGGAAACCTGCAAACGACTCGTGTGGGGAGGGGGGGGGCTCGAGTCGTGCGGGACACGTTTCTGACAGGAAAAGGTTAAGTTAAACAGGACCCTTCGCGAAAATGGGCATACGATGTAGCATTCGTGCACTGGGGGTGTAGTGAGTATGGCTTTCAACAAGCAACTTTTTTCTTTTCTTTTTCTTTCTTCGCCTCCTCCATGGAAAACAAGCTCAAGCGCGCTTGAGGGTGCCCGCTTCGGACGATAATCCTATTACAAGATTGCCTTGTCGTGTTGAGCCACACCGGCTTGACTCATGCGCCACCGAGCGTGGATTCCGGGATAATGACCGAGGGGTGTGTGTGTGTGTGTGTGTGTGCGCGCGCGCGTCTGAGGGAGAGAGAGAGAGAGAGTGCAAGTGTGGTTGAGTCGTCGACTCGGGGCCTTCTCTCACGAGCCAACACGACTGACTCAGTCTGGCCAATTTAACGAAACAACCCCGAGACGAGGGTTACGCGGTCGCGGTCGAACGCTTCAACGCACATGCCACAACCTTACATCCATACACACACACACACACACACACACACTTTCTCTCAGAGCAAAAGAAGGCTGGGGTGGGTATCTCCGACGGGCGCTAGAAGGAAAGAATTTTCAAAGAATTTTCCCCTCATCAGACGGACGGGGGGCAAGGCACATAGGTATCACACCGAGTGAGCGAGCCTGTGTGGGTCGTGAATCATTTCCGGTGCAATACCGACCAAACAAGATTCATGAAGGGGGGCCTGAAGCACCGAGAGAAGAGATTCGAGCAAAAGGCCCTTCCTTCGCCTTCTCCTCCTTCCGCATCCGGCCGTACGGATTCCCTAACGGAGGCTAAGGGACTCCCCTTGTCCATAAATCCTCCAAACGTCTCCCACACACATACATCGTACATGCACATACGGATACATAGTACACGTTTTACTACGTAACGTCTCCAGCGTCTCCAGAATCTCGCCGGCTGATATGCCGTGGAATCCCATACCTCGGGCATGCACTGTATACACGTAACGTGCAATATCCTTCCCCGTTCGTGTGGGCCTCGAGCAGAGATTTTCTGCTATGGCCCAAGAGAGAGGAGCTCCCACGGGTGGCCGGAAGCTCCACGAAAGGGCCGCCGGCGACGCCCAAAGAGGAAAGAGAGCGAAGGCTGGAAAGGGCCTAGAGCGTCCTGTCCCTGTCCCCCCGGGGGCGATCGTCCTGTCACTCAGCGGGCGGTGGATCGAGGGCGACCGGCTTTGACAAGCTTGGATCCGCCGGGTGCATCCCCGTTTCATATCTTCCCTGCCAGCCCGACCAAATTTCCCAGCGTCCATTTCACCCAGAACCTGGGACCGACAGCACAGCCAGGGGGGGGGGTGCGCCTGCGAGCGAGATAAAGAGGGGGGCATGAGCCCGTCAACGAGGGCCCAGGCGCCGGAATGGGTCTCCGGTGCATGGGGGATCCCTAGACGCCATGCTCTCTGCCATGCTCTCTATCATAGTAGTAACCCAAGAGGCGGGGGAAAGCAAACGCGCAATCCGCTCTTGTGCAATCTCTGACCGCCTTGAATCCCTCTCTCTTCCTCACCTTCCAACGCTGGACCGAGCCGACGGTTAAAGCAGTTTAAACCCCTGCCCTGCACCGCTCCAGAGGGCGGGCCACACACTCACACACACACGCACACACACACCCTTCAGCGGTACCGCGCTGCCGTATCCCCTTTGCGGAACCGCGGCTCGGGCACGAATTCCCAGCGCTGGGTGGACGTAATCGCGACAATGGGCAACGGGGCGGACTCGCTCCAGACCAAACCGTCGGCCGTAATGACTAAACGGCACCCGCTGTAACCCCTCACCCCTCCGTGGGTTTTTAACGGATCTCGTCCGTCGGGAAGCCACTCCGTTCCAGTCGCAAGCTCTACATATCCTTGTTTTTTATCTTTTTTTTTCTTTTTTTTTTTTAAATTCTTCATCTTTGAGCGGAGCAGTCCGTCGCTGCTGCTAATTGTTCATTGATGCTCAGGGCCCCACAGAACTTGAAGCCTGCCCTACCTACCCCACGATAAGCAGCGTTGTGTGCATTGCGGGGCGGCGCGCCGAGTGGCTTATCGCCAAGTCTTCCTCTTCTGTGACTGTCATTCTGCGCCGTTCCACATCCCGTTCTCACCCGCCGCCGTGCCCGCAGGCAGGTTGTTCGTAAGCAAAAAAAAAAAAAAAAAAAAAAAAAAAAAAAAAAAAGCAGGTTCCAGCCAGCCCTATCATATGGTGTATCGGAGGGTCCGTCATATTTCGTGCACACACACGTCTGGCTGCCCCGCGAGATTCCGAGGTGAGAAGGAGGGAGGGAACACGCAGCGTTCTGCAATGTCCGATCTCGGGGGTGGTGGTAGTGCATGGTGGAATGGAAACGCACCGAAAACCGTATCGGCCCGGGACATGTCGTTTGCGCAACGCTTCCAGAGTCGCGGGAGAGAGAGAGAGAGAGAGAGAGAGAGAGAAACATGGACGCTTGGAGGAGCAGCAAAATGCAATACATCATCGGCAGCCCTTCCCACGACCGGTCGGAATGCCTCGGGACCTCTGCGGCGTGAACTCTCGAGATAGCTCCCGACATGGTAGACATGCATCATGGACAGCAGGGGAAGCTTTGTTGATCCCCCAGGTGTGGCTGAGGCCTCCCTTCCCCACTAAAGAATTCATCCCCCCCCCCCCCCCACGCCGACGCCACACACAATCCACAATCTCGATTGCGCCTCGAGGCCGAACCTCGAGATGACGTCCCGTGACGCTTGCGAGCTACGAATGACCCGACAACGAACAAAGTCTCGAGAGCATCGCACTCGGCGAGTGATCAACTCTGAGCGTGTCGCGATTACGACCCATTGCCCAGGTCTGGGGCTGAGACGTTCCTCATCATTCCCTTCCCTCCCCTCCCCTCCACCCGAGTCCGGATGCCGAGTCCGAAAGATCCCGTATCCCCCCACGGCCTTGGCGACAGTGCATCTCGGCATTGCTATTACCGTCCGTCGGCGGGATGAAAGTAAACACCACAATCGAGATATCTATTAAGGCTTCCGCGGCACCTCGGTAATCTGCTGCTGTCTAAGACCTCTCCCCCCCCCCCGGTAGATAGAGTCTAAATGGGGGGAGGCGGAGGAAATAACAGCCGGAAAGGCTCCGCGGACCGCGGTTCACATGTAACGCCCCGAAAGGACGAGGAGGGGCGCTATGGCCTATGCGCCATCTAGTTGACCCAAATACGATCTGCCGAGCGAAGTGTGGCTGGCCCAGCCCCCCGGGTCCACGACCCACCACCGTCCACGATCCGCGGGCAGGCCTTTTCGCAACAATGACAAGACAGAAGAACACGGCATCGGTCAAGTAGGCAGCGCTCGCACCCGCCCCGATACGCCTTCCCTCCTACGAAAAGTGTAAACGCAAAGAGTTTCGAGGTGGAGGAACAGTCAGAAGGCCCGAACCAACATTTGCACCGTGGCGCAGGTTCGTAGGAAAGGGGGGCGTGGCCGAGGCGCGGCGAGGGGCGGCGAGGCGGCCTTCTCCCCGCGCCCACGCCACACGCGCTGGCGCCTCGTCGCTTCCCTTGCACACGTATTGTAGTAGGTGCGAAGGCGAACGAGCAAACGAACCGAGGAACCCGATCCCGGATGAAATGCCGGGACAGAGAAGCGAAAAGAAGAAGAAAAAAAAACCCAAAAAAACGGGGGCTTTGGGAGGCCGCATATTGGCCATTTTGTCCCAAGTATAGATGACTTTTTGCGCCTCCTCGTCCGGGGTTCGCCCGAGATATCTGCCGTGACGCAGAAGAGGAAGGCATACGAGAGGGAAATAGGCGTTCGTAATGCGGTCCAAAGTCTGGAGCCGAGGGTGAGGCTGTGCCCTTCGGACGGGTGTGGGGGAGAGAGAGTGAGAGCCGAAAACTGGACTGGACACGAGCCGGTGGCAGCAGAGCGCAGCGCACACACACACACACACAACAACAATAGCAACAACAACACAGCACGGAACAACACAGCGAGAGCGCTGATACTGGGTCCGTTACGGGGCTGAAGAGGAGGTGTGGGGAGGGGGGATAGGGCAGCCAGCCAGCCAGTCAGCCCCGCCCAACCAGCGTGTCCAGTTTACCGGTTTTTGGCACCCGTCCCTGTTTTGGGGCCCGGTGAAAAAGTGCCGGCGATTGCATCTGAATGGGGTTCCCGGCCGTTCCCGACCGTTTGAGAGGTGAGCAAGCGAGAGCGCACGCGCGCGAGAGAGCGAGAGAGAGAAAGAGGAAGAGAAAGAGAAAGAGAGATCCTGAATTCCCCCCTTCTGGCCCTGGCCCCCTCCCCCAAACTCTCAGCGTCCAACGTGTGTCCGTGGTGTGCGTGTGTGCGTGTTGTAGCTATGTGTTTGCGTGCGTGTGTGTGTGTGTGTGTGTGTGTGTGTGTGTGTGCGTCAAGGCTTGTCCCCAAGACCAGACGGGCGAGAGAGAGAGAGAGAGAGAGCGCAAGCGAAAAGCCCTGGACGGGGCCGCCCAGCGTCGACGATGACGACACCGCCCGCCGAACCAACACCAACACCAACAGCTGTCTTCTGTCCTCTGTCTGCCTAACAACAGCGCAAACCTTCCAAGCCCCCAAACAGGTTTTCCTTTTGGTCGGCGCGTCGTTTTATTTTCCTTCCCTCGTCTTTCCTGTATTCAGGCAGCGACGACAACGGCGGCGGCGGCGTAAGCTGATCAGCCAGTCGGCGCAAAACTCACCTCAGCAACACTCTCCCCCCCAAATCCCGTCCCATAATTCCCCTTGGGGTAATCGAGTCGGCCACGCATGCTGACGCGCAAAACTATGACTCTTCGCTCGCAACGCATCGATCCCGACACCTTGCCCTGTGTGCCAGTGTGTGTGTGACGCTTCCGAGACACATGTTTAGGTAGGCAAAGGTGTCTCAATGATGGCCGGGAATGCAATAATGAAGTCATCGGGTTGCTAATCTCACCTTTTTGTTTCTTTTCTATTTCTCTTCCTGCGATCACGAGACGCAAATTTTGAAACCGTAATGATTGTGTGTGTAAAGAATAGAATCAAATGTTGTTGTCGCGCGAGGCGAAGGGTATCTCGTACTAATACTAAGCTAAGTTGTGAAGCGGCCCCACGATACCGTGGAACTGATGGTAATGATGATGGTCCATGCTGGAACCCCGATAGAATGCAGATGCAAATGTGCTGTAGGCCATGGTGCTCCCCGATTCCTCCCCCAAAGTCGATCCGTTTCCAACCAAACGAGAAAGAAATAAAAAAACTCCGTGCTAAAAACAAATAATAGCGTGGCCCCGGAGGGTCATCGCACAGGGGGGGGTATCAACACGAAAAGGCAAAAAAGGGTAAAGAAAATAGTAACAAACAGGCTTCACAGCATGTGAAATGCTTGTGGCCCATGATGCAGCCCACGAGTCCACGGATACAGGTGCTTGGTTACACCTGTCCCTCTCACCTGCCACACCGGCTTTCCAGTAGCCGGGTGACTCTTCCCTCGGTACGGATATTTGACCGACATCGCCGGGGCTTGTGCTAGTGTGGCTGAGACACACTCCCCCACAGTCGGCTTTGGCTGTTTTCCCCCCCACACGCCGTCCCAAGTGGCTCTATGCTATTGCGAAGAGGCCGGTTTGGAATGGTCCGGCTGAGCAGTGGAGGCGGTGGCGGTGGCGGTGGCATCGTGGTTTCGATGCCTCGGCCACGGTTATTAGTGGCCGGGTGTGTTGTTGTGTGTTTATTTGGAAGACCAGGGGGGTGGCCTGGGACCAAGCCGCCGAGGCATATCGATGGTCTTCGTCGGCAACAAGCTGTGTATGTGCCGTGGTATTATGGATTAAGGTTTTGTTGGGCGAGACGCGTCGTCCGAACAAGTATAGGCGGTTGCGAGGCGCCAAGGTGCGAGGAGAAGAAGCAGCTGCTTGTCGTTGAAGCTCTCACTCGGCGATGGGGGTCATGGAAGCGAGCTTGTTCTTGGGGCTCTTCTTGGAGCTGCCGCGGCGCTGCGACTTCTTCTGCTGGAGGGCGGCCTGGCGGCGACGCTCCTTCTCGAGCATGACGCAGCGCAGGGCCTCGCGTTGCATGGCCATGCGCTCGCGCTCCATGTTGAGGAGCTCGTCCTCGTTGATCTGGGGCGAGCGGGAGTTGGGGGAGGAGAAGCTGCCGGAGCTGGCGACGCTGTGGGAGTCGTCCTCAAAGTCCTGAGGGAAGAGGTCCTCGTCCGAGAGGTACGAGGTGGCCCTGGACTCGCCGTCAAAGTCGGCGAGAGTGTCGCGGCGCGGCCATGAAGGGAAGGCGCACGACCGGTCGTGGGCGAGCATGTTGCTGGGGGTGATGTCGATGGGGGCGGTCATGGAGACGGCACCCATGGAGCTGTATGAACCGTATGAGCCGTACATGGCTGCGGGGTGTGCGTATGTGTGTGTGTGTGTGTATGTATGTATGTGAAGGTAAGGGTTGGTGAGAGTTGCTTGAGTGTTGTGAGGTCTTGTTCGTATAAGACTCTGGTTGTGGATATTGTTGATCTTTCGTTGAACTGCGAGTGTGGGAGGAAGGTGGACACGGGAGACTTATAAGTCGAAGAGGGCGCGTCTCCCTTTGCTCTGGTCTCTTGGGAACCAGGGGGGCGTGCTGGGGGTGAGGAAGAAAAGGGGGTACGGACCCGGGGGTGAAAGGGGGGGGGGGGGGGGGTGCAGGGTTGGGCAGAGCAACGTTCCGAGGAATTTCGTAGGGTGGGCAAGATTGGTATTTTGCTAGCCTAAAAATTGGGAGCAACAGCGTTCCCGGGATCCCGAAGGGGTGGGAAAACAAGGCAAGGGAGGCGGTGACGGAAAAAGGAAGGAAGTTGGGGGGGGTGTGGGTGAGAAAGAGAGCAGAAGGAAAGAAAGAGTCAGTCGGGGGGTGGAGAAGGGGGGGGGGGTGTGCGCGGTCAAGACCCGAGAGCTGAGGGCTCAAGACGGAAGGAAAGGCGGTTCCAGTTGTCGGTTTGAAGAAGGAAGGATGGAAGGGGGGCGTGCGAGACGGAGACTAGACGGGACCAGACGGTCGAGGCGTGTCGGTGGGTGGGTACCTATAGTAAGGCTCGTACAGGTAATGGCCAGCGGTCTCGGGGGAGGGAAAACCGTATTTCTGAATTCCTGATCCTTGGACCGACCGTCGATTACTGCGATTACTGGGGACCGCGGGGAGCCTGGCCAGGGCCTTGTTCGGCTGCTCCCTCCTGTCGGCCGTGGCGTTGCTGGGAGAGTCCGTCCGTCCGGAGAACTCTTGGCTACTGTTGGTACAGTACGGTGCAGCAGCCGCCTGTCCGTTTGTCGTATCACGGTACTGAGAAGGGTATGGCCGCATCAAGCAAAGTAGAAATCCTGCTTTCCGCGGTGACGATTATGATGATGTGTATCCGTATGCGTGTTGTGTTCGTGTCCGCGCCTGACTGAGTTTAAGTTGGCAGGCTAGCTGATGGTTGTGGCAGTGGTTGGTGGTGGTGTCCCTCCGGCGGGAGTTTGTTTATTTGTCTTTTTTGGCGTGCGAATGACGATGACGCCGTCGCTATATCGCGATGACGCTGGCCGGTTGATTTCTCGTGATGGTTTCCTGTCGAAACACCCAGATGACTCGGACGGCAGACCCGAAGAGTCATGATATACCAACCCGATACAAACGACGATCGACTTGAGAGCGCATCAATCCGTCTGTTCAGAAAACACTAATAGACTGCATCATGGCGCAAGCAAGCAAGCAAGCAAGCAAGCAAACAAGGACAAAAAAACAAAACAGGCCCCCCGGGTTCGAACGAGTCGCAAGGCCGCGGGGGGAATGCGCCTGTGGGGAAGGATGGAATGCGAACGGACGGTCTTGTAACCCATCTCAAGTCCCTTCCTGCGTAGTCTGGCGGTGCAACCACTCCCCAGCACCACGTAAGGTATGCAAGGGAGCCGATCTGCATTCCAGGCCCTCCGTCCCGAGTCTCAACTCCAGTTTCCGATCCCGACGTCTTGACTCTCTTGACTCTATTGTCTTCTCTGTCTCACCCGTCTCTGTCGTGTGTGTGTGTGTCTGGGCGACTCGCCAATCAATGGCCGATTCAATCGTTGGCAACCCCGGTCGGTGCGCCCGTGTCGCTTGTCCACCCCCACGCGCGTACTGTGTAGGAGACAAACACAGGAGCACGCAGCGCAGCACAGCTGGAGCGGACCTGAGAGATCATGGCAGCCCAAAGGGGGGCGAGAGGCCCAGCTGGAACGGAGGGGGGCGTATTGGCGGTATTGGCGACTATCGTGAAAGTGCATGGAGGAGGCGGCATGGGACAGCGAGAGCGAGGGCTCGGACGGAAGAGTGGGCACCGTTGGCGACTTACCGTATTGCACACAACCCGCAGACGGGGAAGCAACGGGAGCAGCGTTGGCGACAGGGCCTACCTACAGCGCAGGGCAACGCGGCGGCAGCGGCAGGCCACCCAGGGCAGGGGGAAAAAGGGAAAAAAGGAAGGGGAAAACGGAAAAAGAATGAGCGGTGTTTGACCGCCTTTCGCCTGCACGTCGTCTGGAGGGTGGCAGGCAGGCAGACGGGGCGCGTGTGTGTGTGTGTGTGTGTGTTGGGCAACGCAACACAATACAACACAACAAAACACCACACAGGGAGGGGAAGATGGGGGAGAGAGTCATGGCCGCGAGGTACCTCTGTATACACTTTACGCGCGGTGGGTACCTACGTGGCCGACTGAGTTCACCCGAAAGCTGGTGCCGACAAGAACAGAACCTGAAGGCTGGCCCTCAGGCCCTTCTAGGCTTGTACGGGTACGCCTAGCAAAGGCCCCGTCCCCTGTCCCCCTTCCCCCCGCCGTCTCCCCTCCAAGGCCCGGCCTCGGTACCTACTGTACTGTACCTCCCTTGGTTGGTGCTATACGGAGTAGTGGGGTAGATAAGATATCATGTCCAAGCGGCCGCGGCAGTACCGGTATTGGGGATCGTCCTCGACTAGGTACCGCGGCCCCTCCCCGCGGATGGAAGTCTGGGCTGCCCCGGGGCGCCCAAAGGTCTGGAGAGAGCAACACCCTACAAGGGGACGAACGCCCAGCGCTCGGTGCCTCCCAGTACTGAGGTACGGATAGCTATTCCTATCTTTCCTCGCTGGCCAATTCGGCCGTGCCTCGCTCGCGCCCAAGGCATGAGACCGTCCTCGTCCGGCCTTTTGACACGCGCTGCCGTCTTGGCTTGGCTTGTGGACAAAGCCTCTCTCTGCCCATCGCCAATCTCTCGCCGCATCTCTGCGACGGATGCGCAAGGCTCGCGAGGAAAGGCGGGGGTGAGGCCTATCGCATCCATTTGATCTGGATATTGAACTTTGACGACAGCATCGATCAGCCGTCGCACACACACACATACACACATACACACACACACACACCCTCGGTTCGCTCTCTCTTTCTCTCGCTCTCTTTCTCTGTGCAATTCATGTCAAACAACCCCCCCTCACGCAAAACGGACGAACGAGCGACGAGGACAAACGAAGGGCCGCGTTCGGGGAACCACAGAGCCTGCGCAGTCAGTCGATCCGGCGGCAGGCAAGCACACCGCACAGCACCCATCTTACAGCGCCTCACCGCCAGCCTTTCGTCCATCCCGCATGCCGGCTGGCCATTTGCTGAGGGGATGGCGTCTTCCGGTCTCGTTCCTGGTCCGAGAGGCGCTGTACCACCACCAACAAGAAGCAAGCCGCTCCGTACCAGTTGTTGAGCATAGAGTTTAGTTGGCTGGTTGTCTGCATGCCGAGGGGGTCGAGAAGGAAAGTAGGTGTGCCGGCCAAGCTGCCGTGGCTGCATCCAGCATCGTCAGTCAACCTTTTTTTGCACACCGTCCGTCCTCATCCGGCCCATCGCATCGAACCGAATCGCACGGCAGCGCCCATCGCGCATCGCGCATTGCATCAGCGCCCGGAGGCCCTTCCGGCTCTCCTCCCTACGTACTTACCTTATCGCCAAGACACGATGCTCGACCAGGACTCTTTTTTTCTTTTTCTTTCTTTTTCTTTTTTTCAGTTTGCAATTTACCAAAGGGGATGGATGCAAAGGCAAACAAGGGCGCCCAACGCAGCAACGGCATTTCCGCCACCCCCCCCCCCCCCCCCCCCCTCGCTGCCTCTCGAGTCTACGGATACTACTACGTGCTACGTGCTATAGTCTCGGCTTCCTTTTCCTACTACTTTACCCCATCCAATCCACTGGGCCGGTTCAGATACCCCCGGTCTCGCGACCGTGGCCAAATAAGCAAAGGGGGAAACTCCTTGTCTTTTCGTCATTTAAAAGTTTTCCCAACCCTGGGGGGTCTTCATTTCCGTCCCTGCACTCGTCAGTGTCAGTGCCAGTGCCCCCCTCGGCGTCCTTTGTCGCGAACCGAAGGGACCGTGGCTCGTCGGTCCCGGCTCCTCACCCAGCCTTCCTCGTCGTGAGGCTGGCTTCCTTGTCTCTCTCCCCCCTCCCCCGGCGCATGCTCATCTTAATCTTGAAGCCCAAGCAGTACCAGGCCGCCGGAGTCGCGTTGGGCGGGAGGGAACATGGGATCCTGATCATTACCGGCGCTTGTACTTTCTTCCGACGGGGAGTCGCGAGTGTCAATCCATCTCAGAGCAGTAACACCGTCGGCACATCATACAGATTCGCAGGGCGTATCATCGTCGTGTTTGGTAACACGCAAGGTGGCAGGTCCAGAAAAGAGCTTCACGCCCCCCCTTGGCTTTCCCGGCAGGCAAGAAGAGCGACACGAACTGTGCCCGAATCCCAAGAACACCCCATCCCCGTCTACGTTTGCGAATTGGATGATTCAGGCCAATGCCTCGTGGGAATGCGACTGGTTTGGATGGATGGTCGGCCCCCGGATGTAACGATGCGACATGACATGTTTGTGCGCCCCCCCCCCCCCCCCCCCCCCCCCGTAGGAACATTCCATTGCATGTCCGCAATTCCTCCATTCCTGACGGAGCAACCACCGACATCATCACCACCACCATCACTAATAAGAAACACCGACACGGAACACCAACGGGACCCTGGCCAGCAAACGACAGACAACCCTCTCCTCCTCCTCCTCCTCCTCCGGCGCGGCTCCGGTTACGGTTCCGCATCCAGACAGGATTGAGACGAACCTACGAATACACCCCGCTGGCGCGACGATAAGGTTGGACGGGGTGCCTTGCGATGCATGCCCCGGATTTGCTTCTGACTGACTGACTGCTGCTGCTGACTAGCCGCACGTCGCAACGCTTGCTACTCCCCTCCAATATCCAATGTATCTGAATCGTCGATTCGACATCTGAGACGTCCAATGCCAATGCCAATGCCTATACCTATACCTATACCTATCTGGGGGCGCACGCAATGCGACGCGGACACGGAATCTTACACATGCACTCACGCACACCACCACTATAATTACATTTCCGTCTTGAAGGCGGTGACGGGCACATTGCCGTCTAGACCGCCCTTCTTCCTTCGGGACGCCGGGCAACCCTACAGGCCGGCTTACATGACTTACCGCCTGCTTCCTTGCCCAGAGTCAGCACGCAACGGCCACTTTCTATTCGTGCCTTTACTGCCCTGCCTAGCCATACGTAGCATTACCGTATCGCAAGTGTTACGCTGACTGACCGGGTTTGGACCGGACTGGCCCCAACCCGCCATCGCCAGTGCGCCCAACCCCGCCGTGTTGACTTCCCCGGCTTCTGACTCAGACTGGAGGTGGCGCGCCCGGATCCCATTTAGGTACAGTCATCAGCTATTGACGACAGCGCGCGGTACGGTACGGTACGGTCACCACTAAATTCGCAGCCGTCTTTGTACATTCCCCGGATCACCACGAGCCGTGCTGCGCAGGCGAACTTGGCTAACACGCCAGCCCGCCAGCCCGCCAGCCCCGGGAAAGACGGGAACAGGTCACTCAAATCAATAATCAATCCTTTTTTTTTTGTCTGACTGTCGAAACCCCCAAAGCGAAAGCTTACAAACTTGCCTCGCCCCCGCCAACCCCAAGGACGGGACGGAGGACGGAACGCCGTCACGTTGCGCGCATACCGACACAGCAGGCGATCTGTCCCTCTCCGTCCATCCTCCTCCTCCTGGTCGCACGCAAACCGCCACCAAACGGCGGCTTTGGATCGGGTCGCGAATGGAGTTTTGCGCCGCGACGGGGAGCAACCACCACCCCCCCTCCCTCCCTCTCTCGCCCGCGAAAAAAGAAAACCAGAAATAAAGAAAAAATCAGAGTCACCGTTTGCGTCGCAAGCCACAGCCGAGGGGGAGGATTGGAAAAGCAAAAGCTGAAAATGGCGATTGCGATCGATTGTGCCTTTGCTTTTCCCCCCTTGCGAATGACATCGCAAAGACGGCTCCTCGAGACGTGACTGGTCCCCGCAAAGTCAACGGCACCGTCTTGTTCCGAGGTTGACCAACCCCCCTTTCCAAGGGTCCTCTAGAAAGCAAGAAGCTTCCCGTTCTAGGCCCTTCGCATCGTCGAATCAGCGATCCCAGTTCAAACCAGTCAACCCAGCTCAACCCAGTTCAGGCTCCCAGAGGGCGAGAAGATAGGGAGGCACGCAAGGGGGGGAGGCATGCTTCTCTTGATTCGAGAAAACCGCTGCGCAAGGAGCATCCCGAGGAGCTTAGGACGCACGCAGGGACGGATGCATAGCACACGCAGTAGAGAGTAAGTAGGACCCCCCAGTTGCGAAAAGCAGCAGAAAGGGGTGGGGGGGCGATGGTCGGCTGCTGGCCCGTGGGAGACAGACTACTTACGGCTCCGACTGACTGACTGACTGGTGGTTATCGGGGTCGATCACGACAGGTAACACACATTGTACATATTCCTGAGGGCCTTCCTTCTTGTCTTTTTTGGCTTCCCTTACCGTCGTCCAGTGTTTCGCGCTGCGACTGAAACAAGCTCTCTCCTCCAAAGACTAATGCCACGACAAGCACATGCGCTGGGCCGGGGGTGGGGTGGAGCGGGCGAGTGGGCGAAAGGGGACGGCCGGCTGCAGCGGAGTCGCATCCGGCCCGTGCTTGTGGAGGCCATTACTCGACGATCCCCATACCACCGGTATACCTACTCATGCTCGCACACTATTCCTACAGCAGCAGCACCAGCAGCGGCAACACCAGCCGGTGCAGCACAGACTGGTGGGAATAAGATCAGACTGAAACGTGCCAAATAGAACGGGGGGGGGTGGTAGGCAGGCGAGTGTGTGTGTGTGTGTGTGTGTTGTGTGTGTGAGAGAGAGAGAGAAGCAAACCGTGCCTGACGCGACACACCGGAGCCACACCGAGCCTAGCACCACTTGTCTTTCCCGTCCGTCGCGTCGCCGCCGCCGCCGCCGGCCACATTGTTCTTTTTTTGAACCCTGTGGCGGCGGCGGCGGCGGCGGAGATGGTGCTCGCGTCATCTCCCTAGGGTATAGGGTAAGGGGGGGCAGGTAGTATAGTGTTGGTGCCCAAGAAGGGAAGTTGAAGCCATCACGGGAAACGTCGTGGCGCGTCCCGAGTCCGGGCGTCACATCTATTTGCAAAGCGAGGCGGCGCGCGCGCCCTGAGCGCCGCCCCAAGCTCCTGGAGAAGCAAGCGCACGGCAACGACGACGACGCACGCGCACACACGCACACCAGCCCCCGGGCAGACATCTGTCAATACTCATTTTCCCTCTCGCCCGCCGCGATTCAGTTCCCTGGCTCCCTGGCGCACCGAGCGACCGGGCGACGGGAACCGATGCCCGGGCTGGCCTGCCCAAGGGGGTAATGGATGGCGAGGCGAGATGGGCGGACCAGGGGGGGCCGAGAGGCAGTCAAGGAGGCCTGTGTCCTTCTAGAACGTCGCTAGACGGTCGTCTTTTCTTCTTCTTGGCTTGCTTCCTGCTTGCTCGCCCGCTCGCTTGCTTGCTTTCTGCAAGGGGGAGGTGTATGTATGCCGTAAAGTGTCTGTGTGTTTGCTTTGCTCTGCCTTGCTTTGCTTCCCCTGCCTGCTTGCTTCACTTGGCTACTCACCCGGCAGCGTGGTGGATGTTCGAGTTATGTCGAGCCCTGGTTCCCCGAGATTGCGCCGGCCTAACGGGTTGTGGGGCCCGGAAGGCAGGGAACGCTGAAGCGGTGCGGCAGGGGGGTCCTTATCCGGCCTAGCGGCAGCTGTGTGTTGACGTTCACGGTCGTGATATCTCCTCACACCCTGCTAACCCTTTACCATGGAACTACGTCGTCAAGGGGGGGGGCGCCGTCGGCTCTTGCTCGGTTGCTGCCGGATTACGGAGTACTCAGTAGGTAGTCGATCCGGGAGAACGGAAAACGTGCTAGGCGGTAGACGGACGGACCAGGAATGCGCGACGGAGAGTGGTGTCCCTCCTCCGTCCTCCCGGAAACGGTAGTCTTCGTTCGTAACGGTCTGTTGTATGGGGGGCTGGGGACGCATTAGGTATGCGGCGAGGCCGTTGAGCTTTTTATTGCCGGCGCCCGCGCATTCCCGTCTTCTGTTGCGGACGCGTTTGATTGATGCGCGCAAAACACGCCGCGGAAAATGCCGTTTGTGGAATCCTCGTGAGGCTTTCCGGGATGAGCGTGGTTTGGGCTCATGCATCAGCATCACGATCTCGCTGGTCCCGTCAGCCAAGGGGAAGCCCCAGGTAAGAAGGGGGGAGCATTTAGCATCTCGCGGAGGCCGGGATGGATGCTGATTTGGTTCGCAATGCGGATGCGGACAGCAGACGGGAGAGCGTAGTTTAGGCTCATGCATCATCATCACCATCCCGCCGGTCCCGTCAGCCAAGGGGAAGCCCCAGGTAAGAGGGGGGGGGGGGGGGGGGGGGGGCATTTAGCATCTCGCGAAGGCCGGGATAGATGCTGATTTGGTTTGCAATGCGGATGCGGACAGCCAGACGGGAAGAGCCTTGTCGATGGAATGGAGACGTCTCGGCCGAGTGTGTGACCGTCTCTGGATCGTCCAAGGCCGCGGTCGATCCCGTCTGACGATCGGACGGTGCGAGAGAGACAGTAATCTCTTCATACGACTAGCCCCCCCCGCCTTTGCTCCGGCGCACGTGAAAACGAGGGCCGGGGCGGTGATGGCCCCCCGGTTCTGCAGCGAGGCTCGGCCGCCTTGTCCCCCATCGGCCCCGATCTGACTGATCGTAAGTGCTGCTCGTGGCCACGCGCGGGCAGGGGGGCGGTCGCCGTGTCTGGATGGGGTCTGGATTGCATGTCTTCATTTGCAGGCCCAGGCTTTTCCGCGACGGCCCCCCCCTCCATAGGGGTTCACGTGGGAACATCAAGTCGTTTATTACGTATGGCTTTTTCACTGTCTCTCGCCGGGATGGCTGCAACCACTTTAGTTGTCTGGAGTGTGTCTGCTTCACGTGTAGGGACTCTTGCGTTTTGAGGTGCTTGTTGTTCTATTGATAGAAACCGGCCTGCGGGGCTTTTGTGGTTTCCCCGGGAGTGTATATAGCAGCAAGCGTTTCGTTACGACCAACATGGTGGAGTGTCTCATTGCCAAGAGCGATGCGTCGCGGGATGAAGAAGTAGCCGTCTGGGGTTTTGTACATCTCGTCGACGCCTTTGGCCGGGCGTGGATATATCCACGGGGTTTCACGAAATGCCAGCGGGACTAGGTTATAGAAGAGGCTTCGACAGTACCGTATGCATCTAGCGAGCCAAGACATCGTGAGAGTTCAATCTCGATGGTTGAGGCTGGGGATAATCGTGTTGGTTGTTGTTGTTGTTGTCTTGGCCCGGTTGCGGATATCGAGGCCGCTTGTCGCAGTATTGTATCCGGTCATGCCACTTACACACCCGGAGAAGGGGGGTCAGAAGCACGGTTTCGCTTGTCACAGATACCCCGAACTATCAAGACACTTACACAGCCTTTTTTCGGATTCTGAGGAGGTTGCCGCTTCACTTATGGCGCAGAGCCGAAAACGAAGTCTCGGGCGCATCCTTCTCCGTCGACTAGAGGTGGAGTTTTGCATGTTCGTGCTGCAGTGCGTCTGTATTCGAAGGACATATCGAGATTCCTGTACCGGAGCACCGGGGACTTCGTCATGCCGTCATGGAAACCTGCGTCGGGCCGGGCCTCGCCGTCCTCACGGTTGCTACGTGTGCGATTCCATGTAATCGGACCTCGAGTGCGCTGGACCACAAACGCGCAGACTTGACGCCAGGCACACGCACCTCGAAATGTAACACCTTCCGAGGGGGGGACGATCATAATTGCAAACTGCTTTGGCTTTGGATCCCATTCAAAAGCACGCAACGTGAAAATGCCCGAATGCTGCTGAGTGAACTTGATCATGTGCATCTGCAACTACGTTACAGGATGCCACGGTGAAGTGGGGTACGTGACTATCTTTCGATTCCGCAGGAACCAGAACGTCATTTATGTGACTGTGCGGCTCTAAGCTTCTTCAAGCGGCTACTCCTCCGCTGCAGTAATACGATATCGAATATCGACAGCGCCAACCGCATCCCCGGCGTCCCTCTTCTGCCTGCCGGCCAAGGCTGACAGAAAGATGAGGTGTGACGAGAGGAATCGCCATTGCGGTTTTCCTTAAAAGTAGCTGAGGTTTCGTGAAATGCGCATTATCATCAAGCAGTGCGTTTAGGGGGCAATTCATGTAGTTGAAAGTGGCTTGTTTCTTCTATCTATAGTTAGTGCTATAATCCACGTTCCTTAAATATTGCCTCGCTTGGTGGATTCCGCCGCGAGTATCCATATTCAGGAGCGAGGGTCGGATTAATAAGCGACGTCGTTCCGGAAAGCGGTGTCGGTCGGCAATATCCTGCGTGACACGCATTCATTCACTGAATCGCTCACCGTCTTGAACTCACTATAAACTCCGTCTCGAAACCTAGCACCGCCAAATATGCCCGAGAAGTTCGTCATCTCCGCCGAGACGGCCGAGACCATCCGCCGCAAGAAGGCGCGGTACTGCCGCTTCGCCGACAGCCTCGAGTTCGACCGCTTCGACACCATCATGCTGCCCGAGTTCACCTTCGAGGGCGTCGGCCCCGACGGCGCCGTCATCGTCGAGAACGGCCTGCGGTGCCGCTGGGAGTCGCGCGCCGACTGGGTCGCCCACTTTAGCGCCTCGCTCGGCGCCATGCAGTCGATCCACCTCGTCGACGCGGGGGACCTGGAGCAGGTCGCCGAGGACGAGGTCCGCGCCATCTTCGGGCTCATCTACCACGCCGGCACGCCGGGCACGGACGGCCTGCACGTGACGGGCGCCGGCCATTACTACGAGACCTGGAAGAAGGTCGACGGGGACTGGTTCATGGCGAGCTCCTCGATGAAGAGGTTGTTTTGCAAGATCCAGGGGGCTTGATGGGTCTGGGCGAGGGAGTGAGGTTGTACGACTGGGTTTCTCGGAGGAACATCCGAATGGTTCTGTCTTGGATGTTTGCGTGTGTTGTAATTCGAGGGTTGAGGGGTTGGTTGACTGTAGGATGGAATGTGAGTTGGGAAACACTCCCTCGGGATTGCAGCCCGGTTCCACGAGACAACTGCTCGAATGCGGCGCAAGCCTTCACGCTATTCGGAATTCACGGGCAGAGACTAACCGTCCTTCCCAACATATCGATCAACATGCTGGCTCCTTTGCACTGTGGTCTATGTCTGTTTCGTAATACCTCGGAGCTGCGTAGAAGCTGGTGAGTAAAGCCGGCCCAGTCCATGACATCGACTGCGGCGTGATGGCTGTAGGTGTTCAAGAGACCGCCATGGAAAAACTTTGCCTTGAAGACCGAGTTGATGGGGCTTCGCTCCAGGTCGGTCTCGAGCTTAAAGCCAAAAGTCATGGGCACGGCGGTCCGGAGATCCTAGTCGCCGAGCAAAAGAGCTGTGAGATGGGCTCTCGATGTCGTCGAAGGAGTGATATTTTCCCGCGTACTCGGGCCATCGAGCCATTGGACGACGAAGCGAACAGTTTTGTCTTTTCTCTTGATGAAGGAGTAGTCACACCGGGTGTCTTTCTCGATGCGTCCAGGAGCTGGCAGTGTTGCACCTTAAGAATACCAACCGACTGCAGGGGTGTCTGCAACCTAATCTTCGTTGGATCGAGGCAGGTCATGGGCTGGTCAACAGAAAGACTTAGTACATGTGCACTCTGAGTTGAGTAGCTAAGGATAGCTATTGATATAGATCAAGAGGGGTCCACTGGGTCAATGTCTATCTTACAGGTATGACTAGATAGGTTTGTGGTTTCGTGCCGACTTAGGTTTGAGAGCGTGAGGTTTTCATTTAAACACATTCGAGTATCTGGGATGCCGAATGCTTTATGGAATGCCAAATACTTGACAGGATGGATGAAAACCCACCTTACCCCGTCAGAGGGAAAAGGATCTTGACTAAAACTAAGCGAATCTCCCTTGGCATACACCGTACTGGTGGCGAGTTACTCACATCAACGGATTGGAAGGTCATGCTACGTCTCAATCCAACACTTTGTCCATTTTGGAAGACACGTGTGTCCTGAAGACACTCCTCACTACTTAATTCGGAGAACCATGATGCACCGAGGCTTGTGAGGCCTCCCTGAATGAAACGAAGCCGCAGTCAGCATGGTTCAATCGGGACGGTGGTGGGTATTGATTCCAACCTATACAAAGTAAGTGTAGCCATATACAATACTATGATGGATAATGACTCGTAAATCAAGGACAACGATGAACTGATTGAAACCCCCGTTCCAGCATGGTTTACAACGGCATACGTTGCGCGGCACCACAATGAGACTATTTGTGCTCAAGCCTGGTCGAAGACGGTGGCTGGACGACTGTCGAACTTGAATTCCATTATCCTGAGGAGCTCTAGCACTGAAACAATTAGAAAACTACACGGTAGGTATATGGGAGAAAATCGTTCTATCAACACACGCTTACCAAAGCAAGTGTCCAAGTTCTTCACTTGCAGTATCTGCAAGGACTTGCAAGGGAACATTCTTTGTCAGATCCATAACCACTCCACACAGCCACGTAGCTAGTTATCTGATGCTGTATCCACCAACCGGTATGTGATCTCAGACTCGGTTCATCTGTCACTCACGTGCGGACGTAGTGCCTGTCGTGTAGGATCGTGGACTCCCGCCCCGAAGCCGCAACATTTCAGCTGAACCTCGATTTCATTTTGCTGCCTGCCTCCCTCCAACTCGTTATCGTTGAGAATAAATGAGACTGAAACTAGAGTTCCTTCCTGTTTCCTTTAGCCGCGATTCCCATAAAAACGCACATCCACTCCGGATTTTCGAGTCTTCTTCCTTCGCCATCGTCACATCTTCAACCGTCCCAACTACCTAGGCAACACAAAACGCCATATTCAGCTACCAAAAGGTAAGATATGTTATTCTATACTAGAATTTTTTTCCAGACTAACATCAGACTAACATATTAATAAGCTGAAACAGACTGAGAAGCCTAGTCACATAGCACAGCCTTCATCACCCAGCATTTTTCAACCACGGTCAGTTACATTCTGTCATTTGCGCCTTCCAATATGTAGTTCCAGGCTGACCAAAGTAGTATAGACAATCAGAATGTCTGAGAATACCGCTCCTACTCCGTCGCAAAGCGACATAAACTTCATGATCCAGATCTTCCAGCACATGACGGAGAAGCCTGCCATCGACTGGCAGAGCTTCGCTGACGCTGCAGGCTTCAAGAACACAACCGTCGCCCATGTTTGTTCCTTACCTTCCACCAAGAGACACAAGTCTCAATGTTTCACTTCGATGCATACTAACGAAGAAACAATACAGACTCGATGGGGCCAGATCAAGCGCAAGTTCAACAACTCCACCATCCAGACCACTCCGAAGAAGGCTGCCTCCAAGGCCTCCCCCAGCACCCCTGGCTCCACGTCCAAGGTCAAGAAAGCTGCCGGTCGCGTTGGCGCAAAGGCCAACAAGGGTAAGAACGCGGTCAAGGCGGAGGCGGATGCCCATGATGAGGAAGAGGACGAGAAGGCGGTTGACAGCCCCATCAAGGCGGAGTGCGTCAAGTTCGAGGACACATACATCTAAGCCACTTTTGCACGAGGCATTTAAGATCCATTAGATGCTTCTTGCGATACGTTTGAGGTCCGGGATTGGGGAAAGGGGTAGGGTGGTTCTCAGATTCAAGCTTGTATGCCGCTAGGGAGATTGCCGCATGCGTCAGGCATATGCGTCCAAAAAGATTCGACGACTGCTAACCGCGAAGCTGTGACACCTTCAAATACCATCGGTGACAACTTTTCATGTGAAGACTTACTGCTAAATTTACTCTCACAAGCGTTGCATGACAGTCCGCTGTATGTTGTGTTTTCCAAATATTATAGGGAAGATACAATACCATGTGTTTGGTCATGATGATGGCAATATCGTTCGCAGGGACGTAACACGGATTTATGTGTTTGTTATAGAGGAATGGGTAGAAATTGTATCATATCATGAGAATCCTTGAGATTCTCTGACAATAAAATATGACATCCTGAGATCTAGCCTCTTCTCCTGGGTTCTGAGCCAATGTTCTGAGCCTGGCCGTTGTCCGCCATCCTCCTTTCCTTAGCCGGGCTTCCCGACATTGTGCAAGCCTTTCTTGCGTCGACTGTCGTTCTTCTGTTGGAAAAATTGTCAGATTTGCGTTACCTGGGAATCGTCTGTTGACCGCTCCCTGGCCAAAGAGAGCTGCCTGTCTGGATAATACAGCACCCGCTCTCACACGAGCCGGGCGCTTGAGGTGAGCTCCTTCTTGTACCTGTGATTCTTCTGACTTTCCAACCATTTAAATTTCTCTAGCTCAGGCTGAAGCTGAAAAGTTCTCTCTTCTTTCCACCTACATCAACCTCAAGTTTCCTTCCTTGCCGAGCTACCATCGCCACTAGCCTTCGTCGAATCCATTCGTCAACAACACCGAACACCAAAAAGACAAGCTACAGTAAGTTTCTTCTTGTCCATTCCCTCCCGATTAACACCTGGTGGTGGCTCTTCTGAATCTCTCTGACGTGTCTCAATAAGATGCCTCCCAAGAAGAAGGCCGCTTCCGCCGACGAGGCCCCTGTCCTGAGCCTCAACGAGAACGAGACCGTTTTCGTCAAAGCCATATTCGACAGTATGAATTCGCGTCCTGATGTCGACTTCGACAAAGTCGCCGCCATCACGGGCCTTGCCAACGGCAAGTCGGCCAGGGACAAGTTCCGAGTCATCTCCAAGAAGCATGGCTGGTCTTCCACTGATGGCTCCGGCGGCGGGGCCTCCAGCCCGTCCAAGGGCCCCCTCAGTGCCAATACCGCGGCCAAAGTCAAGAAGACCCCCATCAAGAAGAAGGGAACCGCGCAGCGCAAGAAGAAGGTATGTTTGTAGCTTCCCATCTTGTCTGATTTTATTGTCTATGTAACGGGTGCTGACTTTCATGAAGGCCAAGGCCGAGGAGCCTGAGGAAAGCGATGCTGACGAGGATATCTCGGCCAAGCTCGAGTCCGACTCGGATGGCCAGAAGGCCGCCAAGGACGAGCTTGTGAACGGGTCCAGCGATAGCGACTAAATTCTTTTCTTTCCAATACTTGATCCCTATCAGAGGTGGCATTGAGACCACATGGGGCCTGGAGATTGTGGGCAAGCGATACAGAGATCTGGATAGAGAGCAAGGTTGGAGTGGTAATGACTCTACCGGTGGGGATGGCAGACCAGGATAGACAATCCCCAAATGATTCTTTGCTCTCACTGAGTTTGATTTACATTGCTTTCTCGAACGCCCAAAGCTACTCCTGCCATCTCCTTTTTGTAATGCCCTGAGCTGGCTCCGGTTCTCAGAGCGATGAATGCTTCAAGAACAAGCAGGGTCTCGAATCTCTGCTTTCTGGTATCGAAATCTTGTATTGGAACGATTTGAAGCATTTACCAAAGCGACCATCACTTCTTTCTACTTGTATCCTTTGGTGCAGTGCATTTGTCTATAGTGTGACCGAATCCTACCAAGACTGGAATGATACAGAGTGCCTTTGGCATGGCCTGCATTGTCAGCTTCTTGGACATCTTTGATATTTGCAAAACCCATTATCAGGCATTTGTCTCTAATGGAACTATCCGCATGCCCTTGAAGTCCTTAGACTCATGTTTCTGTATCTCCACCGCAACCTAGAGTTCACGAGCGCATGCTAGGATTGCAGCTTCAGACCAGCCACCCAACCATTGTGTCTGGAACATCATAGCTTGATGGGGTTTCAATAGCTTACTTCACCTTACAGGATATCCTTGTCCAGACTTGTTGGACCGTGGGATTCAGTGTGCCTTGACATCGTCAGATAGCCTCCAAATTACTGACGACTGGAAAGTGAGCCCGCCTTGCCCGCGACATCGGGAGAACGGTGAGTCATCTTTTCACTTCAAATACTTTACTGGGAGCTCCTACCTTGGCTGCGCCACAATATCCATCTCGATCTGAAGTCTACTTGATGTTGTCCCTGATTTGGATCTCATCACTTAAAATCATCCCACCCAACGATCACCAGAACTATACCATCTGAGTCAGTCGTTGCAAAGCCTACTGATTTCCATTGAGCTCCTTGACCGAGCTCGTCTCTATTCCAGGTGGTTCTTGCCTTCAACCGCCCTTATCTCGCCTTGTTGTCAGGCCTCCCGCTTCTTGCCCAGCTGCTCTCGCCAGTTGTGTATAATCCTTTGACCACTTGCCTGGTCGGTTCTCGTCACATACCCGCATGATCCTGCTTCCTGTCCCGGTTTCTCTCGCCACTACTTCACAGAGATTTCTCTCATTTATTGCAACTTCTTACCAGAACTTTCAGCCAACCCTTCTCATCAACAACAACTCAACCTCGAGCTCACACACCAACAGACTCATTAGCTGAGCACTACTTCTACCTTTAAACCTTCATACACCTTCTCGATTCTCAACTCGTACCTCGATACTCATAATGGCTTCCGTTGGTACTGATGCTGAGGGTTCGGTCAAGTTCTTGGTCAACTGTATCAAGCACTCCCAGGGCGGAAAGGTAGTGCAGGTTGAGTATCCAAGGTTTAAGAAAAGTAGCTGACTTGAGCAGGTCGAGTTCCAGGCTGTCGCCGATGACTGCGGCATCGTCTCCAAGGCTGCTGCGTAAGTCACCGCTCGTTTTTCCATCTTCCTTCTTACGACCACGTCCATGCTAACTTCGCTCGTTTCTCCAGCGCCAAGCGGTTCGAGCGCCTTCTCAAGGCTCACGGCTTGAAGGCCAGTGAGCTCTCGAAGGGTGGTACTATGAGCGGCGCCTCCTCCCCGGCTCAGAGCACCGCCAGTCCCAAGACCCCGGTCAAGGGTACCGGCAAGGCCACTCCCAAGTCCAAGGGAAAGCGCGCTGCTGCGGCCTCCCCCACCAAGGACACCAAGCGCGCCAAGATGGCCAACCATCCGGCCGTTTCCTCCTATAACGATGAGGACGACGAGGAGGACGAGGCTCAGTTCAAGGTCAAGGAGGAGACCCAGGCTCCTGGCGAGGCTTCCACCAACCACGGTTCGTACTGCGATTACTCCCGAGGCCGCGATGACGACGACGACGAGTTGCAACTTCTCTACATCGTGGAGAAGCCGACCGGCTACCCCGCCCGCGATTCCGGCGAATTCCGAGGCCCCCCGTCCGAGTCCGTGTCGAGCGATACTAACAGCGAATATTCGATGCAGATGACGCCCAGGGCGATGAGTCTTTCCAGGTTTAACAGCGCTCAGTTACCGGCTTGCCAACATGGCTGGAGTTTCATGCCGGAGACGCCTTTCTATGCATGGCCGGAGACGTGCGCGTTACATGGGGAGCGAGAAGCGGCTCAATTGGTTGGGATATGTAAGCCATTCCTCCGCGACGACCCTACCGGGATTCTGCTAACGAAACTTTGGACAGGACCACAGATGGCTCGCCTTTGCCTTGACGATTTGCCTTTCACGAGTTGCTGCGGGTTTGCAGGGACACATCATGCTTAAGCCGGAGTGAGTTGGACGAGAGATACTGGAAATAGGAAGACTTGATTTCTACAAAACCTTCTGCCCCGTGACGACGAAAGCTGCTTGTGCGACGTGAGCATCGGGAGCTGTTGAAGGGTCCGTTGTGGCGCTGCCTGATCGGGCAGGTGGACCTGTCTCGGCAACGATGAGCAGGGGTCATCCCACTCCCGCCGAAGCATCAGTGGCTCAAATTCGACGACATCCTCAGATGCTGTGCGTGAACTTGCTTCTTTCAACCCCCTTGCCTTCCATGTCCTACACAGCAAGCTTTTGTCTGGGACGCCATCCAGAAAACACTGGTTTGGGACATGCAGAGACATCAAAGTAGTCTCACCACTAATTTCCCTGTGGCCGTTGAAGATGTCCTCAGCTCCTGCTGACCTCGTTGTGCAGGTGCAGTGGGCCGTGCAAACAATTGTGATATGATGTGTAATATTCTTCTTCGGGGCTAGCTTATCACTTCCCGGACGACTATTGTTTCTGGAGCTTCAGGATGCACCCAAGTCGTGGCCCAGTCAGTCGAACAGAATTCTCTACTACAGAATGTGCAGAGCATGCCCACTTACGGTGCACTTAGACACAAAGCGCTGTAGACACCAGGACCATTTCGAAGCATCGAGTAAACTCGGAAGCGTTCGTCGGTGACATGACTGAAGCTCATTCAACCGAGCAAAACATATGGCATGCTCCTCGGACGACCAGCCACTCTCTCCGGAGCAACGTAGGTAAGAAGGCAGACACAAGGCAGTTGCACTTTCCTCCCCCCTCCCATTCCCGACTACAGGACAAACAGCCTCATCATTATTCTCAGAAAAGGGCACCTGTCCAGATCACGCGCCTCCGTTTCCAGGCCCATAGAACGTGGCCAACCAGAGTGCCCCATCCACACTTCACCTCCTCCCATCCGCACCTTCCTTCACCCGACTTCCTTCCCTCGTCTCAGCAACCGACCTTCGTCTCCCAGCCACCTTAGCCGAGTCGACACACAATTGCGAAATTCAGCTGGTCTGCTCAGCATACTCCACGCACATCTGAATTTCTCCCTCCCATCCGGCCCAGAGAAAAACTTCTTCACTTCTTCTCACACAGCTTCTTCGTCTTCTTCTCTCTCACACACCGCGGATTGACTCGAACCACACTTCTTCGCACTTCGTCAACGGCAACAAGACGCTTGTTTCTTCTCTCAGTCAATCAATTGATCGCGGACATAACTCTTCACCTCGACAACTCCGAATTCAGGACCAATTGGTGAGAACCCCCTCGGCCGCGTTCCCCCTTTCCTCCTGCTTCGGACCGCGAGGTTTGGACGTTCAACTGACTCTCCCCGGCAGACGGAGCTACCTCAATCTTCCGCTTTTCTCGCACTTTTACACTTTCGACATCAATTCATCACGGAAAAAATGTGCAACTCATCGCCTTCATCTTGTGTCGACAAGGCCAATCGATGGGAGCTCTCTTCAAGTGCCTCGTCGCCACAATCAGACTATTCGACCAACCCGAACCACAGCTTGTTGTCTTCGCCCGAATCTCCTGCTGAGACGGAGATGTCTCTACCCAGCCTTGGATCTCCAGACTTTCAGAAGTCTCCCGCCAATGGACAGCCTCACTTTGTCGTCATGCCCAGTTTCGCGAACCACATTATCGTCGGGCAGCAAGCATACGCACCGAGTCAAATTCGGGGGATGCGAGATCAACTTCAGCAAGCACGACACACCGGAGAGTTTCCCAAGACAACATCTCTATCAGAAGATGCCCAAACCATTGTGGAGGACTACCAGCTTCTCAAACGTCTTCGCGATGTACGAGGCGATCCTTCTTTGCCACCGCCACAAGCATACAACATCCTCAAGGTTGACATTGCCCGTCGCATCAAGGCCCGCGATGAAGCCCAACAAGGTGAATCCGACCTTCAAGAGATTGACCATCGGGTTCAAGGCTGGATGAACTCAATCAGCAAGGAAGCCCGCATGTTGGAGATTACGCAGGCGGCACTTCAGCGCAAGGGCATCAACAACCCCACCCAAGACGACTTGGACGCCATCGCCGAAGAGTTCATGCAGATTGCCGAGCGCACACTTCTCGACGTCGCCAACCCCCTGCGAATGAACGCCTCGCGAATGGAGGGCAACATCAGTCGCTTCGACAGCCAGCTCAATGGCCTGTCGTCGCTTGATGGTGCAATGACGGCGCAGATCAACACTCTCAATTCTGTCATGAACAATCTTCACGCAAACATGAGCGATGCCGTTGGAGCTTCGGCTGAAGCTATGAACACACAAATCAACACTCTCAATTCTGTCATGAACAGTCTTCATGCAAACATGAGCGCTTCAGCTGAAGCTATGAACACAATTCTGGCGTCTCAAAGCAACACCTTCAATGGGTCAGCCAACATGCTCAACACAGCACTGAACATCGTCTCGGCTGACTTGCACCAACTCACGTCCAACCTTCCGGCCTTGATTGCCACGGCAGTTCAAGCTGCAGTCCGAGAGCAGCTTCCTTCTATCTCCAACCAACACGATGTCAACGCGCAGCATCGAGTAAACTTCGAGCAGCCACCTGGTTATGCCACAGTGAAGCGGTCGCAACAACACCAGCAGGCTGGTAGAGAGACTTTCACCGCATTCACACACCCGGTGGGCTCGAAGACTCAAATCTCGGAGAAGCAACACTACGAACAGACTTCTCACCTGAACACACCACCGAACGCGTCGAAACTCAAGAAGTTGTTGCGGTGCATCATTGGAAAGGGGAGGTTGGCGATAAAGGAGGGTCACAAGAGAGCAAACCCAGCATGAACTTACAACATCTGCTGTGCAACTGTGTGGACAGCGCTGCTCGATCTGGGGCGTAAACGATACATCTGATCACCAAGCTTTGGAAAGATCGCAGGCATAATGGGAGGAAATTGGTATTGTAGATCATTGGAGGTTCTCGACTCGTATCACGAGATTAATAACTCATCACAACCCCTGAATGCATGTGCCATCGTGAGATGCCAAAATCGTCAAGCAAGTAATCTCGTAAAACCCGTTCAACGGCACCAGCCTGAACGCCGAAATATGCAGAATTTCCATCTCCGTTCTCGACACTGCGTGAGAGTCGATCGGACTTCCGTGTCGAAAGTCTTTGCTCCTCTCCGTCCGGGTTTTGAAGTATTTGCCTCAATCCCGGCCCTTAAGAAACCCAACCAGGATTTACATTCACACACTACTTCTATCGACGTCGAAAAGAGCTCGGGTATGAAATAAGGAGTCATCAAAGTGTAGGGAGTTTATACAAGAGTCTACTTAGCTGCGTGAATAGTCTCTTGCAACAAACGCCGTTACCTAGCAACGCCAGGCCGGGCTCCCAGAGATTTCGTACCTGCCTAAACCCAGTCTGTCTGAGAAACCCTCAACGCGTCTGCCACTCTCGCGTCCGTATGCCTTCACCTTGAGCGACCCCACCGACCGTCAGCGCGGTCGAGTCACCTTAACGCTTCTCGCCTGCCTACCTACCTGCCTTCCTATCTCATCGAGCTGCCCACCCACACTCACCTCGATCAACAGGTAGCTTTCCAGCCCTCGAGTTGTTCACCGAACCCGGCCCCAGCTCACCTCCGCCAGTATTTGAGTTGAACTTCCTTCTCACCCTGCCCTCCTTTCCTCTTCCACAAACCCAAGAATTACGCCGCAACCCAGCGTTCAGTCTCTTCTTCTACAAAATCTTCATCCGCTTCTATCTTCATTCATCCCTCACTCTATCCATTCTTCATTCCTCTCAATCAATTCATCTGAACAAGTCTGACGAAAACGTCAATCTTATCAGACAACCATCAGCTTTACCACTTCCAATATTCGCATTCCTCTGAAGAGTATTCGTACGTGGTACATATCCTCCATCGGTCAAGTCGCCTTGCCTACCTGGAACCTACTTACCCAGGTAGTTACCCTTTCAACAGGTAGCTTTCTAGCCCTTGAGCTGCCCAGCGACACCGGCCCCAGCTCACTCTCCTTCCCACCTTCTTCTTCCACAACCAACTCAAGATCCATCGGTCAAGTCGCCTTGCCTACCTGGAACCTACTTACCCAAGTAGTTACCCTTTCACTTGAGCCGCCGCGACACCGGCCCCAGCTCACTCTCCTTCCCACCTTCTTCCACAACCAACCCAAGATCCATCGGTCAAGTCGCCTTGCCTACCTGGAACCTACTTACCCAAGTAGTTACCCTTTCACTTGAGCCGCCGCGACACCGGCCCCAGCTCACTCTCCTTCCCACCTTCTTCCACAACCAACCCGAGATTCTCGCCGCAACCTTCAGCAGCGTTCGATCTCTTTTACAAAAGCCTCATACGCTCTTGTCTTCATTCACACTTTCTCACTTCCTCTCAATCAATCCATCTGAAGAAGTCTGACGACACTTTCGTCAATTCTCATCAGACATCAGCTTGACCACAGCAGATCTTCACTTTCCTGTCAAAAGTGATTGCCAACGGTCAGCTTTGTCACTGCAAACCTACACCTTCTTCTCAAGTCTAATCCCAATAACAACTGCAAGTAAGTCATTTTCATCCTTTCTTTCATCGAATGTCCCCTCATTGTTACATCTGAACGGCTGTCCTTCGATCTCATGTTGCTGCCAAGCATGAAGTTCTTTACCCTTTCCCTCTGATATTTTGCGTCTTATTGGAGCACTTCACTTGCGTTGTTGTTTGAAATCTCAGTTTCCCTGTTCACCTTACGTGAAGCGCTCTCACATTCTGGCATTGCTTTCTTTACACTATCGTTCTGCTCTGCAGCTTGTGTAACTTGTCACTTACTTTTCTGGTCAATTGGAGAACTTTGGGCTAATTAGTAACTTTGTTCAGGTCATGGCACCTCAGCAGAAGAACGCCTCAAAGGCATCCAAGCTCAAGGCGCCCAAAGGTGGCATCCAGAAATCCAAGCCGCGTGTGCAGAACAAGAAATCTGTATCTCGTGCTGCCAAGACTGTACCTCGTTCTACCAAGAAGACTACTAGACAACCCTCTGTTTCGGCTTCTCCCCCAAGCAATGCTGGCAACGGAGGCAAATGGATATGGACGGAGCATCCACCAACCAAGGAGCAGACTGCTGCAAATGGCCGACAAAAAGGCCGCAGCCTGGTCCAATGGAACCGTAAGGAGCTCTTCACTCATTGTTCGCAATCAAAGCAACTGACTGTGGTCACAGGACCGGACACGGCAATTACGCTCCTGCTCAACACATTGTATCAGGCCTCCATTCAAGGTCACAAACTGTCTATGGACGCTATCGCTCACCGCACTCACTGCGGCGCGTCGGGTCAGTCACTCATTCAACATCTTGCTCGCGAGCGTAGGAGGATCCTCCAGAGAGGCCGCATGGCCCCCCCTGTTGCTGGAACTCGCTACGACCCAACCGTTCGAGGTGTGATTCTTGAGCCAACACCCGGCAACCCTAATGCCGAGAGAAAAATCTCTTTCCGTGAGCCATACTACCACCAAGACTTCCCGGTTCCCGTTTCAGGTTAGGAGCCCGACGAAGAGGAAGAGGAAGAAGGTGAATGGAGCGAAGAGAGTGAAGACCTTGGAGACGAAACCTCCTCTCAAACAGGTCGTGTCGACGACGAAACCGATTTCGACGAACCTGAGCTTGAAGAGCCCGAGTTCGAAGAGCCAGAGCTTGAAGAGCCAGAATTCGAAGAGGCCGAGCTCGAAGAACCTGAGTTTGATGAGCCTGAGCTCGAAGATGAGGTAGGTTACAGCCGTCTCTTCACTTGATTGTCGCTAACGATGGGAAGCCGCAGATGAGCCAGGAGGCCAAGGGAAAGCAGATCGAGAGATCTTACTCGCACGCCTACACGATGGCCTCTCCGGAGACCGACTTCCAGAAGCAGCATCCTCAGCAAATGTTCTGTGCCCCGAAGAATTACCAGATGCCGTGGATGCTGCCTCAGTCGTCTCTGTCGGCGCCCTTGGGTACGGCAAACCCCTTTGATGAGATCCAACCTCTGGGTGCTCATGCCTTGGACACGCCCCAGGTGTTTGGACAAGATCTCCATCCAAACGGCCTTGGCGGGAACTTCAACCTGCCAATGCCTTCGATGCCAAACGACATCGGAACCAATGCTCAGCAGCCTGGATTCGATCCCACTTATGACAACATGGCCACCAGCGTTCATGGCTTGGATCTTCAGAAACTTGAGCCTCCATCCAGAGTTTACGAACATTGGCCCAATGAGTACTATCGCATCTTCGGTCGTTACCCAGGTGATTTGGTTTCCGACACTGCACCCTTCGCCATCAACAACCCTTCAACAACCTTGCTCCAGGACACCTTACCTCCTCAGGGCATGTTCTCGAGTACTTCGCCTTTTGGAGGCGAGCAGGAGAACGGAGGAGGAACAATGAATGACGCCAACTTCGGGCAGTGGGTTCAGGAGCAGGATATGAATCACGAGTCGGGAGCGTGCTTTGGTCTTTGATATTTTGTGGCGTGGTTTCATGGTTTTTGGGCTTTTTCATACGGCGACTACATGGAATGGTAGTACAGCTGAGTCTCGATGAGCTGCGCTTGGCTGTAACCTAGGTATGGGTTTGATCATTCCCCAAGTTGAGGGCATAAGAAGATGATCAGGAGGAAATGAGCAGGTCAGCTTCACCATCTGCTGATTTTGCTGCTTACAATTGAATGCCTTCACCTCTACCTGCTTGTCTGTTTTCTTTCTTTCTGTAGACTTGAGGCTTTGCCAGGATAGTTTTTGGTATCATCCAACGAGGCACATGAACTAAGCTATCCGCAGATAATGGATTGGGTTTTCTGATTTTGACGCATCACAGGGGTAGATCCAAATAATACTGAAGGTGACGGAGAATTGACGCATTGCCTCGTAAATCATCTGTATTCAAAGAACCTAAATGCTGCGTTTCATGACTAGACATATATATAGAGAGAAAGACTGATCCGTGCAGTGGGTTTGTAAAGAGCCGAACCCGGGAATACTTTACGCTGCCATGCCGTCAGCGAGCATGGCGTTGATTAACAGGACGTGGCGATCCGCGGCCTCGTCGCTCCATTCGTTGTCGTAGTTGAGTCCGTATGGCCAAAAATGATAGCCACCGCAATGGATCGTCGCATCGTCTCCGTCCCATGAGCGAAGGAGGGGCAGGGCCGTCGGCCAGTCGCCAGAGGCGCATCTGGATTTGTAGCCGTCCGACAGGCCGACGCCGAGCGTGTGCGAGATTTCGTGGAGCGCCGTCCGCTCGGTCATGAAGTCGCGGCTGGTCCCGAAGCGGAGGGTGCCGCCGGTGTTGGCCTCGGCCGTAGGCACGCCGGGCGTGTAGGTGACGGTAATTGTCTTTTGGGCGGTCCCCAGCCGGGCGTGTCTTTCTGCCGCAAGCTTCATGGCTTCTTCGATTTTGGCGTATGCATCCAACTGGTCGTCTGTAGGGTTCGCGGCCTTCTCGAGCGTCCAGTTAATGGCGGCCTGGGCGACGGAGGCGGTGGCGACGATAGTGGTAAGGATTGAGACCTTCATGTTTTCGGTTGATGGGCGAGGACGAGAAGATTACGAAGAGACGGTAAAGACGGTAAGGTAAAGACGGTAAAGACGGTAAAGACGGTGAAGACAATGCTTTCTGATTGTTGAGATGGATTTCGAGTATTTCCCAGGGACAACATCCTTTTTTATACTGCGAGAGCATCATCGTCTACCAGCTGTTGAGTTCCCCTTAACTTAGACCTCTGACTCGACTTCCTAGCCTACTCCTTGAGCTCATGGTCGAAAACCCGCCAGATAGCGGTTGAAGTTTCACGTATATGTTGGCGACTAAGCAGCGGTTCATCAAGTCCACATGCAATGCGTTGTCTCATTGGTACGATAGTATGTTAGAAGTAAAGGATTGAGAGGCTGCATTGCTGTGCCAAGGCGGCGATCTCCTTATTTGAGTTACCAAGAGTAAACAGCCACAATTGTGGAGTACTGTAAGGAACAATCACCTACAAAAGCACGACGGCAGCCTTATAAGGTAGGAATTACTTGTGAATCAAGTTATGCAATGCATGTGTTGGTAGTATGCATCGCAGCAACCTCGTGACCTTGGCTTTGACTGTCACCAATTCGTGATGTTGAACGCAATCTCTGTCCAGGAAGAACAACGGGGATGGCCGAAGCGATGCGCAAACCCCTGTCTATGTATTTGTTGGTGTCTCCTGGGATACCATGTGCGGATGCTGAGAATGGAGACAGATGCCACTGGAAGACGGTAGAAATGCACCCACTGGGCGCTAGTCCCGTTTTGTCATGGTGCTCTCGAAAGGGACCTCGTTTAGCCGAAGGTCCGAGATAAATTTTTGGAGCCAGAGACGGGAAGCTTCCATCACTCACTACCTCATCTCTTTACTTCATCTCCCCGAACTCTTTGGAGCGACACGTGCGATTCAACTCCTGCGACACTTTCAATCCTTGCTTGTGTATTTCTATTTCCTATCTAGATACCCTCGTAATCAGATTCAATATGCAGCGCGCACTCACTTCTCGCGCGAGAGCGTCCGTCCTCTCTGCTGCTCCTAGCAAGTTCCGCGCCGGTGCCGGCCTGGGACAGCAGCTTCGTTTTGCCCACAAGGTTAGTCGCCACGATGCACCGCAATGTTAAGTCCATTAGCTCGGGTGTACTGACAATGTCTGCAGGAGCTGAAGTTCGGTGTCGAGGCCCGCGCCTCGCTGTTGACCGGTGCCGAGACTCTCGCCAAGGCTGTTGCGACAACACTTGGTCCCAAGGGCCGCAACGTCCTCATCGAGTCCAGCTATGGCTCTCCCAAGATCACAAAGGGTACGGTAGAAGCTCGATTGAACCATCAAATCGGATAACATAGCTAATTGATTGCAGACGGTGTCACTGTTGCGAAGGCAATCACCCTGAAGGACAAGTTCGAGAACCTCGGAGCCAAGCTGCTCCAGGATGTCGCCTCCAAGACCAACGAGACCGCCGGTGACGGAACTACGAGCGCTACCGTTCTGGCCCGTGCCATCTTCTCCGAGACCGTCAAGAACGTTGCCGCTGGCTGCAACCCCATGGACCTGCGTCGCGGTATCCAGGCTGCCGTCGATGCCGTCGTCGAGTTCCTCCAGAAGAACAAGAGAGATATCACCACCAGCGAGGAGGTTGCTCAGGTTGCCACCATCTCTGCCAACGGTGACCAGGAGGTCGGTCGCCTGATCGCCAACGCCATGGAGAAGGTCGGCAAGGAGGGTGTCATCACCGTCAAGGAGGGCAAGACTCTGGTTGACGAGCTCGAGGTCACCGAGGGTATGCGCTTCGACCGCGGCTTCGTCTCCCCCTACTTCATCACCGACGCCAAGTCCCAGAAGGTTGAGTTCGAGAAGCCCCTGATCCTCCTCTCCGAGAAGAAGATCTCGGCCGTCCAGGACATCATCCCCGCCCTTGAGGCCTCCACCCAGATGAGACGCCCTCTGGTCATCATCGCCGAGGACATTGAGGGTGAGGCTCTCGCCGTCTGCATTCTCAACAAGCTCCGTGGCCAGCTCCAGGTTGCCGCCGTCAAGGCCCCCGGCTTCGGTGACAACCGCAAGTCCATCCTCGGCGACTTGGCCGTCCTCACCAACGCTACCGTCTTCACCGACGAGCTTGACATCAAGCTCGAGAAGGCCACCCCCGACATGCTCGGCTCCACCGGCTCCATCACCATCACCAAGGAGGACACCATCTTCCTGAACGGCGAGGGTTCCAAGGACGCCATCGCCCAGCGCTGCGAGCAGATCCGCGGTGTTATGAGCGACCCCACCACTTCCGACTACGAGAAGGAGAAGCTCCAGGAGCGTCTTGCCAAGCTCTCCGGCGGTGTCGCCGTCATCAAGGTCGGTGGCTCCTCCGAGGTTGAGGTCGGCGAGAAGAAGGACCGCTTCGTCGATGCCCTCAACGCTACCCGCGCCGCCGTTGAGGAGGGTATCCTGCCCGGTGGTGGTACCGCCCTGATCAAGGCCTCTGCCCTGGCCCTGAAGGACGTCAAGACCGCCAACTTCGACCAGCAGCTCGGTGTCACCATCGTCAAGAACGCCATCACCCGCCCCGCTCGCACTATTGTCGAGAACGCCGGTCTTGAGGGCTCTGTCATTGTTGGCAAGCTCACCGACGAGTACGCCGGCGAGTTCAACAAGGGCTTCGACTCCTCCAAGGGCGAGTACGTCGACATGATCGCCGCTGGTATCCTTGACCCCTTCAAGGTCGTCCGCACTGGTCTCGTTGACGCCAGCGGTGTCGCTTCCCTGCTCGGTACCACCGAGGTCGCCATTGTCGAGGCTCCCGAAGACAAGGCCCCTCCCATGGGTGGCATGGGCGGTATGGGCGGTATGGGAGGCATGGGTGGTATGATGTAAAAACATGATCAACGTGTCATCTTGTATTAAATCAAAAGTCAATGGGCGAGGGGCATTGGGCGTCGGTGTTACTATTTAAAAAGGAGGATGTATAACTGCTGCCACTTGTACTAATCTCCCCTCTTCCCCCCCTAAAAGCAGTACTTTCCCCGAGGGGATTTGAGAGCTCTGTATTGTACAATAGCACTAGCAAGCTATGTAAGATGAAAGAAAGCCAAAAGAAGTAAAAGAGCAAGACGGAGACCAAGACCTAGATACGCAGTGACGCCATTAACGTTGACACTGGCAGTTGACAATGGTGGAGACATTTGACTTGTCTAATTGATAGCTTAAATAACTTAATTAGCTTGCCTGCTCTCCCCCTACTGCCAACTAAAGAGTCCCTGGCTTCATGCAGACAAGGACGGAAAAGGCAGCCGTTAAAATCACCTTGCGTAACACACAACAGGCAACCATTGTGAGAGATGTCATGATGTTTCATTATTCCTGCCTGATAACTGCACTCGCCATCACATTGGGCTGCCTAGAAAGTACAGATCCCGTAGGAGCTTAGGCCTTGTTGTGTTGTGTTGACTGCCTGGGGTGGGATTCGTCAACCTGCTGCTGACGCACTTGCTGCCGAGAGTCACGTGCGCGCAATCTCACCTGGACAACAACCCCACCATGCGGGTGTTTTTCTCGCCCGCTCTCCCCTCCACGGTGACCCAACTCTTCCGTTCCTGTCCAAGATACCTCTCCAACCGACGCAAGCTGTTACCTCTTCTGCCACCACCCTACCCAGTGTAGCAGACTTCCGGCTGAACCACTCCATCTTCGAAGTAGGCACCCGTTCCCCCCCCCCTCTCCTTTGCATCGCCAGACATTATTATTATTAGCTTCGCAATTCCCCTCCTCTAGGCTCTCTGCTAATCTGCTCTCTGTCACTCAGCCCACTTTCCCGCCTATTCTCTTCAAGCCACACCCCCGCCATAAACCAGCATCATGGTGAGTAACTAAAAGCTTCCAAGGATCAGCTGCCTACCAAAACAAAACACCATGCTAATTTCAATCGCAGTCTCAATCCGGGTTCGTTCTCCCCCTTGTTCTTCCGAGACTCAACTTTCCGCGCCGCATTTGATGAGCGAAGCTCTCTCGCTTGTCCGATGACGATCTTGGCGGAGCAGGACAAGCTGGCTCCATATGCCTCAGCAACGCAGCGCATGCTAACCCGATCTTCCTCAACAGAGCGAGCGTGTCTCAGGAGTGCATAACGGCCTACAACGAGCTTAAGCTGTCCAAGAAGTACAAGTACATCATCTACAAGCTCTCAGATGACAACAAGGAGATCGTCGTCGAGGAGGCCTCGGCCGATAAGGACTATGACAACTTCCGCGAGAAGCTGATCAACGCCACCACCAAGACCAAGAGCGTACGTGTCTCTGTTTTCCATGGCAATGCAGAACCTTGAAGTACTCTGCTAATATCATATCAGGGAGCTGTCGGCAAGGGTCCCCGTTACGCCGTCTACGACTTCGAGTACAGCCTTGCCTCTGGCGAGGGTGACCGGTATGTTGCCCCCGCATTCGCCCAACTTAAAACCTGCAGCTAACCCCCGGACAGCAACAAGATCACCTTCCTCGCTTGGTCCCCCGATGATGCTGGTGTCATGGTCAGTACTTGTTGCCATATAAAAATAAATTCCACTCGTCGCTAACAATTGTCCAGGCCAAGATGGTTTACGCTTCCTCCAAGGAGGCCCTCAAGCGCTCGCTCACCGGCATTGCGACCGAGCTCCAGGCCAACGACGCCGATGACATAGAGTACGACTCCATCCTCAAGGTTGTCAGCAAGGGCTTGGCTGGTTAAATGTCTCGTTTCTCGCGCACGATACCATTCCTTACGCGGCGAGACGGAGCATACACTTTGGCGGCTGCAGTCTTCCGGGACGATTGACGACGATCATGGAGAGTTTACGATGAATACGGAGGACCACTTTCTCCCCCCTTTGGCGATTACCGGGACTGAGACCTTTTCCCCATTCCGAGCTTCTTTTGGGGCGTGACCAGTAAATTTCCAGATTCAACTGCCCGCCTGGTTATACCAACCCAGTGCCATAGGAAAACACCTTATGCCGGAATGTTGAGCATTCTTGTTGTTGCTGCTTGACGAAAAAAACCAATTTCTTTATTAGACCATTATTTATGTTTGAGTCCCGTCCTCAGTGATGATTGCTACGTCATGACTTCTTCTGTGCCTGCCAGGTCGAGCGCCACTGCGCCGACAGCTCCTCCGCCTTCTGCTCGTGCTTGAGCCTTTGCATCAAGAAGCCCTTCAGATCATTCCAGAATTCCGGTGTATCCAGCGCAGCCTCACCAATGTCTTCCTGCTGACCAGAGCCGACCCCAACGGGAGCAGGCTCGGGCTTGACTGCCGCAGCTCCGCCAATGACCATAACAGAGAACTCCAGCGACGACTGGTCATCCGTGAGCAAATCCTTCAACACCTTGCTATCCGGCACAGGCTTCTTGTTGTACAAAAGCTTCACCTTGTCCACAGGTATCCGCGACTGCGCCTCGACCGCCGTCTTGATGTCGAGGATCGAGGTGTTCAGGCTCTGGGAGGACAGCTTGATGTCCAGGGGTGGGTTTCGCAGGGACTTGAGTACGACGTTAATGCTGCGTTCCTGGCCCGGCGCGAGGCTCATGGGCTTGCTCATGGGCTTGGGCATCTTGGGCAGAATGTACTTCATGACGTTAGCTTGGATGCGAAGTGTGCGGGGCTGGACGTCACCTACGGGAGGGCGAGCAGGGAAGCTCTTGGGGTCTTCCACATGGTCGGCCGACAGCTTGGCTGAGCGCAACTCCAAGATCGCCAGGAACTGTCTTGCGAAGACGACTTCAGCCATGTTTGCGGTTTGCAGGTGGCTAGCTATTGGTGAAGTTTGCAAGGTCGGTTCGTTCGAGTCGATGGGCTGAGTACGGTGGCTAATATAGGTTGTTTGCGTGATGCTAAAGTGTAGAGAAGTGACGGCAAAGGTTCAATACTAGATAACCGACTTGGGATGCGACGTTGGAGATGGCTTCGTCCGGTGTCTCTGCTGCTTGCTCAGTACCGGTAGTGTTACGCACTGCTGTGAGGAGGGATGGCGGGGTGGAGAGGGAGCTGGGGTGTGGAGCTGGAGCAGGTCCGGTCTGGGCGGCGTGGCTTTATCGGCTGCTACTCCAATCTAATCGGACTGGTCAGTGCGCGATAGGAAAAAGTTTCGGTGGGGGGAACCGCTCTAATCCAGGTGAACTTTTTTTTTTTCTTTGGCAGTGCAGCGGCGACCGACCTTACCAGCCGGTACCGTGCATCACTTTTTTTGTATTCTTTTACAATACCCTCTTTCCCTCTCTAAATCACATATACCCCAAGTCTCGACACGCAATTGATCGGTCAAAATGGGTGTCGGAAACCGCATGAAGAAGCAGGGTCCTCCTGAACCCCTGTCAGAGGCCCATTTCGCAAAGTTGAAGCGCAAGGCCGGTCTGCCAGTCGACCCTGTCGAGCCTGTCGAGACCAAGAGGAGGAGAACAAACAAGAAGGACGCCCCAAAGACCAACGGCGCCGCCGCAAAGAAGAAGGATGCGAAGAAGAGCAAGGCGCCCGCGCCTAAGGCGAACGGCAGAGGAAAGAAGGCTCAGCCCGTCGAGGACGAGGACGAAGACATGTCAGACGATGACGACCTTGGCGATTTCCAGGACGCGCCCTCTGGCATGAGCGACGACGAGGGTGTCGACGAGTTCTCCGACCTTGAGAACGGACCGGCGGGTCTGGGCGACGACTTCCTGGACTCGGACAACGATTCAGTCTTCGACTCGGACCAGGAGCAAGGCGGCGGCGGCAAGCACATGTTCTCGGAGGACGAAGACGAGTCGGACGGCGAGGAGAAGCTCACAAAGGCCAACATCGAGGGTGTCGCACGGAGGCTCGACATGAAGATCGCAGCGGAGGACGCCGAGGCGCAGGCCGAACTCGAGGAGATGGGCATTCAGACCAACATCGACGGCGACAAGCCGCACGTCTTTGACGACGACGACGAGCTTGCCGCCAAGACAAAGACGCTGCTTGCGCCCGACCTGCAGCTCCTGAGAACAAGAATCACGGAAAACATCAGAGTGCTCGACGATTTCGCCAACCTTCACGAGGAGGGCCGCTCTCGTGTCGAGTACGTCTCGCAGCTCATCAAGGATATTTGCGCCTACTACGGTTACTCCGAGTACCTCGCTGAGAAGCTCTTCAACCTGTTCTCCCCCCGCGAGGCGTTCGCCTTCTTCGAGGCCAACGAGTCGGCCCGTCCCGTCGTCATCAGGACAAACACCCTCCGCACCCATCGCCGCGACCTCGCCCAGGCCCTCATCTCGCGCGGTGTCACCCTCGAGCCCGTCGGCAAGTGGTCCAAGGTCGGCCTTCAGATCTTCGAGAGCAACGTGCCCCTCGGTGCGACGCCCGAGTACCTTGCCGGCTACTACATCCTCCAGGCCGCGTCCTCGTTCCTGCCCGTCATGGCCCTCGAGCCGCAAGAGAACGAGCGCGTGCTGGATATGGCCGCCGCCCCCGGTGGAAAGACCACGCACATGGCCGCCATGATGAAGAACACGGGTGTCATCGTCGCCAACGATCCCAGCAAGCAGCGTGCCAAGGGTCTCATCGGTAACATCCACCGCCTCGGCGCCCGCAACGTCGTCGTCTCCAACTACGACGCTCGCGAGTTCCCCAAGCCCATGGGCGGTTTCGACCGCGTGCTTCTCGACGCGCCCTGCTCGGGTACCGGTGTCATCGCTAAGGACGCCAGCGTCAAGACCAACAAGACGGAGAGGGATTTCATGCTGCTGCCGCACATGCAGAAGCAGCTGATCCTGGCCGCCATCGACTCGGTCAACCACCACAGCAAGACGGGCGGTTACATCGTCTACTCTACATGTTCCGTCACCGTCGAGGAGAAGTAAGCTTGGCCCCTTCCGAACTGAGTATGTGTGAACACGTTGCTAACAATCCCTCAGTGAGGCCGTCGTCCAGTACGCCCTCTCCCGCCGTCCCAACGTCAGGCTCGTCGACACCAACCTTCCCTTCGGTCGTGAGGGCTTCACTTCCTTCATGGGCAAGAAGTTCGACCCCTCCCTCAAGCTCACCCGCCGCTACTACCCGCACACCTACAACGTCGACGGCTTCTTCGTCGCCAAGTTCCAAAAGTTCGGCCCCACTCCCGCAAAGGCCGAGAAGGCAGACCGCTCCGCGCCCGGCTCCGCCGGCGAGGTCGTCGACAAGGCCCCCATCACCGACGACGAGGACAACTCAGCGCCCGGCCGGGACGACAACTTTGGCGGCTTCGACGAGGACGAGGACGAGGAGTACATTGGCAAGGCCAAGCGCAACGCCATGCGCAGGCGCGGCCTCGACCCCAATGCCCTCAAAGCCAAGGCCAAGAGGGAGACAGCCGTCAAGAAGGACGGCGGCAAGTCCGAGTCCGAAGTCGAGGCCGAGGCCGAGAAGCCCGCCGAGAAGACGCCCGAGAAGAAGGACAAGAGCAAGGAGAAGGCCGCCGCCGCCGACAAGGAGCGCAAGGCCGAGAGGAATACCGCACAGAAGAAGGTGACGTCCACGGCCGCGACGCCGGAGAAGAGCCCCAAGAGCAAGAGCCCCAAGCAGAAGAAGGACAAGAAGGCGGCGAAATAAAATAAAAAAAAGAGTCCAAGTGTCGTTCTCGCAGGTCGGGATGGAGGACGACGAATGTGGGATGAACACTAAAAAAGTCATAAAATAGAGGGGATTTCTCGGTGTTATCTTGTGTGTGCAGTAGACGAAAAGAAGCATCATTGTGTCCGGGGTCGATCGAGGTCGAAACGAAGCATCCTGTTTTGTCATTGTTTGCATTATAATTACCTACTACTAGGGAGTCGGAGCTCAAAAAAAGGGATTCAGAATTTGAGAGAGAAAAAGTTGCATCGGACCTGCTGGACAAGTCGTGCCGTTCCTTGCCCGTCGTCTTACGAAAAGGCGAACTTGATGTCCGACCGAATACTTAATTAATGATTGCCCTTCACGTCCGCCAATGTCAAAGTGGCCCAGCCTGCTGGTCCTCAAAGAGAATTGAAAAAAGATTGGGTTATTGCTAATCCAACAAGGCGAAGCCAAAAACGAAACTTGTGTCTAGAAGTAGAGTTTGTAATGAAGGCGTCACTCTTCATTAGATAAAGACGCAACCTTTGACCTTCTCGATGGCCAAGGGAAACGGTTCATACACCAAACCTCGTCGTCCTCCTACTCAAAAAGCTAACCTCAAGCATAAATATAAAAGCGGTGTACAGAAAACAAGACGTAAAAGCATGCGTTTCCTCCAAGTTCATCATGACCGTCCAATCCAGCTTGGTTCTGGATGGTATCGAGTCGGTTCTCTCTTCCCATTTCATCTCCTTGTTCGTCATAAAGGTTGGCCTTCCTATATCCCCGGCCCGACCCGTTTTCGTCATAAAGCCGTATGTCATGAAACCTATTCACAACTTTTGTGTGTCGGAGTATGTTGTACACAGAGAGGTATCCAGAAAGTCGTCACTAGACCCGTCGTAAATGTATTTGGTTGTTCGTCGTAATTCTTCTTCCAAAACGCCTCCGTCATAAGTCGCCCTGTGGCTCGTCCATGGACGTCAGGGGTATTAAATAATAATGTAAAGAGGAAAGAAGGCATAAAATGCCGCCCGAAGTGAAGTAGTGTTCGTGAGAAAAGGTCTACTGGGCAGCCCTTTGGTGGAGCAGAATGTCGCGAATGGCCCAACGCGAGGCATCGCGGTCTTGGTCGCCGACGCCGAGCCATTTTTCGCACTTCCTTCTCCACCTATCTTCTTCTTCGCGCTGCCGTCGTACGAATTCCGGCCCGACGTCGAATTCTTCGCCGACGAGCCATTCGTCTTTGACTTCGCTGACGCGACCCGGTTCCTTGGAGTCGCCTGAGTTGTCGTCGAGATCCGGAATGTCTTTGAAGACATCCTCATCGTCGTCCAAGGCGTTGAAGCCGTCCATCGGATCAGAGATCTCGGACTTGGGATTCGTTTGCGGGCCCAGCTTGAGCCAGCACATATTCTGTGGGTCAAATACCATGCCCCCAACGACCTGAACACCTTTTGTATGGCTTATGTTTGTAATCAGGGCCGGCCGAGGTGTGGAAACTTCTTTGTCGCGCACCATGTGAGGCGGTATAGATGCTGTCGATGGGGACGATGCGGGTATGTCGAACGCGTTCAGGACGGTTTCATTGCCCTCCCAACGGTACGTGTCGGGATTGTAAAACATGCCCTGAAGATCTGCAGCGAGGTTAGTATTGTAATGTGCAGATAAAAAGCGGTTGCACTTACGTTGCGGAGTCTTGTCCTTGTTCATGTTCGATATAAGATGAGGCTTCAATTGGGGTAGGTTCCTCTTCTTTTTCGACCTTACGGAAGCCTGTGGCAGTCCGGGGTTGAAATTGTTCCTAGACGACAGCTGGGAGACACGCGACGAGGTGAAAGGCGGCAGTGGGCCTGATGGAGTCCGTTGAGCAAGCGAGGTCTCCCGGGCAATTCGGCTAGCCTGGGTATCACGAGCAAAATGGGGCGTGTAATCAGCCTTCGCAGGGGAGTGAGGTGCCGGGGAGGGTGTGGTGGTCCGATCGGGAAGCACATTTTGGTACAGCTTATTGCGCAACGGTGCCTTCAAGGGTTGCCGGACGAATTTTGCCTCTGATTGCGCCGACGTGGGCAAATCGTCGAATCCATCCAGCTCGTGCCCATCACCGAAATTTCGGGTTCGGTGTGGTTTGGTGAGCGTGCGGAAAGACAAGCCATCGTGAGTAATGTGATCCGAATGGCGATTGAGTCTCTTCGGGCTTGGCGAGCGCATCGTCGACCTCGAAAAGGCCCTGGACGTCGGCCGCATGTCGAGGGAGTTCTCGGAATCATGGCGTCGGAAGGTGCGAGAAGTTTTTGCGGTCACGTGCTGCGACTGGGATTGTGAGGCCCCAGCAGGGAGAAAGGGGCGTCGTTGCTGGGCAGCATGGCTTTCCACGGCGGGTCGAGACCTCTCGGTTGGTGTTTTCGGTCGCATCGCCGACGCCGGACGATTGGGATCTGTTCTGGACGGCGGTCGGTCGAAGCGGGAGGAGATGGGTTTGGCAGGGGAATGAGATGCCTTCATGGCAGGCAGAGATCGCTTAAACCTCAGCAACTGCGAGCTCGTAGTTGTGGGCTCATTCCGCAGCGACGTGGTTGAAGTCCTAGGGCCAAGCTCCCTTCTCCGTGGCGTTGAGGGAAGCAGAGACCCAGGAGACGGTGTCGTGGGCGTAGGCATGCTGTGAATGCTCGTAACCGAGGACTGCGATGCATGGCCCATGCGAGACTGAGACCTTCGCGAGCGAGCGAAAATGGGGCCACCACTCTCAGACACAGGCTCCAGCGCAGAGAGGGCTCGCTCGTGACGCTCATGACTAGGCCGCGGCAGTCGTGACGTTGTGGTTTTGGTGGAGAAGGTCAAGGAAATGGCCGTCTTGGGCCGCTGCGGGCTCGACGGCCGGTTTGAATTGACACGAATGTTGCGGTGAAGGGTGAGCTTGCCGGAATTGAAGACATCACCGTCGCCGACATCAAGACCATCGAACATGTCCTCAGGCTCGGGCTCCTTACGTGGCTGAGGAGTCTTCAGGTTTGGTGGCTCTTCCTCCACAAAACGTACGGGAGAGCGACTGAGCTTCCTCCGGCTCAATCTCTCCTCGAAGTTGACCGGGCCGCTTGGGAGCACGAGGCCATCGAACGTCTCATCCTCGCTTTCGGCGGTAAACGAGCTCGACACACTGGGGCTCAAGGCAGAGACAGAAGAGCTTCTAGTGGAATGGGCGTCTCTGCGAGTGCCCCCGAATCGAGTTCCGAGACTGCCCTCGCCCCAGTCCAAGTCCTCTGCATGTACCAAAGGCGTCTTTGGGATGTCTTTTCTGGTTGAGAGACTTAGTTTCCCGTCCGACGGGAGTTCAAAATCAGTCTCGAAGTCATCGTCCAATGCATTGATGTTCTTCTGAGGCGTCGGGGGGGTAATGAGTGAAATGGGCTTGGGTGGACGAGTCTTGGATACTTTGATGGTTTCGGAACCGTCGCCGAAGAAGTCATCATCGTCGTCGTTATCGCGGAACTTCTCCAAGTTGATGGCTCCTGACAATGTGCTTGTCGTCGATTCAGTCGACTCTCTCCGGTCCAGCAGCGACACGGCCGGAGGGGTCCTCATAGATTTAGTAGGGCTCGTCTGGCTAGAGCCACCACTGACCTGCCTCAGCATATCAGGGAACTTGGAGCCGTCTTGGGGCTTGATGCGAAGGCCCTGGGTCGAGTCTGGCAGTACCAGATCGTCCTCCCAGTCGTCCTGCATGATCTTCTTGATCTTCCTTCCACCTAGTCGTTTGATAGTGCCACCCATGAGAGCGGAAGAGGGTACATTCTTGGGTATCGGAATGCCGGCTTGGGTGGCAGCGGCGATAGCGTCCAGTGTTGACTTCTCGTCGTCGCCCGGGACGTGCACATGCGTCTCTTCGTCCAACATGGATTCAAGATCGGAGCGGAGGGAAACATGTGAAGACGCAGAGTCGCGTCGTGTAGAAGCAAGGTTTGTTGTGGTGGAGGCGGTGCGAAATGTCAAGTCATCGGTGTCGATCTGGAAGTCGTCATCGTCCCAGTCCTCGATGTCTGGTTCGGCCACGGGCTGGCGTGGCTTGAGGCGTAAGGGTTCCATGTTTTCGGCGGGTTTCTTTGTTTGGGGGAGCGCGGAATTGAATTGGGTCCAAGGAGGTCGTGGTCGTATCCCAAAAGACTTCCCGGCAGCGCTGTTCTACTTGTCAATGTTGCAAGATCATATCGTCAACAATAACAGCAGCTTCGGCCCGGCATATCCTTTCAGATGGTGACAATCGTCGTAAGCCAAGTTTTCTTGGTGATGATTCGGGGGTAAGTTGGTTGCAAAGGACGCAAAAAGGTTTGGCGTTGCGTGGTAAGGCGTAGAAATGGCGGCGTCTGGTTTGTTTTGAGCCGGGTTTGGTATCGTCGTTTTCGGGAATGTGCGTAGTGCCTGTCGGCTACTGGTAGGAAGAACTGCGAGCGAGTGATGCAAACGGGTGTAGAGCAAGTGGAGGTTGTCCAAGAGGTTCGTCGTAAGGGGTGATGCGCAACAGGGTCCGATATGTCGAGCGTGACGTTTGCCAAACCAGAATAGGATGAGAACAGGGCAGTCGTGTGAGGTCGGGGGGTGGAAGAATTGGGATTGGATTTGCGAGGATTGACGGCCTTGTTGGATGAGTGGTGAAGCAAAAATGGCTGGGAAGCCGGGGTCGATGGATCGGGTCTGGCAAACAAAGCGAGGTGGTAGGCTGGCGGGATGGTGGGCTGGGTCCAGCAACAGCGGTGCGTGGTGCCGCAGGAGGAGCACAGCGTGGCTGGTAGGTATTGCGCGCATGTGTGGGCAGCCCACCGGGCTACGTATCTGTTCCCCGTATTCGTGCAGCTATTTCGAGCACAATTTGAGTTCTTGCTACTTTGGGCCTACCTGGTGCGTATACGATCATCGGCTTTAGTGAACTTGTTTTTCTTCCTCCTTGTGTTTGCTTGAAATGATGCCCAGCTAATTGTTCTGGGGATAAGAAGAGGGTAGACTGGAGCAGCAGAAGGTCCACTACGGCTTCTTTTTCCAGGGCCGACTGGGCCCGGCACTGAGGGCGAACAGCTGAGCGGAAAAGAACAGGTGTGGAATGGGCCTTGCTGGGGGGAGGGAGACTGGGGAGGGGGGTCCCCAGGGCTCCAGGGCTCCAGGGCTCCTTGCGCCTACCACACTGAGTATCCGTACTCCGTAGTGAATCACGAATTTTTCCAGGGTGAGCCACGTGATTCAGCGGGGACGGTCGTCGTATAGTGGGTTGATTGGGTTAATAAGGGAATGGATGCGGGGATGGTTGCACCACGATTCTGACGCGTTCGAGCCGCGACCGTCGCCTGCACCCACTTCTCCTTCCTCGTCTTCCGGTGCTTCGGCCAAAGGCCAGACGACAGCCGCAGGTCCGCATCTTAGGGAGAACCTAAACGAGGTCGCCAGCCTTCCGCTTCAATTTGGCAACAACTGGCTCGTTGGCTTTTTTCAGCAAGAGCACCACCCGTGAAAGGAGGTTATCGAATCTTTGATTCTTCAGGGTGAACGGCCCTAGAAACTAGTAATACCTAGCCCTTCCCAGCGACCCCTTCAAACCAATAGCCTCGAAACAGTCTCCATAGCTTCGTGTTTATTTATTGACAACCTTGACAATAAAACAACATGAATCGCTGACTACGTTCCCGTTCTCTGTGTCATCCGACTGTCCGACTGTGACCTTGCCGTCATGAATGTCTAAACATCCAAGGGTATGCCTGAGGCCGTTGCTCAGGCCCTCTCCGTTGCCTGCCTGCCTACTTGCCTAGGTAGGCACTAGGCACCTACCTACTGCCTAGTTCCGAACCCTGGGGCCCCTCGACGACCCTCATGGCTCAGATAGATAGCTTCTTCTCGTTACCCTGTACTTAATGTCAATAAACTGCCAACTACGGAGTGGAGGCTCTGACCAAGTCTCACCTTTTCTTGTTGTCTCACGAGAATACCACCCAACCAAAACACCCTCAAACCGAGGTGTTAATTTTTTTTGGATTCCAGCCCTTCCAAACCAATCTGCTGGTCCCTGAAACCCACAACACCTTGGCCCCCGACGCTCTCGGACTCGATCCCCCCGAGATACAGCCACTATTGACATTGACACTGGAACGGCAACTCATCTTGGGGCACGCACGGGGGCAAATTATCACACCTCTAGCTCGTCATGACTTCGGCACACATCCTCCGGTTTCCCCGGTCAGAGAGCCAAGGTGGCTTCGTCATCATCCAAGCTACGCCTATACGGTCCAAAGCATTGGATGTCAAGTTGGTTGGAACTGATGGCGTGGAGCCCTATGCCGTTTCCTGTGAGTAGAATGCTCGCCATCCTGTTTCTGGCCGAAGATCATCGCGGCCCGGGTGAGTGGGTCTTGTCCGATGTTCTTTCATGCGCCGAAGTCATGCACCGTCGAAACGGAACCTGGCGAGGCTAACAGAAGGTTCCCCTTGCAGTGCGTCAAGATAAAGCCGCTGCACTTCGAGTCAAGAACAGCCCCTGCACAGAGGACGAATGGATTTCCATTCTGACTGCCGTGCTACAACAAGAACCAGCCAGCGACATCGAGGTGCTCGCCGATGTAGAAAATGAAGCCGTCCTTACTTTGACTGTCCGGAGAAAGGGAAAGGAGTTTACTGTAAGTGATGATTTGCTTGAACCTCTTCCCAGCCCAACTTTCCTGGTGGCCGGCCGGTGGGCTGATGGCTGGTCTATAGCAACGTCTCGGCGCCATCGAATTGAGCCACAGCCCGCATGAGCTGATTGAGCTATTCGACTGGTGTGCTCTGTCGGCGCAGGTGGCCAAGGAGGCCAAGGAAGCCCTAGCCTCTGCAACCGCAACAGCGAACCGGCTTGAAGAATCTGTCCGTGAGCTCAAAGCACAGCTTGACGGCCTAATCGCGGCCAAGGAGGCCGACGAGTCGGAACTGCTAGAGAAGTTCCGCGACCTATTAAACGAGAAGAAGGTCAAGATCAGACAGCAGCAGAAACTTTTGGCGTCTGCGTCTGTCGAGCCCGACAAACTAGCGCAGGTACAGAGTTCTCAGGCCGCAGGAAAAGGCCATGCCGCAGCTGAGTCTAGGCCGGCCAAGAGGAAGACCGCCCCCGCCCCCGCCAATGACGATAGCTCTTCCGATGAAGGTTTCGAGAAGATGGACGTGGAGCAAGCTCCTGAAGATTCAGAGCATCAGCGCGACACGACCGAAGACGAGGATCAGACGGCTAGTGAAGATGATGATGATGACGAGCCAGCAGCGCCAGCGTCTAAGAAGCAACATGAGTCTGTGGGAACTTCACAGGCCGAGGGGCAGGCCACGGCCGCCCAAAAGGAAGCACCTCCAATGAAGAGGGAACTCCCCTTTGCCAAAAAGAGGGCCGCCCCGAAAGCACCACCTCCGCCCGCTGAAAGCGAGACGGAATCTGATGACGAGCTTTGATATTGATTGGGGACGAAAGCCAACAGAGTCTACATAAATGCTCGTGTTGTCATGTTTGGTTCTTCATGCCGTCATATCTGGCGTCGCTAGGGACGATTACACACTTGACAGTTTCTCATTAATCCTCCCGATGAATCGCTACATAGACAATTACTTGACGCTATGGTCCGAGATGTTCAGACGGCTCCCAGTGATAGACCCACTTAGCTCTTGTCATCAGCGTCGAACCTGTTCTTCCAAAACCCGCGAACATGTTTGGTTTCGCCGGCTTTGGCGATCTCACTCACCTCCCGAGGCGTGAGCTTTATGGCAGGGAGATGGTTCAGGTAACTCTGCAGCCTGTCTTCATTGGACGAGGTCGTAAGGGTGACCAGACCTTGGTCGATGCACCACCGGAGTCCAATGACGGAATCGCTTACCCCGTACTTCTTGGACAGATTGGCGAAGATGGTCCTGACGGGAGAATCGACGTCTGAAGTAATGGGGGTCAAGGGGGCATACGCCGCTACTGCAATCTTGTTCTGGCGGTGGAACTCTAGCAGGTTGCCGTGCTGCAGGTGAGGATGGAACTCAATCTGGTTGATGGCTGGGGGGATCTTGGCCGTCTTCAAGATAGTCTCAAGGTGGGACTGAAGGTAGTTGCTGACTCCGATGGACTTGGCCCGGCCGGATTCCTTGATGGCCTCCACTTCTGCCCACTTCTGCTGGAGCTCCTCGTCCGACTCGGCGAAGAAGGGACCATGGATGAGATAGAGATCCACATAGTCAAGACCAAGTTTTTTCAGAGACGTCGCAAAGGCCTCTTCGGTGTTCTGCTTCTTGGTTCCGCTGCACTTGGCAGTAACGAAGAGCTTCTCCCGCGGCACACCGGCCTTCTTGATGGCTGCGCCGAGCTCCTCCTCATTTCCGTAGACTGGCTTCCGTTAGAGCGCCTTCTCATTGGGTGTCACTGTCTGCGCATACCTTCCGCGCCATCGAGATGACGGTATCCAAGTTTGATAGCCCGGACCGTGTTGTCGACAATCTTCTCGTCAAAACCCGGGCCGCCCCTTTTGTAGTTGGCTGTCCCTAGACCATATCCGAGCTACTGAGATGTGAGCACTACAGTTCGTTGGAGCGAGCTAGTCCTGGTCCGCCCAGGCTTTAGGCTCTGGGAGCAATTAAGTGCTGACAACGTTACCACGGGGCGGGTCCTCCTTGCGGAGGCGGATTCATTGCTGGGAGTGGTAACTCACCATTGGGATCTTGTTGCCATCGTTGAGCGTGAGCCATGGGATGTAGTCTACCTGCTTGGGCGGGGTTCCCGAAGCATCGGGCGTGAACGTGGACAGAATCGAGTTCATGTTGCGATTTGGGAGTGATAGAGGAGGGGTGGTTGCTGCGCTGAGCCTTGAGGTCAACCTCAAAAATATGCAGCAGTTTATATCAACAAGTAGAAAATGGGCCAGGGCTAGGGGTTTGGATTTCTAATTCGATGGATCTATGCTTTGGAGCTGGAAAATGGGCAATCTGGTTATCAGAACGATGGGACGACAAGAATGCACCATGCTCTCTATGCCCTCTCCACGTTTCGATGACATACGGTACCCGTACAAGACCAATAATGCAGGAAAACGAGACCACTCCCCGCCGCGCCGGCCAGTAAGAGCCGAAACGACCAATTGACATCACCAAAAGCCGTACCCGACCTGAGGAGAGCTTCGTAAGGTCCGTTCATACGAAGGCGCACTGGGTGGCGCTGGGCTGGGCTGGCACGCTGGGGAGACCCCACTTGCCCCAATTGGATCTTGCCAGGGCGTGCTGGTTTTCCCAGGATGATGGGGGGGCTTTTTTTCTTCGCAATGACGCCAATAGTGACGACAGCATTGGGAGCTGTTGCGTGAGAGCGGGATGAAGCTTTCTTTTTGCTTGAACACACGGGCCATGGGCTCTCAGCAAGCTTTCAAGGGACAAACCTTACGACCCCTGAAAAGGCATTGACAGATAAAAAAGGGTCAAAAGTATCCGTATAGGATGGGGTCTGAATCGGAATATCTGGGCCAAATGGTTCCGGAACCGGGACGCCCGTTGCTACCAGCAACCCGTCGATGTGGACGCTGAGGTTCTACCCAGGTGCGCATCTCCAGCGGCTTAGGTCAGCATGGCGGCGAATTGCTCAAAGTCCGTTGCCACTGAGGTTCGGAGTCTCGCATCGCCGAACGGGTGACCTAGTCGGCTGGCGCCATCATCATTAGCAAATACCCCCCTCCCATACGGAATTTTCTCCGGGTCTTTTTATTTTATTTTCTATACTGTACATCTGGAATCTGCGATACCCCCGTTTCGTTTTTCTTCTTTACCACAACAGAGCTGTTTCTTATTAGTTACATTGCACGCTTCATTGACGTCCACGGACTGCGTATATGCTCTCGCGACTGCTCTCCCGCCGAACCGTCCCCAGAGCCTCCAGACTACCCATCATGGCCGCTCAACTCTCCAACAGGGCGCCCGCCTGGCCCGGCCTCCCGATAGCAGAGCTCCCCAAGACGTGGACTTACACCTCCTCCCTCCCGCCCGACTCCCTCTTCCCGACCCCGGCCGACTCCCACAAGACCCCGCGCGACCAGATCACCCCGCGCGGCGTCCGCAATGCCGCCTTCACATGGGTCCGCCCCGAGACCGCTGAGGACCCCGAACTTCTCGCCGTCAGCCCCGCTGCGATGCGCGATATCGGTATCAAGGAAGGCGACGAAGAGACGGAGGAGTTCCGCCAGACCGTCGCAGGGAACAGGCTACACGGGTGGGACGAGGAGAAGCTCGAGGGCGGGTACCCGTGGGCCCAGTGCTACGGCGGGTTCCAGTTCGGCCAGTGGGCCGGCCAGCTCGGCGACGGCCGCGCCATCTCCCTGTTTGAGACGACGAACCCCGGATCCAAAGTGCGGTACGAGCTGCAACTGAAGGGCGCCGGCATCACACCGTACTCGCGGTTCGCGGACGGCAAGGCGGTGCTGCGGTCGAGCATCCGCGAGTTCGTGGTATCCGAGGCGCTTCATGCCCTCGGCATTCCCAGCACGCGCGCCTTAGCCCTGACACTTCTGCCAAAGTCCAAGGTCAGGCGCGAGACTGTCGAGCCTGGCGCCATCGTATTGCGCTTTGCCCAGTCTTGGATCCGCCTCGGAAACTTCGACCTCCCCCGCGCGAGGGGCGACCGCGCCATGATCCGTACCCTAGCGACGTACGTGGCCGAAGACGTCTTTGGCGGCTGGGAGACCCTCCCCGCTCGCCTTGCGAACCCGGACAAGCCGGGCGAGTGCCTCGAGCCCGCCCGAGGTGTGCTTGCGACGGAAGTTCAGGGCCCCGAGGACTCGGCCGAGAACCGCTTCACCCGGCTCTTCCGCGAGGTCGCCCGCCGCAACGCCCTGACGGTCGCCAAGTGGCAGGCCTACGGTTTCATGAATGGCGTGCTCAACACGGACAATACCTCCGTCGCGGGCCTGAGCATCGACTTCGGCCCCTTCGCCTTCATGGACAACTTCGACCCGGCCTACACCCCGAACCACGACGACCACCTCCTGCGGTACAGCTACCGCAACCAGCCGACCATCATCTGGTGGAACCTGGTGCGCTTTGGCGAGGCGCTGGGCGAGCTGATCGGCGCCGGCGCCGGCGTGGATGAGGATGCCTTCGTCAATAATGGCGTCGAGGAGAGCCAGGCCGACGCCCTCGTGGCCCGGGCCGAGAAGCTCATTATGCAGGTCGGTGAGGAGTACAAGGCGCTCTTCATGGCCGAATACAAGCGCCTCATGGCGCAGCGCCTGGGGCTCAAGAGCTTCAAGGAGAGCGACTTCGATGAGCTGTTCAGCAACCTGCTGGACACGATGGAGTCGCACGAGCTCGACTTCAACCACTTCTTCCGGCGCCTCAGCTCCGTCAAGCTCTCTGACATCGCTGACGAGGACGCCCGCCGCGAGACGGCTGTGCGCTTCTTCCACGCTGAGGATGGCGCCGCGGGCGGCGAGGCCAAAGGCCGTGCGGACGTTGGCGCGTGGCTGGGCAAGTGGCGCGCGCGCGTGGTCGAGGACTGGGGCGAGGACGACGCTCCCCGGGGCGATGCTGAGAGGGAGAAGGCAATGAAGGCTGTCAACCCCAACTTTGTGCCGCGCGGGTGGGTGCTCGACGAGATCATCAAGCGGGTGGAGAAGGACGGCGAGAGGGACGTGTTGAGGCGGGTCATGCATATGGCGCTGCACCCCTTTGAGGACAGCTGGGATGGCAAGGAAATTGAGGGGCGGCAGTACAAGGGTGATAAGGCGGAAGAGGAGAGGTGGGTTGGGGATGTTCCCAAGTTGAAGAGAGCTATCCAGTGCAGCTGCAGCTCATAGATGAGAAGATTTAAGTTTATCTCGATCGTTGTAACGTGCCTTTTTATGATATTTTATGAACGTATCATCGAAGTTCCTCGAGCTTCACTGAATAATCATCATCCTCTTATGTTTCGTTGCGCCGTATCTATTCTATCCCATATGGCACGGTGAAGGGAGTGTCTCCTCCGTGCTCTTAGGAGCTGGAACTCGGATCTTGATCATGCCCTTCTTGGTTGGAGACAGTACCTCACTACCATCGCCCTCCGAGCCACGCTCTCCAGTACCGGTTGACAGTTCGTTCATGGCGCGATCGGCATCCGAGTCAAGGAAGGAAGACGTCTGTGGCTCGAGGTCGCTACCTCACTGATATGGGCCGAGGGTGTGTTGCCAACGGGTCCACCGGAGCCAGAGATTCCAGGGTACTTAAGAGAGATGACTGAGCAGACTCTTGTCCTGCACCCAGCGGAGAGGTGTGGGCAGCGGATTCCCTACGTTCTGGTCACGCTGAGCATGCCAGGGACTCAGGGACCAGATAGGTTTGTTATCAGGCAACGGCCTCTGAACATTCACTCAGCCCACGTCCAGTATTCTGCACATGGTTAAGAGGCCAAGAGCAGCAACATATCTCGGCCCCCTCAGGGACTTAATTACAGTGTCCAGTTGCTGGATGTCAACTCCATCTCAATGTTTGGCAGATTGTATACAGAGATCCGTCCCTTCTCTCGTCCCTAGTCTCATGGCACCATAGGCTTGCCTTAGCAAGAGATGTTAGGGCATAAGCAGTGAGTACCCTTAGTCGTGCTTCATAACAACGCTACGCCTGAATATTATAATAGAACAGCCGGGGATACGTCGCGTCGTCACATGGCACTCAGGTGAAGTTATTTACTTTCTTCAACTACCCGCCTCCTTCTACCCACGCGTGCTATTATGTACAAGCAATGCATTCATCCCAAACAAAGGAGCTTTCTTTTCTACTCTTCTCCACAGCATTCGTACTCGTACAGCCTGTCCCTCATGCCCCGTACTCGATCTGACCCATTGGCCTGTCCTCCTCCATGCCTGGCGCCATAAAGTTGGTCTTGGGGTTGCCGGTGGCCTTGGCCGCGGAGCAGCGGGCCATTGTCGGTGAGCTTGAGACTATGTTAGCATGATACTGAGTAAAATGGACCAGGTGAGTCGACTAACCTTCTTGAGATGACGTCTGTGAAGTAGAAGTTCTCAATGACCTTCTTCAAGGGCGTACCGCTGGCCTTGGAGCCCTTGTTCTGGTCAACGAGCTGGACCTTGCTCAATTGTTGCAGAGCAACAGGCTCAACCACATCGTAGGCCGCCAGGGCCGGGCTGATCTCAGCCATTCTGTCACGGAGCTGAGCAACGTCGTCATACGGCAGAGGAGCGCCGAGGAACTCGCTGACGGCACGGATGATCTTCCAGTCGGTACGGGCAGCACCGGGGAGGGAGGTGGCGGCACGGGTCATCTGGACACGGCCCTCGGTGTTGATGTAGGTGCCGGCCTTCTCGGTGTAAGCAGCACCAGGGAGAACGACGTCGGCGAGCTGGGCACCGCGGTCGCCGTGGTGGCCCTGGTAAACGACAAATGCGTTCTTGGGGATGTCCTTCTCGGAGATCTCATCGGCACCAAGAAGCCAGACGAACTTGGGGGCGGTCTCCGCAACCTCGGTCGAGGGAGTGACGAAACCGACCTCAAAGGCACCAGCGCGGGAAGCGGCTCTCTGGAGAACGTTGTATCCGTTCCACTCAGGGGTGATGAAGTTGGCAGCGTTCTTGTCAACGAAGGCACCAATGGTCTCGTAGAAAGCCTTGGCGTCAACGTGGTCGGTGACACCAGAGCCCACGATAATCATGGGGCGCTTGGCAGACTGCAGCTTCTTGCCAAAGGGGCCGGCAAGGGCCTGCTTAAGTGCGGCGTGGTCGAGGCCGAGGTGCTCGAACTCGAAAGTGGAGTCCCATGTCTCGCCAACAACACCGATCTCAAGGTCGGAGCGCAGCCATTGCTTGCGGATGCGGGCGTTGAGAACAGCAGCCTCGTGACGGGGGTTGCTGCCGACAATGAGGATGGCGTCAGCCTCCTCGATACCGTAGATCTTGGAGTTGAACAGGTAGTTGGAGCGGACGTCGATACCGTGGGCAATGGGCTTGCTTCCAGAAGGCATGTCAAGGGCCAGGTTCTCAGAGCCCAGCTTGTTGGCCAGGTCCTTCATGGCAACCATAGACTCGACCTCAGTCAGCTCACCGGCAATGACCTTGAACTCGTTGGCCTTAGGCTGGAGGTGGTGGTAGGCGTTGGCGACCTCGGTAAGGGCCTGCTCCCAATCGGCGGGCTCGAACTTACCCTCACGGCGGATCAAGGGCATGGTCAGTCTCTGGGTCTTCAGACCATCACAGGCGAAACGAGTCTTGTCGTTGATCCACTCCTCGTTGACATCGTCGTTAAGTCTGGGAAGGATACGCATGACCTCGAGGCCGCGGGAGTCGACACGAATGTTAGATCCCAAACCGTCAAGAACATCGATGGACTCGGAGTGCTTCAGCTCCCAGGGTCTCGCGCGGAAAGCGTAAGGCTTGGAGGTGAGAGCACCAACGGGGCAGAGATCGATAACATTGCCGGAGAGTTCGGAGTCGAGGTTCTGCTCGAGGTAGGTACCGATCTGAATGTCGTTGCCACGGCCGAAAGAACCCATCTCTGGGGCGCCAGCAACGTCGTTGGAGAAACGAACGCATCGTGTGCAGTGAATGCATCTGTTCATAGAGGTCTTGATGAGGGGGCCGATGTTCTTGTCCTCGACGGCACGCTTGCCGCCGACCTCGTGGAAGCGACCACGGTCGCCACCGTATCGCATCGACTGGTCTTGGAGATCACACTCACCACCCTGGTCGCAGATAGGGCAGTCGAGGGGGTGGTTGGCGAGGAGGAATTCCATGACACCCTCACGGGCCTTGTGTGTAATGGGGGAGTTGGTCTTGACGACCATACCGGGCTGAACGGGCCATGCGCAGGAGGCTACGGGCTTCGGGGCGCGCTCGACTTCGACCAAGCACATACGGCAGTTACCGGCGATCGCAAGCTTTCTGTTGGATTTGTCAGTCGGGCATCATCCCTCGCAACGGCCACAGCTTCGTCGATCTACGGAGTCGTACTCATGGTAGCAATATCTGTTTTCAAGTCAGTCACCGCCTTCTAAGTTGTATTTTTAATGACTGAACGAACCTAGGGATTGTAACGCCTGCCTTTTCGCAAGCTTGGATCAGGGCGGAGCCGGCTAGGAGGTCGTGAGTAGGAATACCCTGACAGGGCCACATCGCATCTCACCTTCGACTGACACCTTCTTTCCGTCTGCATCTCTTGTCAGCAATTGTCCCAGAAACCAATTGGTACCCCTTCTCGAGGGTGAGCTTGTCCATACCAACTGTGAGCTCGACTTCGGCGTTCCTGCGAGCCGTGGTAGCAAAAGTTCGCGAGGCATTGGCGGCCTGCTTGCCAGTCCGCCAAGCCGAACGTGCTAGAGAATGCCGCAGCATCGTGTCGCCTTGACGGATTGAGACTCAGACGGAACGGGGGAGGGCGTTGTGGTGGGAGGGCGGATTGATATTCAATCGTTGACGTCGGGAGGAACTGCTCTTCTGTCCCGGGCCATGGGGATTTGGTGGCGCTAGTGCGGAACTCGCGATTAATTTACATCGATGGTGATTGGCCCACCAGCCCGGGAGCTCCTTGCCGCCTGAGGCACCCAGAAACTCCTCCGAGGACCATTTAGTTCTCCGAAAATTTCGTCGCAGAGCGGCCTTCCTCTTTTTCTTCTTCACTTTAAATTGTATATGGACACTTATCGTAGGTGAGCTTGAGCATCGCAAGATGCTCCAATCGAGCCTTCCTCTATCTAGTGTACCTAGATGAATCATTTTGACGCCGTTTATGGAAGCATGGGAGAACTCTTCAATGACCGTTGCCTCTTACCGCCGGTCGTTACATATCATCGTGATAATGAGACTAGCTGTAGACTGTACAAGTGTATCTGTTGGTATCTGGTGATTCGTATGTACAAAGTAGTTGTGCCCACGACCCCTTCTCTCGAGTCGCTGTCATGGACCATGGATGAGCTGGTCTCAGACGTGACGAGAGTCCGGCTTTGGCTTTAGCCTCCCGCCTCAGATCACGCCGCCTTCGCTAAAGACGTCGTTGCTGCTCACGCTATCCGTTGTCGTTTCTAGCTCTGAGCAGGTTCGCCGTCCTGTCTGTGGTTGGCAGATGCCTCATCCTGCGCGAGCTCCCTCTCCAAAGCTGCCTTGTAATGGTTCTTGATCTCTTGCGCATGAGTGGCATAACCTCCTAGTTGCATCAGGGCCTGGCCGGCGTTGTAAAGTGACCAATGAAGTGCCGCCTGCCTCGGCGGCAAATCGCCCGGGATTTCGGGGTATGCGTACGTTGACAAGTGACGATTGTTGTAGTCGGCACCGTGAGGAATCGGGGCGTTCACGTGTTCCATGATGAGTTCCTCTTCACCCGGCATAAGGCCTGTGGTGGTCTCGAAGACGCCATTGGTCGCCTCCAACTTATTTGCGTGCTGTAGGATGCGCCGATGCTCCCGTTCGTATATGTACCTAATGTTCTGCTCTACGGCAGCTGTGTGTTTCTCGATGTTTTGCTGAGAGAGCCTCAGACGGTCGCTCTTGTTTTGGGGAACATCGAAGGGTTCGAAAAGATTCTCTTCCAAGGGGACAAACATCGCCATCGCCGGGGCGCCTGGTACGAGTATCGGTATGTCTTCCTCTTCCGGGGAGTCACTGCCGTGGTGCATCTTCTCTGGGGCTTCTGCTGTATTGCCTGAACTCTCGTGCATCTTGTCCATCAATGATCGTATGTTTCAGTGAGAATGAACGCCGCGCCGGATTATGGCCATGGGAAGGGACGACGACGCAATTTGCAGCTTGCTCTTTGTGGTGTGTTAGACGTGGTCGAGGTGAAAGTATGAAGTTCAGATCTGAGCGAATAGCCCAGGACACAAAAGCAAATAGCTAAGCTAGGGTCCCACGCCTCTGGCCGGGTACGTAACGTTGTTCTAACCTCGCGACCTCTTCAATTCCTAGCAAAGACCAGTGTCTGCAAATTTATTTCTCGAAATGCCTGCTTGGTGATGCACACGCGTACCTATTTAGGATCTCATTGATTCCGGCTGATGTCGCTTTGCAGGCGTCGTGTTGGTGTAAACATGTAAGAGGGCATCATCAAAACAGAAGGCACGTTGAAAAACAACGCAATACTCAAATCGCGTTTGCAGTTATCAAGCACGAGAATAAAACACAAGGTGTGCAGGGTTCTCCTGACAGATTAAAAATGTAGATCTATGGAAGGCCTTAATCGTCTGCATAGTTCGCCCCATGAGACTCAGCTACTAAGCTCGGCTCGGCATTTGAGCGCCACCCATGATATAGTGGCGTCCTCTCTAACTCGATCCCGTTGGTGCCGAACCGGTTGGAGGCGTAGTCGTGAAATCGTCTCCCAGGAGCTACTCGTCTGTCATCAATATCGGAGACGCATATGTGATCTCCGCGTTTTATAATGAGACTTATAGCATGCAGCCGCAGGACGGCATTCGCATGCTCTCTGAGCTTGGACTGGCGTCCAAGTCGCGCAAGCCTTCCAGCTCTACTGAGGACGAGTGGCAGATGTGGCCCTGCTCAGGTCGATGCTGTGATCAGGATGCAAAGAGCCACATCAGTGGCGTTCCGGTCGTAGGCTGCGCCTCTCACCAACCATCGGAAAGTTGTCATCTAGATGGCAAGAAGTTCCTCACGTACTCCCTCATCAACTTTATCCCCGCCCGGACCAAGTCTTCCAACCTCCGGTCCTTGCGCTTGCGCATCCACAGGAGAATGAAACCCAAAAGGACCACGTCGATGGCGAGGTGTTTCATTATCAACCAAGTCAGCCATCGTATCCAGGCAGGAAAGCTTCGTGACTTTTTCGACTTCCACTCCCTTCCTGTTGTGATTTGCTCTCGCAATGCCGCGACTTCGGCTGAGAGTTTCTCCAGGGCTCGTTCCACGCTCCGGGACCAGTTACTGCTTCTAACAAGCGCGTCTGCTTCCTCGTCTTGGTTGAAACCTATCCTCCCTACCGGGTCCTGTTCAGCAGCGTCGTCTTCGCTCATAGGACTTAGAACTTTCAGCGGACCTTCGGTTTCGAGCAGGGGTTGCTCATATTGTCGTAACCCGCCGGTATACCTTGTGTCTTTCGGTGACGAGTCGGTCGAACTGGGACTGTTGTTCTTGATCTGGTTCCACACGAATTCGAGTTCCGCGACGAGTTCCTTAGCGTTTCTGCATCGACGTGTCAGTAGGGCCGCGATGCGCAAATGACCAAAGCAGAGGAGAGATATGAGCTTACGGTGTCGTCGCATATTTGTGCATCGTCTCGATCAACGCCTCGATATACCTTTTCTTTGCTTCCGTGCGGCTCAGGCCCTTCTGGATATTCCACGCATCCCACTTGTCTTTCTCGCGCTGAAGCTCGTCGGCAGGCAGGCCGGAAGCCAAGGTCGGTCGTTCCATGACGCCATCAACGTCCCCCTCCATTGCTTGCTTATAGAGGCCATAGAGTCGCAGCCTGTCGGACGGCGGGGGGCGCGAGGCCCCTGTTTTGGGTATTTTCTTCACGGTATTTAAGGCATGGACGAACACGCGATCTGGAGAGGAAGCATAATCGCATTAATTAGCCGGGTAATTACTCTCCACAACAAAAGGGTGGTGGTAAGGTTTTCTTTCTTAACTCACCCACGGAGTCAGCCATCTAGAAGGCTATCCTTGAACCAGAAAACTTGGGTGAGGGAGGGAAAGGCGCGTTTATGGCGTGTATCCGAGGTGATTCGGGTTGGCTGGGTCGGGGGATTTGGTGTGGTTCGGCTTAACAACACCAGCTAAAGATAACGCAGGTGGGTTCCCTCTTCAACTAGAATCCAAGATAGAGCGAGGTACCTCGGCTGCGGGGGCTGAAACGGGTGATGGAGGCAACATGCGCTGGCAAAAGGAGCAGTTAAAGACTACACGCTGATATGCATTATGCGAAAGCTCCTCCATGGAAAGTTCTCTTCCTCGTCGTCCAACAAAAGGAAGGGGTCTGTTGGGTGGGTAGCGAGGATGCTGGCAGGAGAACCACGGTAAAGGGCGAGGCAAAGTAGTTGGTATTCGGCAATCAGCTGTCGAATGCCTGTGTCGGGTTGGGCGGGCATGGGATGGGGGAGGGTTGCGCGCTGTAATTGTCATTGCCTCGGCCACCCACGCAACTGCCTAGTGACTCGTGGAAGGTGTAGCTGGGGTTAGACGTGGGTGCGCGGGGCCCGACGGGGGGGGCCTGTCAGGGGTTGTGGTTCCCCGAGATCCTGGCTAGCAATCCGCCTTCACCCCGCGTCTTCGGCAAGTGTGGCTAGCCGTCTTGCGGCTGTCGTGTCGGCCACGATAAAGAGGCACGTGCAATGCAATGCAAGTTGCCGGATTTACCACCGAGTATCGGTTTGTTTTGTACTTGCGTCAATTGAAATTGACTGCCATCCTGGCATTGAGCCGAGGCTTCTGGGGACAGCACCGCATCTGCGGCGGTGCCTCGTTATTTGGCATCCGGTGACTCGACTTGACTCGGCTTGAGTACGCACGGGACTGTTGCAGAGACACAAATCATCCGAGTTGACATCCTTCATGATCATACATTGGCCCTACCGGTAGTTTGCTCCCGCATGGGCCGTCGACGTTCTTCGTTCTGTCATTGCGTGTCCTTTCCTGACGGTCTCGTCCGTATGTCCCTGTCAGCAAGCTTGTCACTTCATCGCTTCTCATTTGGCATTGGTATCGTGGGTATAATGTAGCCGTATCAGGCTGATTCAACCTCCGTCTCCCCGAGGGCTGCCACGAACGCCCTTTTCTTCTCCTCGTAAACCTTCATCAACTTCTTGTTGTTCAGCGCCATTTGAGCTGCTTTCTGTCCTGCCTCCTTCTTGTTCAGGTCGCTCCCCGTCCCTAGGAGTTTATTCTTCTCCCCCCACCCGTCCAGATAGACACCGACGGTAAAGAGAGCCAACTTCTTGTTGTACTTATCCTTCTTGTTCGCGCTAGGCATGTCTTCGTATCGGATACTGATGCCTCTGCTACCGATTGCTTGGCTCAACCGGACCTTGGGCGGAACTCGAGTCCCTACCGTCGCAGTCCCGCCCAGCTCCTTCACCATCCCCATTCCAGGATCTCGGGCGTTGGTTCTGATTTGATCTCTGATCGTCGTCGCCCACAGTGTCTTCAACCATTCTGCTGCCTGGGAAAGTCCAGAGACCGGATCTGAGAGGACAATCGCGGCGACATATGCCTCGAACAAGTCTCCGTGAACCTTCTGGATCTCGTGTGGCTTGGCCGCGGCGGGCAGGTTCCCGTTAGACCTATACTCGGAGGGCAGCCTGGCCCTTTCGAAGAGCTTGTAATGCGCAGAGTACTCTCCAAGATTGGCGTTGCGGATGAGAAGCTCTCTCAATTGGGAACATTTTCCAGTAGGCAATCCCCCGAAGGTCTGAAAGATGAGAGATGATGAGATCAACTCAAGGTAGGCATCTCCGAGCCACTCAAGACGGTCGTAACTTAGGTCGGTCTTACTCTTGGCCATACCACCATGAGTGAAAGCTGCCATCTCTAGGACTGGGTTCGAGATCTTGGGGAGAGGTGGCATCGAGCTTGGGATATCTGCGGGTGTCCATGGCGTAACCAGAGTGAAAGAAGGAATTGGAGGTGCAGAGGGCGTCGGCGAGGTTTCGTCCTCCTTGCTTGATAAGGCCTTTTTAGAAGTGGTCAATCGGCTGATCGGGTTCTGGTATGATGGTGTTGGGAGCTTCATCGTGCTTACACCATTTTCTCCCTCTTTCTCGTCCTGGGCGGATCCTTCGCGAGCCAGTTGCTTGAATGAAGGTAGTAGTCTCTTACTCAGGCGTCGTAGATTTTGCAAATCCCGGCTCTCAAAAGATGATTCAGCCTTCAATTTAGACAATGTCTGAAGGCAACTAATGAGTTCATCGCTGTGGTCGAGAAGCAATCCTAGCGCCTCATATTCTGTGTGTCTTCGCTTGCTTGGAGGCAGCGTTCCTGAGCTTGAGCGCTTGCTCATTCTGCTGTTGTCAGACCACCGGATGATTCACTAATTTTTCTCCTTACGACTCGAGACGCAATATAATACTCAAAGAGTGTTCGGTAGAAGTTGAATGCTGAAAATACTAAGTGACGTTGTTTGCAACTTTTACATCCTTATTTCACCCATTGACAAAAAAGATCTAGGCACTTTGGACGGTGGAGCCTAGTGCTACACTTCAATGGGTGGACCCCCAGCACTCCAGTGCGACAGGGGAAGGAGCCGTCTATGCCGGCCAATCGATGACCCGACATCCGGGACCAATCGGACGTCGCGGCTTGGTTCGTGTGGTTTCAACGTTGGACTTCGCGGTTTGCCTACCTAAGCTTGCTCGACTTCGCGACAATTTTCCGGTGATCGCCTGACAGCGTTCTTAGAAGACAGGCAAATATGAGTGTTCCACGCGCAAGGTTGTTGGACCTGATGAGGGTAACCCCCGCCTCTATATTCAAATCTAGGAACCCACCAATTAATTGATAGGAATAGGCCCAATGCGAAGTCTTTGCAACAACATTTAACCCGGAGGGATTGCGAACGGGAAACAAGATCCTGCGCCAACGCCTGAAGGGACCTTCTCTCGCATCCTACTACCCGCGCAAGGTGCTCACCATCAAAGACGTCCAGAGGGAATTTGGCCCTGAACTCACGACCTACGACGAGGAAGAGGTGGACCGGTTGGAGCATATTGCTGGGTATGCTTGAGAAGAAGGGACATGACAATGAGCTGCTGCTAACGCACAACGTAGTCTGAAGGCAAGAGGCAAGAGTGCGCCCAAGAAGCTGAAATCGAAGCGTAAGACCCTCTCCCTCGACGAATGTGCGCCACGACCCTCGAAGGAAAGTACTAACCATCTAGCAGCTGCGCCAAAGAGGAAATGAGAACCTTCTGCGAGACCGTCTGTACGATACGATGTGCAACTACTGAATGAATCGCCGGACCCATATCCGCCAAATTACCCTGTAAACGGAGGTGCTGGATAGCTTCTGTCTATCCCCCAAAATCAAAGCGGTTTTCCGTCTCGACGACTATGGTGCGGTATATGGACATGTTAGAAACCACGAACCCCCCCCCTGGAGAGACGGTGCTGCGGCTCACGGCCAGGAGGCGGTTTAGAGAAGGATGTTTGTAGACAGGGCATCCGGTGTAAAAAATAACATGGAGTATGTCAATGCTAAAAAATCACAAGCATGCTATGGATTGCGCAGGCTTGTTCGGAAGTATCTTTTTGGGTCCCGATTTCAAAACTTGCGACTGGCTGATATTCGTGGTGTAATGTGGTCGATTCTTCTTGGCTGCATCTAGCTAGTTGATTGATTGATAAGAAGGCAAACACTCTCTTTCCGATATTAACCTCAAACATTTCTCAGGCCATGATTCGCGATGCCTCGAGTTGGTAATGCTGCAAAAGAGGTACCTGCCTGTTGGTCTGGAGGCAGTGTGTCTAAGGCAAACAGCGCCAGGCTCCGTCTGATGGCAATAACCACGCAGTGCTGAATGTAATGCTACCTGTCGGGCAGCGTATGATTCTCGCTCACCGGGACAACGGGGTCGATCACCAGACATTTTAAATCAAAGAAAGTTCCGACAGGCGCCAACGTACCTGTCTGGTCCAGTTATCCCCTGGAGAGAGGAGATAGGGCTGTTGCTGCTGATTGGCGATCTCCTTCCAATCTTCCACAAGGGCAATAGCGAGCTCTTCCTTCGATCAGCTCAACGGTGCATCACACCTACTTCACCTTGGACTCAGCCTGGCGGCAAAGCCTCTTGATCCCTTCGCTACCTCGCGATTGCCGAGTTGGAATCAGAAATAGGGCAACTAGCTTCGAGCAAAGATACCTGGCATATCCAAGCTTGCCTCCTTCCCTGCCTTGCCTTTTGCTCCTTCCTCCTTCTACTTCATCTCCTCCCGAAATTTCGACAACAAAATCCTCAGTTCTCTCCAACTCTTACCACTACAAAAGCTCTACCTCCACAGCAGAAAGAAAATTCCATCCACAATCCTTCATCTGCGATCCCTTACAAAGGAATCTTTCCCATCTTGTCTGCCACCTTCGGGCAATACCCCTGCCTATTTACTGCAAAGTATCGACCCTCCGACAAGACATTGTACCCAACGCCGCGATGTCCACACCTCCCTCCTCGGGTGCCACCCCCCAGCGAAGCTCTCCGGGATTCCCGGAGACTCTCCTCCAGGAGAACACCAAGCAGTCTCCCGAGACAGCTGCCAAGGTACGTTCCATCCCTTTGACAACCGTCATAACTGGCCGTCGACTGCCTTAGCGACCCAGGTTCCTACTACGAATCAAGGAACATGCGTGATGGGTAACCGAGCTGACAATAATCCAAGGATGTCTCAGCCTTCAAGCAGAAGGCGACCATTGTAACTCTTGGTACCTCCAAGCTCGTCAATCAGAATGCTCTTAAGGTTGGTTCTTCCACTCGCCATCCGCCGTCTCGCTCACAGCGACGACAGAAGAAGACCAATCAGGAGTCGGCTACTGTTGCTGGCACGAACCCTATGGACATGCTGCTCGCCAAGTTGTCGGAGCAGCAAGCCGCCCTCGACCAGCAGAATGAGGCCTTGAAGAGCTCGGACGACAAGAGCTTGTACGCGCGCGGCTTCGACCAGTCTACCGCAACGACCAATTCCGTTCCCATCACTCCCGCGACGGATACGTTCCCCACGACTGCCCCTGCAACCCGTCCAGCCAGTGCCACCCTTAAGGAGAATCACGGTAACATGGAAGAGGTTCTCCGACTCAAGCTGGAGCTTGCTCGAGCTCAGACCAAAATTTCTCGCCTCGACCACGAACTTGCGCAGTCACGCTCCATCAAGCAAGAAGACAATCCAATCCCTCAGTCGTCGGCCCGCTCCGGCATGTTCGGGGCCGAGAACCCTTGGAGCCCGAACGATGACAGCTCCTCAGATGCTGGCGCCCCTTCTGCTGGCGGGTACGGTCGTTCTCGCCCTGCCTGGGCTTGCCACAGAGGTCCTCCCCCCTTTTCCAATCATGTCATGCCCACACCCTCGTCCGATTCACAATCAGTTGGAGGTGATTGGTACGGAGGTGGCCGTGGTGGCTTCAACCAGGGCTACATGGATCCTGCTGGCCCCTACTCCATGGCGGACGGTCACCGAGGTGATCGCATAAGCTATGACACTGAGGTTTTCTCACGGCCCTCTAGCAGTCGCCGGAACAACCGTTTCGACAACAGTCGATGGCCCTCCCCTCAACCGTACGGCGGATCCAACATTAGTGGTCAGAACTACGCCGGCTTCACACCTTCCCCTGCTCCGTTCGAAGCCATGAGCGGAGGCCCGGGCAGCACCACCGGCAATATTGGTTCTGGCATGTACCAAAGCTATAATCAGCAGCCCATTGGCAGTCAACTCTCGCCTCACGCAACCGAATTCACCACTACTGATGGATGGAAGACGGAGGTACGTTGGAGGAGTCAGAATGAAAAGACAAGACCCAGCGAGCTAACTTTTGATTACAAACAGTCTATCGCCACCGAGGGACAGACATACCTCCCAACCACTGAACCTCTCAACTACCGTCGGCTGTTGGACCGCAATGTCAACTGCAACTGGAAGTACATTGTGGACAAGATTGTCTGCAACAACGACCAGCAGGCGTCTATCTTTCTGCAGCAAAAGCTTAAGGTCGGCACCCCGGATCAGAAGTACGAGATCGTCGAGGCCATTGTCGCTCAAGCATACCCTCTCATGGTCAACCGCTTCGGCAACTTCCTCGTTCAACGTTGCTTCGAGCATGGGACCCCGGAGCAGGTGGTAAAGATCGCTGAGGCCATTCGCGGCAACACTCTCAATCTTTCCATGGACCCTTTCGGATGTCACGTGGTGCAGAAGGCATTTGACTCTGTCCCTGAGGACTACAAGGGTATCATGGTTCAAGAACTCCTTCGCCGAATTCCCGAAACCGTCATTCACCGCTATGCTTGCCATGTCTGGCAGAAGCTTTTCGAGCTTCGCTGGTCTGAGTCTCCTCCTCAGATCATGAAGTTTGTCAACGACGCCCTGCGAGGCATGTGGCACGAAGTCGCCTTGGGCGAGACTGGCAGCTTGGTTGTCCAGAACATCTTTGAGAATTGCCTTGAGGAAGACAAGGTATGTTTCCATATGTTTGCTCCAGAAAATACAGTGCTTACCAAAAATTCAGCGTCCTTGCATCGAGGAGGTTCTTGCCAACATCGACATTGTGGCCCATGGCCAATTCGGAAACTGGTGTATTCAGCATATTTGCGAACATGGCGCGCCGGCTGACCGCAGCCGTGCCATTGACCATGTCATTCGCTACGCTGCCGAGTACAGCACCGACCAGTATGCCTCAAAGGTTGTCGAGAAGTGCCTCAAGATTGGTGGAGGAGAATTTCTCAGCCGTTACCTCGACCGAGTCTGCGAGGGACGACTTGACCGCCCTCGTATCCCTCTTGTCGACATTGCCAGTGATCAGTACGGAAATTACCTTATTCAGTACATCCTCACCCATTCCGGCATGCAGCATCGCGAGGTGGTTGCTGCCCACATACGCAAGCACATGGTGTCTCTTCGGGGATCCAAGTTCGGGTCCCGTGTTGGTATGCTTTGCACTAATCCAGCCGTCGCGACTCGTCCTGGTCCTGGAGTTGGTCCTAGCATGAATCGGATGGGCGCTGGTCCTCGCTATGGCGGTCCTGGTGGCGGCTACCGTTAAATCATGTCACGAAGGTCTCGACACTGTTACGAAAACCCGTCAGCTACTATTATACGATGTTGCTGTGGTTCCTCTTTCCCTTTGATTCTTTCACCCTCCATCGATTTCCTTCTACTCTGACGAAGTCATGGCAACACCTCATTTGTCCGCACTCACGAAACATCTTCCTCGGCCATTAATTTACAGATCAGCTGTCATCCTACGCTCGGTAGGTTATCACTTGCCAGAGTGCATTGGACACATCATGGTTATGAATTTTGCAATATGGAGGAGGTGCGCCGGTGTGGTCCTTAAACAAACCCTGCCTGGGTGTTGGAGCTGCACGACGAGGCCCTACCCAGAATGCTCTCATTTATACATGACGGTTCACTGACACATCCAAGTATTCAATTGATACGTCCTTAGTTTAATCAGCTCATGGAAAGAGCAAACTGAAGGAGCACGAGGGTGGACGACTAGGCAAGCATGGGATATCAGAAAGACAACGGCAATGATTGTATGTAGTATGTATCACATTCCAGAGACTTTGGAGTGTGACATTGGTCCAGATTGGACAGCGTCTGTGGCAGTCCTCAACCGGCCATTAGATAGTTCCCCTAGAATGTGCACCTTTAAGAGTTTCTGTTTCCTTGACTAGGTCATTGACTAGACACAATTTTCCCCCACAAGCCTCGTTGTCTCTTCGAACCAGTGTCTAACGCCGCCGCCTTTCACTTGAATGTAATTCTTTTCTACCAAACGCCGCACGCATAAGTTTGAAGATAACCCATGCACTTTTTCATGGGTTCACGTCTCCTTAGTTGAAATTTCAGCTACGGGCGCTGCCACTTCGTCCAATGGCGGGAATTCAGCATCAACCACAGGATGCTTCTCGGCCTCGCCCGCGTTGACTTCTGCAGCCGATATATCCTTCTCCCAAGGTTTCTTTGGCACCGCACGTTTCCCAAATGGTTTGACAGACTAAAGAGTCAGCTGGTATTGGGACCAAAAGGGGGGAAGAGTTAAGGGGGAAGCAATGAAGGGAACCTACCGCGTCTCTGACGACCGTGTCTGGGATCTGTCTGATGCCGGGGATAGGAATCCCCTTTTGAATCATCTCCAGCATCTGCGCGAATCCAATGGGGTACGCGGGTTCGTCGCCCCCCAGGGACGGGGCGTCGGCTTGTGAGGACGGTTTGCGCTCGACGTATAGGTCGGCCTTTGGGGCTGCTGCTTGCCAGGATGGCGTTGATTCCGAGGCGGCGACGACGTCGGCGGCTTTTTCTTTTCCTTTGCCGGTGCTCAGGTCTCCCATCTTCAAGGTCAGACCCGGGACGTCGTCTGCTGAGGCGGCGCCTCGCGCGTCCCGGGCCTTGTATTCCTCGGGAAGGATGTCGGGGGGCGTGTGGGCCGGGTGCCTCGCGAGCCAGTCCTGGTACTTGGTGAAGTCGATGGCGACGCCAATTCTCTGGGAGTAGTAGAAGATGCGGGCGTGAATGGCGAGATCGGTAGGGGACCCCTGGGGGTTCTCGGTGTTTGGATCGCCGAGGATTGCATTCAGGCCGGACTTTGGGTCGGGGGCAATTAGTCTCTCTTTTTTCTTTCTCTCTCTCTCCCTCTAGGAAACGGAAGTGGAGGGCGCGTCCCCCCCGGGACGGGGCAACACTCATACCATGAACGCCTTGTCCTTCTTCCAGGGGTAGGTGTCGAAGGCCTTGAACATGCCGTCTTCGTCCGTGATGGCGCGAATGCGCTCTGCGCCGGAGAGCGTCGCCATTGCGAAAATGTTTCCAGCTGCAATCCTTCTCTCAGAAAACTGGGAGCTCGGCCGGGTCTACGGGTTTCGTGGTGGTGGGGAAAGCTCCGGGTTCTTTCGTCGACTGACGTCGGTGCCGAGGTTTAGTGGTGAGCATCAAGCCCCGGCCAGAGAGAGCTCGGCGGTTGGCGGGGGAGGGAGGATGAGCTTGGCTTCCGATAAGATAAGCGACCGGTACCCCGCGAAACGGGCCACTGGGGGCTGAGCGGGACTTGAGAGGGCATTTCTTGGCTTTGGAGAACCTAGGCGCTTCAAGAATCTCGCCACGACACCCTTGTCCGTGTCTTAGTTCAGCGTGGCATTTCTCGAAAGCTTGATATTACCCTTATTTTTCATGGTGTACTCCGTACCCGTTGGAGGATTCCTTACCGATGCTGCACTTTGGGACACTTCCCCGTGTTTGTTCGTTTGTTTCCTCTCGCTCGAACATTGAATGGGCTCCTGACAGCGCAGCTCCTGGAGCCATGGTGTCTGTTCCCCGGTGGCTGACCATTTCTTTCGGAACGTTATCCATGTAAAGCCGCAGAGCGCCAGGTGCGACCAATAAGGCGGCCGGCAAATTAGCGTTATTGTTTGCCAGGGAACGGACTTGTTACGGCAGCAGCCGGTAAGATGCCTACTACCCTAACTTACATGACGTGGAATATTGGATCAAGATTTGAACATCGGCCTTACCAGACGTGTGAGAGGGTCAATGCTCCACACTAATTAGATCAACTCTGAAGATGAGCCGCCAACGGTAACCTTCTCTGAAGCGCTGCCGAAAGAAAGCTTCCGTGACTTCACAGACAGCAAAAGTTTGCTGTGACCCGTCGAACCGAATGGGAGAAGACAGATACTGGCACCGCGGTACTCGAGCATCACCGAAAACACTTCAACGCTCAACACAAACCGACAGAGGTTTAGTACATCTTAATTGCTAGATTTATAGTCTATCTTCTATGTCACGGGGGGTCTACGAGCACGCTCACGGTGCACGAGCGGCGGGTCATTTTTCTACGATGATTTTCTTGTTCTGCGTGGACGAGAAGCGACAAGACTACTGCGCACCCACTTCTCCACTGCCTCCCCTACAAGCAAGTCCCCATATTACCAAGGAAAGAATCCAAGTTCGCAGAGACTGAAAAGAGACAAGTGTGTGTGCGTATGTGTGTGCAAGATCCATCTAGACTTGAAAAGTTTGTGTATAGCAAAGCCGCCGTATCGAGCCAACATCGCTCTTAGGGTCCGCTCCACATAGAGCTCCCCATCGTTACCGATGAGGTCCCATGTGACTCCTTGTGTCATGTGTGTAGCAATATGGCAAGCCGAATGGGGCTGCCTTCGAATCGCTCTGTTTCCCGTGGAAAACGAGCTGATATGTCGTGGATAATCCGGTAGAAAAAATAAGGGAGGAAACGTCTAGAATGTCCATGGCAGGAAAATAAGCTAGACTCAACCCACCCCTCCCCGTACTGAACGCCTGTAAAAGCAGCAACCATGGTTGCTTAAATTCCCAAGAAGCAGTTGTTGGAATCCAATAAACCCTCCGATGCAAAAGTTGATGTTCTTTTTTTTTTTTCAAACGCCATGTGAAATGCTTTTAATTGTGCTGGAAAAGGACGCTGATGGACTCGCCGTGATGGACACGGCGAATGGCCTCCGCAAAGACGGGGGAGACTGCCACAATTTAGCACAAGTTCAGACACTTAGGGGCCCAGCTGAGAACTCACCGTCCAGGTACTCAAGCTTGGGGCAGAGTCGCATGTGATCCCGCTGAGGAACCGTGTTGGTGACGACCATCTTGTCGATGGCCGAAGCGTTAATGCGCGGGATGGCGTCACCGCTAAGAATACCATGGGTCAAGAGGGCGTAGATGTGAGTAGCGCCCTCCTTCTTGAGCAACTTGGCAGCTCTGGTAATGGTGTTGCCGGTGTCGATGAGATCGTCGATGAGGATGCAGACCTTGTCCTTGACATCGCCCACCAGCATCATGCTAGCGTTACGCTGCTCGGTGTACTTGGTCGGGCGTCGCTCCTGAAGAAAACATATGAATCCTGCGCCCTCTCGCGGAAACTCAACAACCTACCTTGTGAATCAGGGCAAAAGCCATGTCCAGCTCATCAGCGATGGCAGTGGCGCGCTTGGCACCGCCGGCGTCGGGGCTAATAATAACAGCATCCTTGTAGTGGGGGATATTTTGCTGAATGTACCTCTTGATGAGAGGCTTGCCGTACAAGTTGTCAACGGGGACATCGAAGAAGCCCTGGTACTGAGGATCATGAAGATCCATCCTGCAACCATTAGCGATTGCTCCTCCCAGAAGCAATGTAGGGATGCAGTAGGGCAGAGCTATGAGAAAGCTCTGGTGGAGTCGGCAACAACCGAGGCTCAGGCGCAAGAAAGCATTTTACACCCGGGGAGGGTGAAGGAGTAAACCTACGTGATCTATGCATTTGTTAGCTTTGCTTTCAACATCTTCTGCGACCCAGGCGCGTGCTTTCATGCATTGCCCGGCTTTGTTCTTTTATTAGAAAAATTACATACCACATGGTCCGCTCCAGCGCAAGTCAACAGGTCTGCAACGAGTGTGCCAGCTTGGGCAACCCACTGCTTGTAGCCCGGCTTGGACTGGAAGCCGTTGATAAGATTCTGGTTCTCGTAGTCGTGGGTGGTGTAGCTGAACTGCGAAGAGACAGAATCCTGGTGAGGACGGCCGTTGCCATTGCTGTTACCATTGCCATTGATCTTATGCTCGCCGTTCTTGAAGTATTCGGATGATCCGTTCATGCCGTTGGTTCGCTCCTCGTTGAGCTTGCTCTTGGCTAGCTTGGAGGCGATGCCATCAATGCCGTTGGGAAGGCCAGCGCTCCGCGCAATGCCTGGACCGGGGGTGGAAGGCACACTCTCGAAGGTGTAGTTCTTGGATGCTTCTGTCGATGACTTGGAGAGGGGCGCGCCAGACTTCTTGTAGGGGACGTCGGGTTGTCTCGAGTACGGGAACAGAGGCATGACGGCAGTGACTCTTTTGGCGGAGCCAGTCTTGCAGGCAGATATCATGATGCAAAGGTCCATGAAGCCATCGTTGACGGAGCCAGACGCAGTCTGTATGATAAAGACATCCTTGCCGCGCACAGAGTCTTTGATCTCACAGCGACTCTCGCCCACTGAGAACTTGGACAGAACGCGCTCACAAGGGTTCAGGCCCAGGTTGTTGCAAACACTGTTGACTAGCTCAGGGTGGGTGTTGCCACCGAGCACAATGATATTGCGAACCATGATGAGTATTGAAAAGGTCTCCTAGATGGGATATGTGTGATATCGAAGGGAAGGATAGATTGTGTTGTTTTTCTTCGATCGGGCGAAACCGGCGATGTTCGAAGACCAAGTTCCGGCACCTCGTCTAGGCTGGGCGTGAGGTTGGAGAGGGAAGAAAAGACGTTAAAGTCTGATCTATGATTTTGAAATACGCCGTACGTAGTTTGGGAAATCGTGGGCTTGCGGAGTTAGGTATGTAGGCGCGAGTAAGGGTACGAGGGCGGGATGTCGTGTGCCGATTGGAGAATCGCGAGCGAAAGAGCCGGTGTCGGGTTTGCTCCCAGCGTCAAAAATCTGCTAGTGGGGTGCAGGGCGACGTCACAGGGGACTGGATTGTACCGAGGCCGAGAGTATGCGCAGGGTTGGGTTTGGGAGAAGATAGTGAGTGATGCAAAGGAGAATCGAAGGCAAACGGCGAGGTAAGAGGGGGAAGGCCTCTGGAGAGAGTTGCGATCACAACGGGAGCATGATGAGCAAGCTCAAGAAGAGAGAGGAGGGAAGAGGGAAAAAAAAGTAGCTGGTCAATCAGCGGGGGGGTTTCTCTGAAGCTGGGGTCGTCAAGAAGTTGTAAAGGAAAATCTCTGAGTGGGTAAGTATGTTTGGGATTGGCAGGAATCGGGGGTCGGGTGCAGTCGCCGTGCCATGTGGGTTTTGGGGATGGTGGGTGGTGGATAGTGGGTGGTGGGTAGGAATGTTTCTTGGTGGGGTACAAAGTGAGAATACACAGGGTATCTGCACAGGGTGGCTAGGCCTACAGCCGACCTTTTTAGGTTAGAGCGCGCGCATCGTGGGTGTGTTTCTCATGACTCCGGCCTTTGCCAGAGATGTTGCGCCAAAATACCTCTTAGCCATGCACTATGTTTTTTCGGGCTGTTGCCGGGGCTGCCAGACGCGCCGAGCCTCATGGAGGGTGTGGCAGACCAGCGGCGAAAATGCATAAAGCACCTGTGTCGGAGTAGGTGGTCATTGTACCTGGCCTGGGACGAGACTCGCGAGCCGTCATAACGGCTCAGCGGCGCAAACCTTTATCATCATACAGTGCTGAGACAATTCTTCATACAGGGAGGTCTGTAGTTCATGGGAGTCGTGGAACGTACGGAAGCCTATGCGACCTTAGGAGGGACCGCCTTGTACTCTTATCTTGGTAGGTACAATGAGGGTATAGCAAATAGGGGAGTCGTCTTCGAAAGCTCTGCCTTGGATAGGGAGGTTTGGGTACGAAATTCCATGGTATGGTGTTTCTATCTAGAAACCTTATATTGTGTTGAGTAGGTACTGAGCATGGTACTTTGACTGTGTATGGATGACTGTGTATACGGCCTTATTGTGTACCTGTGCAAGCCTATGGGCCTTGTACGCGTATCTTGGTACGTATGATGATGCGCCTGTGACTCTCCCTGATATGCGAGATATGATATACCGTAGACATTCTGCAGTCCCATGCCTCAAGTTACTACCTCGTGATTGCGCATTCCATGCAACGCGTATCTCGGAGAAAAAAAATGCCGCTCATATACCTAGAGACCATTGCTCAATACAAGGAGAGTCAGCTAGTGCAAGCAAGGTGCAGGAGACAGCGCTGGCCGTCTTCTGAATCAAGAGCCGCCAACGCTCGTCTCCCACCCACCAGAAAAACAATCAGAGCAAAGTAAATAGGACAAAACCCTGTGGGAAACGCAAATAAGTTATAGTGTCTAAGCTAAGTTCCATGCAAAATAATAAGAGGGGAAAATAACCCCCTTAAAGGCTATAGGCCCTCTGCCTCAGGCTCCAATGGCCTCAGGCCTAAACAAGTTAGCCAATGATAAGTTAGCGCCTATGCTACTGCTAACTATTCCT